GTATTTCAGATTAGCGGGGGTTTTTTTTCAGACACCAATGTAGTTTTTATCTTTAAGATAAGATTGAAGATCTGGTCTCTGTCATGTTTTTCTTTAGTTTAGTTGTAACTATATAATCATGTTTTTTCAAAAGAAAAAGAACAAGAATTCAGGTGAGGCATGGTGAGAAGGTAGTGAAAATGGTAAGGGAGTAAGTTCAGGCTGAAACTATAGTAGATTAAAGGAATATACAGATGAGAAGAGGAAAGGAGTAGGGGTTGGCTAGAACTGAAAGAAGATTATGGGGAGGGAGCTGTAAGGGTTAAAATATAACAAGGGAGTTCATGGGGAGGTGAAGGTAAGAGCTGAAATTTAATAGGGGAGATAATGGGGAGGGGGAGGTAAGAGCTGAAATATAACAGGGGAGTTAATTGGGAGGGGGAGGTAACGGCTGAAATATAACGGGAGAGAATGGGGAGGAGAAGGTAAGGGCTGAAATATAACAGGGGAGATAGTGGGGAGGGGGAGTTAAGGGGTGAAGTATAACAGGGGAGATAATTAAGAGGAGTTGAGTTGCATATACATGTACAATGTTAATCAAGTTTTGACATTAAGTACTGAAAGCCACACTCTGATATTGATTGTAGCCTAAGAAGAAGACAGTAAGTAGCATCTGGTGTTAGTTGTACAACTCTATCATATGTTTCTGTGTGCAAATATCTGAGTTTTCTCCACGTAAAAATGTATACAATTTGTATACACTTATATAAAAATGTATATTACACTTCAACTGTATTGTATGGTTCTCCTATAAATGGTCATCGTCGGGGTTAGGTTTTTAAATACAACAGTTTACTGACTAGTGATAAACATAATTTTATATATGTGTACAGTAATAATTTTTTCCGTCTGAAAATCATGGGCTTTACTCGTTATGATACAATTATGTTGTGTTTATTGATAGTTCTCTTTAAATCAGCAATCTGGACGTAGACTTACTACTGGATACAAAATACATTGTATATATATATATATATATATATATATATATGTATTGAAATACATAAGTACAAAAGATATTTATCAATTATCTTGCAAATTTTTTTTCCAACATTTGATATTATGAATATCATTAATAAAAAAACCTGAAAGGTCACAGGTGTACATGAGTATCAAATTAAAATCTGTATCATGTTCTAATGGTATATACTGTTAAATTAGTCATTGCTTTAAGCTGTGTGTTTTAAAAGCTTAAAACCCAGAGATGACCAATATGTTAGATACTTGTCTTGTACACTATACAATATCTTATAAATTTCATAGAAAATCCGTAAATTATGTATCTTTTGCATGAAAAGTCTTACATCAATCAAAGTGTTTATCATATACATGTATTAATTAACACTAACATATTGTCAGATGGCTACAAATTTATCTTGGTTTGTATTTAAATGTCAAACAAAAATGGCAGTATTCTGGAAGCCTCATCTTGAGTCAAAATTTCATAATGAGGCTTAAAGCACTGCTGCATTGTAATCTCTTTTATTAAGGTCAAGAAATTTTAGGTTAATTCTTTAATGCTTTCAAATTTTATCAATACCTTTTTTTTCATAAAAAATTCTACTTTGAAAGAAATTAAAGTACAATACAATACAGACTGGAGGTTATCAATTCAATGTGAAGCTGTTTGGATTCCTCCGTCTCCTCAGTTAACTGTATAAGAACATTTTCTTGGTCAGATGACCATTGGTCAAGAGGTAACAGTCAAAGCATATTTGCTATTACAGACTCAGGATTATGGAGCATTTCAGCGGGCGGTGAGTTAGGGAGTCTTACATACCCCTTGAGGTGTTCTGGTTTGATGAAAAATATGATTTTTTTTTTTTTTGCATTATTTTTATTGAATCTAAACTCAGGACGAATTAATTGACATTTGATGTGATTTACCAAGTGTTTAGTCTAGAATATTAACTATTATTTTGTTTCAAATGTGATCTCTTATGTGAGACTTGGTTGAATAGTGATTTATTAACTTAATATGCTGCTTCGTATGAAATGTGAATTTTGTTCAAAAGGTTGAATGCATTGTTTGTGAAGTTTGAACTTTAACAAAAATGGACTTTGATAACATTGTTTTTTTTTCCTTTTTTTTTAATGCAGTATTTTTAAAAATGATAAAACTTTGTACATTATTGAAAAATGAAATCTATGACAGCTCTTTGAATTTATTATTCCCAGTTAAGCATATTTGTTGTTAAGTTTTTAAAGTTTAATGGTTTAATTCACTTTTGGTATAATCATCTGCTCAAATCCCACAGAATATATAGTACCGGGATATGACACCAGTATGTTTCGTGACAAAAATGAAGGCTCGGATCTTATAAGCATTTCTATCTCTAATAATTTAGGTGCAAGATCAAAGGAACAACAAATATTTGTAGGTAAAACTGATCAAGTTTGATTTTGGCGTTGATATTAAAAGATCATGAAATGCCAGCTAAATGTCAAACAGTTATTCAGTGTGAGTATATTTCGGCCATACTATAGACATATCATCTAAGAATATGTGGGAAAATTATTATTTTTTTTTTGGCGTGGGACAAGTTTGGTGTCTTCTTTGTCATGAGCAATATATATACACTTGGAGTTCAAAGACATATTCATTAAGTTGTAATACTAATGAAGATTGACTTTGTTGGTGATATTTCAGTAAGGAAGTCAGACTTCCTAAAGTAATTTTGTAGATATTCACAGGCATTTGAATATAAGCTGTATCACTAGGAAATGTTGTTGAGAAATATTGATTAAATTGTATAATTATACATCACATTATTTCCGCATGATCGTATCTGAAAAGTTGACCTTAGTAATGTGATTGGTGTGAATATTAATTTCTGTAACTGACACCTGTCAATCATGAGGCTGAATCTGTACAGTTAATATCTAAACAGATTTTGCAATACTGGAAAATTAAAATTTTTCCTATTTGTATTGACCTGCTTTGCTTACACAAACAGAAACAAGACCTAAATGAATTCTTACTTGGGTTTATCTATCTTAGAATAAAGATGATAACAAATATTGATTTTTTTAAAAAAAAAAAATTAAAAAATGATTCTGATATAATTATTATCAATACATAGACGTTTCTGGAGGACATTTCTGATGATGAGGAAGAAAGGGTGAGTACGTGAATTTTTCTCTGATAACATTCCGTATGTACAGCATGGCAGAAACAGCTACTTTTAATATAGTAACTACATAGATAACAGAATCACATAACTAGGGGGAAAAATAACACTTCACACTGACACATAAAAAGTTAAATCAACAAAAATAATTATGAAGTTTCCAGTATTGCAAAATTTTGTCATAATGTTATTTTGTTGTAATTTGTAAGAATTCCTCTGTAGATTACTTAAAATGGAAAGCTGTTCTGGACAATTCTAGGTGTTTAAATGTTTGTGCTATTGAAAAAAACAGGATATTTCAGAAAAAAAAAACTTTAATTGGATTTGGGATATGATATAGATTCAGCCTGAAATCTGGCAGGGAACTTGTGTTTAATCTTTGTCTTACCTGTAACATAGACCTTGGTCAATGATTGACCAAACACTCAACAGGTTCTTACTAATATAACAACAAACAACCTCCATGTAACTTTATCTGTGAGTGAATATTCCCGACCTAATCACCATGTGACCTTATGTCCTTGACAAACTGTAGCCTGTATTGATTGGTTTTGTGTTATTCAGGTGTATGGGAAGACCTGCATGTTTTGCTGGTTTTTAGGAAATTCCATGAAGGATAACTGTTAAATTTTTAAGTTTCAGAATACCACACCTATTTACCATCATTCGTATCATAAACCAATACTATTTTACAGAGGTTGTTTTAACTTTTGAGTACCAAAAAGTATTCCTGTAGGTGTGGGAGTACCACAGAGTATTCCTGTAGGTGTGGGAGTACCACAGAGTATTCCTGTAGGTGTGGGAGTACCACATGGTACCCCTGTAGGTGTGGGAGTATCACAGGGTACCTCTGTAGGTGTGGGAGTACCACAGGGTACCCCTGTAGGTGTGGGAGTACCACAGGGTACCCCTGTAGGTGTGGGAGTACCACAGAGTATTCCTGTAGGTGTGGGAGTACCACATGGTACCCCTGTAGGTGTGGGAGTACCACAGAGTACTCCTGTAGGTGTGGGAGAATCACAGGTTACCCCTGTAGTGTGGGAGTACCACAGGGTACCCCTGTAGGTGTGGAAATAACTTGCACTGCATCAGTGTGTCTATAGATTTAGTTATATAACATTTGTTCTGAGTGTTAACCATGACTCTCCTAATATCTTAAACCACTCTTATAATCTTAAAAAAAATTATATATAAATATAAGTTCATTTTGATATATAAGTATTTTCAAGGATATATGTTTGTAATTTTTTTTATTTTATCCCTCAAGTATTTCAATTAATCTATTAAGTTCTAATAATTATGTTCTGTTTATAAAGATGTTTTTGGTACAATACATATTGATACTTTCACATTGATATAACAGGATCATCCCTTGTGAATCCTTATCATCATGTAAGCCTATTACCAAACTGTAAGAGACTCCTTTGTTGTTGTATCTCTAGCTCGTCCCAACAGGTTGATAAAGATATTGTTATATGTCATTAAATAGGGTAGTTTTATGTCCAATGATTACATTCCCCAAACCTACATGTACTTCAGCTTTCACTGTTCAGACTGTTTAGTGAACTCCCCAGCCTTACTGTAAAGTTTTCCACCCTACCCTGATCTGAGTTACTTCCCTTAGTTTTATTATGTCAGATGGTATAGTAATATAGCCTTTCCTTACTGACTTAATCCTGATCCAAGTATCCCTTCCTCGACACAGCACCTTTACCACTACCCCTAACACAATATGTAACATATGTTGTACAGTTATAGAAGTATCAACGTTAGATTTGGTGTAATTAAATGTTGTGGTATCTAATTCCAGTGTGTTGATTTCCTCCCCAGATCGAGGAGCAGATTAACTTGGATACACTGGAGATCCTGAAGCAGGCTTTTGTGGAGGCTGATGAGGATGGTTCAGGAGAACTTGAACTGGACGAGTTTAAGGCCCTCCTTAAGGAGCGCCTACACCTTAAGGGGACAACAGTATGTCTGATAATTTCATTTTTGTCTTTTTTACCATATACCTTTATATCCTGTGTTTGTTCTCTCTGTTTCTTCATTTAACTTGGACATAACTCTCTCACCTCTTCTGTACATTCGTCTGACTTATTATCACCACTCATATGATATTCAGTACATTTCATTCTTTTTCTTTCTTTTATTTTCATCACTTTATTTCTTAACTTCCTGTATCCAATTCATCGAACACATATTGTGTAATCCCTGACTGGACTTGATCACCTTTCAACTTTTTAGGAGATTGCTTTAGTTGGACAATCACGTCCTTCTTAAAGTGATTTCTGAATGCTCCTATTGTTTCCACAGTGTTCTAAAGACTCTCCTTACAATGTTGCTGTTCTGTTTCCCCACCTCGAACGCCATCAGGCTCGGGTGAGTTTCTACTCTCTCTCTCATCAATCATTGCCCAGATTCTTCTGTATCTTGATTCACTGGGTATACCCACTGTGATGTTCACTTAGATGAACTTAGGTTACATCTACTGGCAATCCTACACATGTCTCAGGTGAGTATAACTGACACTCTATTCCTCCATTCCTAAGGCCCCAGTGTGATAGATTCTCATCATAATATGCTTTAGGATGGCCTTATTGTGTCTAGTTTCTTTCCTATTCTGATAAATATTCTGTGGACAAATCATCATAGTTATTGCCATGAAATTTGTCTTGTTACATCTGTTCTGTCCTATTTCTAAAAAAACCTTGAAGGTGTATCCTAGCTTCTCTTTCGCTGGGCTGCCTTATTCAGGTTACCATCAATAATATCTGGTGTTATAGTTTATTGTGTTGTTATGGTTACTCCAAACAGTAAAACACAATCAAAACAAATCATAACATATTTGAGTGTATATAAGAAATTATGCCTGTGATATCAGATGATTCCTGTCATATTCTGGCTCAATATTGTTCAGGTCACAGCCCAAACTCCTGAGGTAGCTAAATGTTCTCACCTAGTCTTAAAAGTTCCATTAAAATATTTTTTCCTGATGGAAAGTAATTATATTTGAATTCAGTCTTAATCCTCAGTCTGTATATGGGTTCCCCAGAGAAATACATAATTATATAAACAGCTGCTGTTGGTGTTTTACCATTAATTAGTCTCTCCTGATGAATAAGATCAATAATGTCTCACATTGTACTGTAATTCAATAACAGTTATGGATATGTAGAAATGTTTTGTTTGAAATGCAGAAGCATTTTGTTTTCAAATTTTAATTGTACTTATCTGCTGTTTTCAATACTTTTCTTCAGAATATCCAGTGAAAATATGGAACAGAGTTTCAATATTTATCTATTATGCTAATGGCTTTTTCTGACGGCTATGTTTGTGATACAGGATGCCCAAATTGATTCACTGTTTATGAAAATTGATTGGTCGTCTGACGGTGCCATCACTTGGGATGAATTCTGTACCTACATGCAGCTCGAGTATGCTGAGAAGGAAGATTCCTACCTCCGTTCTAAAGATGTCGCATTCCACCTTCCCGCCAAAATCATCAACTGCCGTGAATCAATACTCAGAATCATGGACACGTCTGATGGAACATTTGTTGCCTGTAGTTTGGTGAGTGAGAATTGTCTGATATATTGTTTGGGTACGTATGAAAAAGGAATTCGTAAAGCATGAAAGGAATCACAAGAGTGTCATATATGATTATTTTTCATGATTTCCATTGTTGCAAAACATGTATTTACCACATGGAAATAAGCCCATATCAAAGTCAATAAGATGATAACTCAATGCTATTTAATGACCTGTAATAAGCCCACCCGCTGACTTGGAATAGAAAGTACATGTGATATGTTGGGCTTCCTGGGTATATTACAGGACAGATATGGATTTTAAATATAATGTGTCATCATGTTTCTGAAAGGATTTTTTCCCCAGTGTTTTATCAGAATGTTAACCATATCTTTTATGAAGGAAACAGTTGAATGTGTGAAAGAAATACCAACATCTCCCTAATTACAATCACCACATCCTGTAATTGCATTAAAATTCTGACAAATTGTCAAAGAGTATAAATTGTTTTACTGTTGTATGATGGTAACTTAAAAAATTGCTGATTTTTATACGCCCGTCGATAGACGGACGTATTATGGTATGGCGCTGTCCGTCCGTCCGGCGTCCGTCGTAAACTTTTATTTGTCCGGAGATCTCCTCCAAAATTTTTCAGCCAATCTTTATGAAACTTGGTAGGCTTAATCACCATGATATGAAATTGTGTTTTCATGAACGGGGTTTTGATAAGACGATTTGAATAAGAGTTATGCCCCTTTGCTGTTTTGGATCTTCACAGGCGTATTTTGTTCTGCTTTACGGTATTCTTGTTAACTATTTATTGAGACAAAATATTTTTCATTCATTTTTCATTAAGCTGTTTTTTTCTTTCAGGATGGAAATGTTTCATTCATGGGGACAAGTATGGAAATAAAAAAACACAAAGCTCTAATTGTAAGTATTTCTTCTGACTGAAGTGATAACAGTATACAGTGTTTACATGTGTGATGGATTATGATATGTTTATCTTTGTTTTGAATACTACTGTAAGTCTCTGTTATTTTTTATTTTTAAAAAGTGTCTTGGTGTCTATCTGTGGATGGTAATTCTGAGTTAATGAGGAAATGTTTGTCAGTATGGAACAGGAATTGTACACTGAAACTATATATAGAAAGTTAGATTTAATCAGCTTTTACAGTTGAATATTGTTATCTCAAACTTATATAACTCGAAGATCCTGTTTGATTCAAAGTATTTTGTCACTCCTGACCAAACTTTACACCAAGCATTCACACTCACTTAAATCAAATACTCGTATAACTCGGGGTTTTCCCACAGTCCTACCGACTTCGAAACAATGAGATTCAACTGCATTACAGAGCACACAAGTCACCATTGATGTTGATATTTCAGTGGGAAAAACAAAAGAAATCTTTTTATTTTGTCACAGAATAATGAACCTGGTTTGAAACAGAAGCAGAAATGGATCACAGATTTTGTCATCATGAATGAGTTCAACAAATTCCTTGTTGGAACTGGGTAAGTTAACAACAACCTACTTAAACCATAATTCCTTCATCATTAGAAAACTTTTCAATCCCTTCGCCATTAGAAACCTTTTCAATCCCTTCACCATTGGAAAATGTGTACAATTCCTTCAATATTGGAATATGTGTAATATCTATGAAAAACTAATATATTTGATAATTAAAAAAAATCTTCAATGCTTTTTTATAACTTTTATTCATGTAGAGAACTATCTTACTTACTGTGAAACTCTGTATTATATCTTTTTCAGGGACAGAGAAATACAGTTTTATGAGCTTTCCTCACTTGACCCCTATTGCCAAGTCAGTGGACTGGACACTGTGCCATTAAAGTTGGACTATTGGTAAGCAAACAGTTACTCAATTGACTCCCAAAATACTATCTCAGGTGTCTCCCAAAATACTTACCGGTACTTAGGTGTCTCCCAAAATACTTACTCAGGTGTCTCCCAAAATATTTACTCTGTGACTCCCAAAATACTTACGTAGGTGTCTCCCAAAATACTTACTCTGTGTCTCCCAAAATATTTACTCTGTGTCTCCCAAAATACTTACTCAGGTGTCTCCCAAAATATTTACTCTGTGTCTCCCAAAATACTTACTCAGGTGTCTCCCAAAATACTTACTCTGTGTCTCCCAAAATACTTACTCTGTAACTCCCAAAATAGTTACTGAGGTGACTCTCAAAATACTTACTCAGGTGTATACCAAAATACTTACTCTGTGACTCCCAAAATACTAACTCAGGTGTCTCCCAAAGTACTTACTCTGTGTCTCCCGAAATAGTTACTGAGGTGACTCTCAAAATACTTACTACGTGTCTCACAAAATAGTTACTTGCCATGGGCGACTCTCAAAATATTTACTCTGTGTCTCCCAAAAAAGGTACTTGAGTGACTCTCAAAATACTTACTCTTTGTTTCCCAAAATAGGAACTCAGGTGATTACCAAAGTAATTGGATAAGCTCTATGTCTATCACTGAATCACTCTAATTCATGTTGGTGTCAGTGGTTGGTCGCAACTGAGGATTTGATAGCTTCGATGGTGGAGTAAGGGAGATAACTACTTGTACTTGTACATTGATATGATTGGAGAAACTGATGGACTAGATTTTAATGATGTCTCTATATATTTCTTCACTTGAATTAAGTTATTTCTAATGTAGAAAAAATGAACCTACTCTTCTGGAATGTTTTTGAGAAATATCAATCATTGCAAAATTTTTTTTTTTTTAGAAGAAAACAATGTTTGTTGTGAAAAATGGAAAATTCATGAAAAGTGGTTGAATATTTTGTCTAATAATCTCAAAAACGGAGGAAAAAGAACATGAGAACATGAAAAAGATTCTGTAACTTCTTGGTAGTGTGAGATGAGAATTAATGTTTGTTTCGTGTTTAGATTGTTGAGACTATTAATGAATATATATATCATTCGTGTTAATGGATGATTATTTAGTTGAAAAACATATTTATGTTTTAGTGCGACAGGGGCTGATGAATGCTTGGTCTTGTATGGAGACAGTCTCGGCTGTATCAACATCCTGTTGATAGACTCCGCTGGAGAATGTCTCAGGTAACAAAGTATAACTGAACATTTGAAATTCTTAATGTTGTAGAAACAAGACAGCTGTATAAAATGGTATTTGTATCTGGGGTAAGTTACCCAGTGTTGTGGAAGATTGACAGGTATACACCTTATACAAAATGGAGGCTCAGGGGCATGTGTATTACTTCTGGTGAAATCAGAGAATAAATATACATGTATCTGTTTTGGTATATGGATATGAAAAGTTTTTTGAATAATTACTGTACAAATATTATTTTTTATCTTGAATTTAATTGTTGTGTGGCTTATTTGGAACAGAACATGGAAGAAGGCTCCCAAACATGATGGTATAGCCAGTGTTAGCCTGGACAGTGTGATCAAGGTGCAGAAAGTCCAGTATCTCCGCTGGCAGGTACATGGAGACTGGGTACAACAGGTGAGTTATCTCCCTTACGAGACTGGGTATAACAGGTGATTTATCTCCCCTACTATACTGAGTACAACAGGTGAGTTATCTCCCCTAGTAGACTGGGAATAACAGGTGAGTTATCTCCCTTACGAGACTGGGTATAACAGCTGAGTTATCTCCCCAACTAGACTGGGTACAACAGGTGAGTTATCTCCCCTACTAGACTTGACTTGTGCTTGACTGAAGGTAGATGGGTATTGAATTAGGGATTAGAACAATAAAAACACTAACCAAGTGATATGTGTTGATGAATTCACATCCAATAAAGAAGTGATGGTTTCATCTACTATACATATGATGATTTTTATGAATATGTGTCACATGAAAATACACTTATTAACTTTATCACTAAAATTTTTTAAAATCTAATTGTACTTATTTGATACATAATCATGTGTCTTTATTTACTAATGTATTCTTTACTTAAAGGTATTGTTTATCTTACTTCCTGGAGTTCATCTAATGTTTCTGTTCTGATTTCAGCTGAAGTACTATCACAATATAGGTCAGATTATATCCTGTTCCAATAATGCCAACACAGCGCTGGTCATTGGTAAGTCGATGATCACAGACTGCCCAAATCCTGTAATAATACTTTATACATCGTCCCTGATTCTTTCAAGATTCTCTTCTCCACAATTTTTTCTATGTTTCTTTATTTGTTTTTTTCCCCATAAAATCCTTGAAAGCATGTTAAAATACAAGTGAGCAAGTGCCAAAATGAATTCAGAATTTTGGGAAAGATGTATATACGTATAATATTGACAATCCTCACCATACTTTATCTATAGACAATAACACCCACCATACTTTATCTATAGACAATAACCTCTACCATACTTTATCTGTAGACAATAACCTCCACCCTACTTTATCTATAGACAGTAACTTCTACCATACTTTATCTATAGACAGTAACCTCTACCATACTTTATCTATAGACAATAACCTCCACCATACTTTATCCATAGACAATAACCTCCACCATACTTTATATATAGACAGTAACCTCCAACATACTTTATCTATAGACAATAACCTCCACCATACTTTATCTATAGACAATAACCTCCACCATACTTTATCTATAGACAATAACCTCCACCATACTTTATCTATAGACAGTAACCTCCACCCTACTTTATCTATAGACAGTAACCTCCACCATATTTTATCTATAGACAGTAACCCCCACCATACTTTATCTATAGACAATAACCTCCACCATACTTTATCTATAGACAATAACATCCACCATACTTTATCTATAGACAGTAACCTCCACCCTACTTTATCTATAGACAATAACCTCCACCATACTTTATCTATAGACAATAACCTCCACCATACTTTATAGACAGTAACCTTCAACATACTTTATCTATAGACAGTAACCTCCACCATAACTTATCTATAGTCAGTAACCTCCAACATACTTTATCTATAGACAGTAACTTCCACCATAACTTATCTATAGTCAGTAACCTCCAACATACTTTATCTATAGACAGTAACCTCCAACATACTTTATCTATAGACAGTAAATTCCAACATACTTTATCTATAGACAGTAACCTCCAACATACTTTATCTATAGACAGTAACTTCCACCATAACTTATCTATAGACAGTAACCTCCACCGTACTTTATGTATAAACAGTAACCTCCAACATACTTTATCTATAGACAGTAACTTCTACCATACTTTATCTAGAGACAGTAACCTCCACCATAACTTATCTATAGACAGTAACCTCCACCATACTTTATGTATAAACAGTAACCTCCAACATACTTTATCTATAGACAGTAACTTCTACCATACTTTATCTATAGACAGTAACCTCCAACATACTTTATCTATAGACAGTAACTTCCACCATAACTTATCTATAGTCAGTAACCTCCAACATACTTTATCTATAGACAGTAACCTGCATCGTACTTTATCTATAGACAGTAACCTCCAACATACTTTATCTATAGACAGTAAATTCCAACATACTTTATCTATAGACAGTAACCTCCAACATACTTTATCTATAGACAGTAACTTCCACCATAACTTATCTATAGACAGTAACCTCCACCGTACTTTATGTATAAACAGTAACCTCCAACATACTTTATCTATAGACAGTAACTTCTACCATACTTTATCTAGAGACAGTAACCTCTACCATACTTTATCTATAGACAGTAACCTCCACCATACTTTATCTGTAGACAGTAACCTCCACCATACTTTATCTATATACAATAACCTCCACCATACTTTATCTATAGCCAGTAACCTCCACCATACTTTATCTATAGACAGTAACCTCTACCATACTTTATCACTGCAGGGTGCACTACAGGCTCAACACATGTAGAAGCTCAACTTAAGGAGACCAAAGACTCTGATGACCGAGCTCGGAGAACAAATGTTGCCAAACCGAGGCTGGAGGCCGACCAATCAGTGTTCTATGTCTATAAAGGAGTCAAATGTTTTGACTTTTGTAAAAACAAAAATGTTATTGTAACTGGGGGTAAGCAGAAACTTAGTCTACCATAGCTGACATCATTATAAATAGAAAACAATTGTGACAGCACTTATCCATTGTTTTTTGGGAGATTTGAATATACATGTAGCACTTTTCCATCATGGTATATCTCTTTACTAATCTCAAATGTTCCTTTGAATCATATCTAAAAAAAAACATATTGTATTTATTTGATCCACATGTCTTGAGATGCTAATAAATATTTGGCCTTCTTTTTTTTCCAGGGATGGATAGAATTGTGAGATTATGGAATCCATATGTACCAGGGTAAGCAGCGTCCATATTGAAGTAAAAACGCATGTTATTGTTGTCTTCATTGTTACAATATTTCCCCACAACATGAATGCTCAAAGCTTACACAAGGGTAGCAAATTATACCTATTTGAATGAGGAAAGTTCCTTAAAATGTTTAAAACTTCATTCCCCTTGATAGTATCCAAGTTTGAGTTTAAAAAAGACTGATATAAGATATCAAGAATTAATGATGAAAATTTCCAGATTAGTTTAGAAAACATTTGAAAAAAGTTGGTTTTGAAAATGACAGGCAAATCACATTCCTGTTGCAGACATTAATAAAGAAGTGATCATTTTTGTTTTTTTCTTGATATCAATAGTATATAACATACAAACATGCTTCAATCCTGATATTCTACTACAGGAAACCTACAGCACTACTGCGGGGTCACAATGCTCCAATATTTTATCTCTTTATTGCTGAGGAGGAAAGTAGGATATTTAGTATATCAACGGACAAGTGTGTCAAGGTCAGTATCAGCATATATTAGTATGTCAAGGTCAGTTTAAATATGGACAGGTATATCGAGATTAATAAATGTAAAGACAAGGAAATGTCAAGGTCGTTATCAGTACAAATTAGTATGTCAAGGTCAGTGTAAGTATAAACCAGTGTCAAGGTCAGTTTGAATAGAAACAGCTGTGTCAGGGTCAGTAAATGTACTGATAAGTGTGACAAGGTCAGTAAATGTACTGATAAGTGTGTCAAGGTCAGTAAATGTACTGAAAAGTGTGTCAAGGTCAGTATATGTAATGACAAGTGTGTCAAGGTCAGCATAAGTATAAACATATGTGATAAAGTCAGTAGTATACCCAACATTGATTCAAAATCAGCAATGTACTAAAAAGATTTTTAAGGTCAGAATATGTGTGTGTGTGTGTGTGTGTGTGTGTGTGTGTGTGTGCGTGCGTGTGTGTGTAAGGGTGTGTGGGCGTGTGTGTGTGGTATATGTTGTGTGGATGTGGGTGTATGTGTGTATGTGTGAGGATGTGTGGGTGTGGTGTGTGTGTTGATGTGGTTGTTTGTGTGTATGTGTGAGGGTGTGTGGGTGTGTGTGTGTGGTGTGTGTTGTGTGGATGTGGGTGTATGTGTGTATGTGTTGTGTGTGTCAAGGTTAGTGTAAGTATAGAAAAGTGTGTCTGGGTATATATATGCAAGTTTGTCATGGTCAGTATACACATATATAAATGTGTGCCAAGGTGAATATATAGCAGTGTCAATTAGATTTAATCAGAATATTCATACAGTAACTTGAGTCATTTGTCAAACTGACCTGACATTAGGAAAATGATAGGAAAATGATAAATAGGAAACTTAAGAATAAATTTATGTTTAATTAAAGCTTACCTGGTATAAAATAAGTTTTCAAAGATTTAAAAGAATTTTCTCTATCACCACTATTGACCACCAGCCCTCTGGCCATCAACACCATCAGCCCTCTGGCCATCAACACCATCAGCCCTCTGGCCATCAACACCATCAGCCCTCTGGCCATCAACACCACCAGAGAAGATTATACCATTTTCATGAACTACCAACCCATATTGTACTTCAAATTAATGTACTCTGTCATTATTCCACACTGATTCCATTGGTGGGATTTTGACGGTTATTTTTATGTTGTACTAGATATGGGATATCCAGGACCATAACTGTTTGCTGACAATCCGACCCAAAGCTCACAAGATTCACGGTGATCTGCAGGCCTGCCATTACTCGAATATAGCCAAGTCCTTGGCAGTAGCAACTGACCAGAAGCTTGCAGCCCTCAATCTCAGGCAAAAGTTTGTATTCGTGTTTCTTTGGCTTTTTTTTCAAAAATATTATATTTACATTATTTTGTTTATGAAATTTGTACTCAAGGAACAACCAAATACACAGACCATGATTGAATTCTAGATTTATTGGATTCTGAAACTACTTTGAAGATTTTGCAATGTTTAGCCATTACTATTCACACTTAAATTAGACACAAGAGTGTTACAGAAAAAAAAACAATGTGTTGCTTCATCCATATCTTGTGATATGTTTCATTGTCCCACAATGCATTCTGTCTATTGTCAATAAGCTTTGTTTGTTGTATGTCAACTGAATATGAATTTGATTTAAAAGAAAAAACATTCTGCTTAAGGGTATTTGTGTTAAAAAACCTGATAGTGTTTTTTCTTTACCTTTCTTTTTTTTTTTAAATATGTGTTTGTATAATAATTTGCTGCTAACAAACATTTTTATTTCTTTGCTATATTTGAAAAATTATTTATGCAAATGTTGTCATGGTTTGGTTTTCTTGTTTTGTTTAATGGTATTTTTTTATACAGTCTTTAATTTGAGAAAAAACCCCTAAAAGTTTCATTTTCATCATCATAAATGATAAATGAATTTATAGATTAAATGTGCTTGTTGAAATTAGCTGATGTAAAATCGAAGTCAATTGTACACCCTATAGAGGGGAATTCTTTCTTGGATTAAGTGATAGAATTATAGGTTTTTTGCCTAATACTTGAACGACCCTAATTTGTGGTGCCTCTCCTCAATTCCTAAAGGATCACAACAGAACTGTTAGAGTTATGATCATGCTCAACTTCATGAAAATATTTTTACAAAGAAATACAATACCGACAGAAGTTTTACCACTATAGTTTGGAAACATACATCTATTTTATGTAGGAAAAAACCAGCAGAAATCTAGAGTTATATACCATAATGTTTGATCTGGCTTTCACAGATCTCAATCCTCTAAGATTATCCTGACTCTGCAGAGTTTTGTCAGGTACAATAATGCTTATATTCAAAACTCTCGGTGACCTAATTACTGACTAAATACTGACACCTGTGTTTGTTTTAAGACTGGATCAGAATATAAACAGCAGGTAAGAGATTGGAACTGACCGCCTGAAACTCCCTACAGCCTTCCTACATATCTGTCAGTGTGATAAAGCTCCCTGATTGATTGACACGTTTTCTAGGGTCCATTAACATTCGACTTCTCTAACTCTAGAAACCCACCAAACTCGTGTGATTTCAGCACCATTTCTCATTTGACATACATTTCCCTCTATTAGTAACATTTGTTTTTTTTATTATCCTATTTTTAAATTTTTATAAAACATGTATTTTGTTTATCTCTATTTTACATATTTTTTGTTTTATCAATTTATGTTTCAACTGTTTATAGAATTTGATATATTTCCCACATACTTGTACATCACACTTTGCTTCAGAGTACGTCTTACCTTTCTCACTGTGTTAATCTCCGTCTGCTGTATCAGACACAAAAATTGCAAGAAAGTGCTTAATATGAAACATGCTTTTCCAGTCTGTCCTTCTCCTGTGACTTGCTGCTGGTATTATTGTTTGAAACTTTCCAGGAAATTTTTGAGTGTTAGTACATATTTTTAAATGCTGTAATGATAGGCAACATATTTTAGGTGTTTAAACAATACAATATGTTTTTCTGATATGTACCCTAATCCATATGAATATAATTACAGTAAGTTTTAGGAAGTACATAAAATTTCAGATGCAGATCTCTACGTAGTTGACATGTAACCTTAATTTTAATTTTCATTTTGTTATCTGACATTCGATAAAATATTGTTGATTTGAAGATGATATATTTTCTTGTGACAACATACTGGGCATGTGTTGCTCCATATTGCACTGTTTTGCTATATTTTGATATTATACTGGTACTAACCTGTTTTTCTACAGATAGATATTACTCTGATATGATAACTAAATACAGCGGGCCCAAATATTTAATGTTATTCCTCACCTCCATCTACACTATCATAACATGTCCACACATGTAACACTGGGCAATTTTCAAAAATGGAAATATTTGTCATATGGAATTTGGATTATCATAATGTTTGGGTTTTAATGATAATAATAATAAATGTTTACCAAATAAATAAACCCAATATTATTATGTTACGGATGACTGATTTCTCAGCATATTGCTAACATCATGTCTAAAGAAACATTGTAGGTTTGCTATCCAACACACAGTCTGTAAAGCTAGTATTGTCCAATACTAAGATAAAATGAAAGAATTTTACCTACTGTATGTAGTGTGAAGAATTTTCAAAGTTACGGCCCTTTTTCTACTCCCATCACTATGGTATGGTCATCAAATATAGCATTAAGACAAATGCCAAGATGTTTTTTTTACTACAATCACTTAGGATGGACAAGTCAAGTATGAGTATTACGTACAGAAATTATGTGTGTATCCATGTTATATACAGAGTTATGGGCCTTTGTTCACTGTTGATTACTTTGTTCAGGGTAACTTTTGCCTACAGTTCCCAAAATTTATATCTAATTTTCAGTTCCACCCGGTGAACATAGTGTTCTACTTTTAGATTGGATTATAAGCAAACATTTGGCCGGTGGTAGTTAGTGGTTGATACAGAAGAGAGGGAGAAAGTTAAATCTATGATTGCTGAAAACATTCTGTCATGTTTTTAAATATCGTTTGCTGAATCTGCCAAAGAACAATTAAATATGTAAGAGTCTGGATTCCATTCAGTTCTTTTTCATGCTGTTTCCATTTCTGCTTTTTCATTTATTGAATACTATGAACTTAAATATTTTTGTACTTTTCATGCATAAAGTATTGCACTTAATTATAGTTGCCCTGATTGTGTTTCTGTATCCTGCTTATCAAGTAGTTATTGCAGATGTGCAAATTTAGCATTGCCCTAATTTGCCAAAAAGTGACTATGCACTAAAATTTGCCCTAAATTAAGTAAATTTACAGCAGTTTTTTGGCCTGATAAATTGATATATTCATACTTTATACGCCATGTGTAAACCTGTTGCTTAGTTGAATGACTCACTTACCAGTACATGAAACATTATATAGAAAGGTTTAAAGTGAAAACTTATAGTGATGGCAGATGAAGAAAATGATGATGATAAATCTTGATGATATTAATGAAGACAGATTTATCAATAATGAAATAAAATAAAAATAATAATGTTGAACAGACCGGTGCTACATGCTGACATCACAATCACACATAAAGAGCCAGTCACTTGCTGCAAATACAACCTCAGCTTTAACCAAGTCATCACCTGTTCTGAGGGATCGGTAAGTTCAGAATTTGTCTTTATCCATCATAGATAGAATTCATAATCCCTTGTTCATCACAAACATGTGTTGAATATATGTACAGAATTAAAATCTATCTCTAACATACATGATTATTTGCTGAAAAAGAGAAATTTATATATTTTTTTCAAATTATTTTATAGTGCCTTCAAATGATGGTTACTGGGTTTATAAATTTCTCCACAATGTAAAGCTTTTTTGCTAACGTAAATCTATGCATGGTATTTTTTTTGAGTCACTAACTTCAATGTAAACATGTTTAATTATTAAATCCAGGTGATTAAGCTGTGGGATTTTGAGACAGGGGCGGGGATATTTGAGTTTGGAGATGCCCATGGAGAATCGGCAATCACTTGTATGACATTTGATTCCACAGGAAGAAGGTAAGGAATAGTCCAGCTCTTGTCATAATATACTTAAATAGTTAGTTCCACTTGACTGACCAGGGACACAGTTGACTGAATAGATGTGATAGTTTGTAACGGTTTCCCTCAGACATTTGGGAGTTAGGGAGGGTCTTACCCACAGTTATAAAAAAACTATAAACTTTATTTATTTTACAACAATTGCGAAACAAGTTATTTCAACCTATATTAATCACTCTTGTTGGCACGGATGTAAGCGGGCGAGGGGTCTTATTGTGGGAGGAAACCTGAGTACCCGGGAAAATCCCAGGTGGTCGAGCAGGTAACCCTTACCTTTTCAAGTCCATTCTAGAAGTCGAACCCCAGACGACTTGGCGAAAGGCGAGTGCCTTACCACTGCGCTACCTGACCACCCACAGTTACCCACAGTTCATGGGTAGACATTATCTGATATTATCCAAGTTCAGTGAGGACAGTCATTCTTCACCTTCACTCATTGATATTACTTATCACTGAACAGAAATGGCTACTCATAGATTCTGTCTGCTAGATGGAGAGAAATAAAGACTGCACTTGATATAAAAGAGAAAATCAGTGAAATGTTAGATAACACCAAGTAATCATTATACCTTTGACGTTGTAGATTACTAACGGGAGGAAGAGATGGCACAATTAAGATCTGGAATTACAACAACGGCCATTGTTTACGGATGCTAAAGAAGGGTAAGATTTTTTAAAGATATCTCCATACACGTGTATTAGTGAGGATGTTTAAAGTTCATCTGAGTTGTATTTTCAGGCAAGACAAGATCATTTCAGCATCACATTTAATTCAGGAGAAAGAACTATAAGCAGTTTTTTATACAACTTTACCGAATTTACATGACCTTTTTTTCTATCTTTACAGAGACGGAAACTGATGAAGTTTGTGATCTAACATATGTGGAAATGAACAGAAACAGGTATTATATGATTTGTGTTGTAATTGATAGATCAATGTTGTACACATAAGATACAAGTGGACAATTGATTACAGAAGTGCTCTCAAGCGTAATGTGATTTACTGATACACAAAAATGTTACTGCAAAGTCATTCGTTTTCACGGGCGATTCATTTGTGTTGATTTTTGTGGGTACTCTTTAATCCACCACTGTCAGAATTAGTAAAAGTAGATTAAGTGGGCCATGAAATCAAGTATCACCAAAAGAGTGATTGTTTTTTTCAAAATCCATGAAAATTGAAAAGAAAACATGTGATTTCACAGTACTTCAACAATTAACACACACCAGATTTACTGACAGAAACTAGCACTTCTCCAACCCTTTGAAATATGATTCTGGCTTGTATTGAAAAGACTGAAGTCTGGACTTTGTATACTGATATCAGAAGATTTTTCTAACTCTATCGATGCTTTCTCTCTTGAAACTTATTCCTATGGTCAGTATGAAGGTAGTTGGGAGCTTGGGATTAACATACAGTAGAGTTATATCCCTTTTCATAATTGAGGTAATGATGTGGTCATTTACTTCTGAAATCAGTCTGTTTGCACTGTTGACATTTAAATGCACTGTTAATGGTTTGGTTGTAGATATGTAATATCCGTGGGCTGGGACAGAACTATCAATATTTATTCTGATGATGCCAATGCTGACAGCAATATTCACCTGGTACAGAACCCTAACTTGTACTGGGCAGACGACAAGGTAGGTTAGAAATTTCATTTCATTTTCATATTTTATATGTGATAATGACTATATGAATACAGAAAAGCATCCCCTCCTGTTTATACTGATATTTAATTACTGCAAAGTGCTCTTGAAATTTTAAGTTCACATTTTTTTTTTCAAAATTTGTGATAAAACTTCATTGTGAATTATGTTTTGTTTTCAATATCACAGACATAATTAAATCTGTTCATACAAATAAAAGCTAAACATGTGAGATGTTAATATAGTTATTGAGCCTGTTTCTTGAACAATTTTCTTGGATCACTTCCACGCAGAAAAACGGTCACAAAGAAGATATATTGGCTATAGCTCAGAGTCCTCCCAACTTGATAGCCACCGGCAGCTACGATGGTGAAGTTATAGTGTGGAACATGGTGTCTGGCCACATATTTTGTCACCTGCACGCACCTGTACCTCCCAACTACGAGGATGAATCCTGTAAGAATTTTACCTGTCTATAAAAACTATAAACTTTATTTATTTTACTACAAATGCAAAACAAGTTATTTCAACTAATCACTCTTGTTGGCCTGGATGTAAGCACGTGAGGGGTCTTACTGTGGGAGGAAACTGGAGTACCTGCAGAAAACCCACGTGGTCGGGCAGTAGACCCTTACCTTTTCACATCCGTTCCAGGAGTCGAACCCCGAACGGCAAGGTGAAAGGCATGTGCATTACCACTGTGCCATCCGACCACCTGTCTACTCATTAGGATAAGTTATGCAAATGATTTTTGTAGAAATGTCACATAAAAATACATAGGTTTGAACAAGCTAGTCTTTCCGCAATGGGGTAACATTCTATTGATGTCTTTATGATTCAATATGACCTTGACCATCAAACTTTTACCATGTGACCTTGACTTTTGAACTATGACCTTGAATGTGTGACTTTGACTATGAAGCATATTTACATTTAATCCTGTATACTGTTGTTTGCAGTGGACGGAGACCTCAGCGTGAACAAGTTAGTGTTTCTCAAGTCTCGGGAATCTCGCAAGGCATCAGCTTCACTTATTGCGAGTGGGCCACGAGGACATATCCACTTTTGGAACGTGTTCCAGGGTGGCAGCATGATGGCCCAGTTTAAAGGGGTGAGGCCACATTAGATATCTCCTCAAACCTGTCAGAATACCTACTTTTTTGTTTTCTGTTTCTGTGTTTAATGGATGTTTGCACTGGAAGGATATTTTATTTTTGGAGTAGACAATTATGTAGTTTGTTTGTCAAGTCTGAGTTCACTGAATGGATGATATTTGCTTGTCAAGTATAAGATTATTATTTTGCCAAGTCTATGTGCAGTGGACAGATGATAGTTGATCCAGTTAAAAGGTTACTCTGTATGTGTTTGCCCAGTGTAAGTCCAAGAATATTTTGTATTTGTTTGCCTGCTATAAGATTATTATATATTTGTTAGCCCAGTCAAAGTCAAAGTAATCTTATACTGTATTTTTTGCCCTCTGTAAGATTATACTGTATTTGTTTGCCCACTGTAAGATTATACTGTTTTTTTTTGCCCTCTGTAAGATTATACTATATTTTTTGCCCTCTGTAAGATTATACTGTATTTTTTGCCCTCTGTAAGATTATACTGTACTTTTTGCCCCCTGTAAGATTATACTGTATTTGTTTGTCCACTGTAAGATTATACTGTATCTGTTTGTCCACTGTAAGAATATACTGTGTTTGCTTGCTCACTGTAAGAATATACTGTGTTTGCTTGCTCACTGTAAGAATATACTGTGTTTGTTTTGCTCACTGTAAGATTATGCTGTGTTTGTTAGATTATACTGTATTTGTTTGCTCACTGTAAGAATATACTGTGTTTGCTTGCTCACTGTAAGAATATGCTGTGTTTGCTTGCTCACTGTAAGATTATGCTGTGTTTGCTTGCTCACTGTAAGAATATACTGTGTTTGCTTGCTCACTGTAAGAATATACTGTGTTTGCTTGCTCACTGTAAGAATATACTGTGTTTGCTTGCTCACTGTAAGAATATACTGTGTTTGCTTGCTCACTGTAAGATTATGCTGTGTTTGCTTGCTCACTGTAAGATTATACTGTGTTTGCTTGCTCACTGTAAGATTATACTGTGTTTGCTTGCTCACTGTAAGATTATGCTGTGTTTGCTTGCTCACTGTAAGAATATACTGTATTTGCTTGCTCACTGTAAGATTATACTGTGTTTGCTTACCCTTTATAAGATTATTATTTGTTTGTCTAGTCTAAGGTCAGTGGAGGGATGATAACCACCATGGCCACTGATGACGCCAACACCATGCTTTTCTGTGGAGATAGCCTCGGCTTCATACTCATCTACGACGTGGACGGATATTGTCTCAACAGCAAATCGAAATCACCCCCTGATCGTAAGTTATATATTTCATCTCTTCCTTAACTAAATCTGCTTGGTCATTTCAGCACATTCTGCTCTTATTCTCTCATTTGATATCCCGTCTTGCGTGGTGACTTATTTAGAGTTAATGTTTCGCTGATTTGAATCAGCTAAGTGAGATAGAGCCTGACGGACAGCCTACACTGTTACTGTAGTGTTTTGGGTATATAGGACCACTTTGATTTGTGTTTTTCAGTAATCCATTCCTGGCGAGGTCATGTTGACAGTGTTCTGTGTCTCGAGATGGTAGAAAAGAATAAAGTCATTCTCACAGCATCTATGGACTGTACTGTGAGGATGTGGACGTTCAACGGCGACTATATCGGTAGGTCACACTTTACGGGGACTGAGATTAGAGGTAGTTAACAGTGAGATCCATAAACTTTTGATAAAGATTTGGAATAAGTTAATCACTTAATTGACATGTACTTGGGGTCACCAATTTTTGAGGATAAAAACCTGTCATCAGATTCTGACTTGATAGCAATCAATGTTGTAGTCTCCAATGAAGAGACAGAGAGTCAATATTCATCCTCTTCCCCTAAGGCAATTCTGTGTCTGGTTTTTCTGGATTAATTTTTCTCTTTTCATGAATCTCTGTCTGGTTTTTTTTTTTTTTATTTTATTGATATCTCTCCAGATATGTCCATCTGTCGTCAGTCAGGAGCAGAACTTTGTAATACAGACTGTTAATGTTTGTAAATAATTAGATGGTTACTAAATCTTTAAAAGTGTTTTTACCACAGTAGGTGTTATATTCAACTTCCAATATAAAGGATAAAATCACCATTCCAACTGCCCTTAAAAAGAAAATGTTATACCACAAATGGATTGACACTTTAACAAGTTTTGATTTGTTGACAGGATGAACTTAGAGCAAAAGGTGCTTCACGCACTCACAGATATTTTTTAAATGGGTCATGATTTTTATCCTTTTGTTATTGGTTTTAAGATAAGAAACCAAATTACTTGTAGTTATAATGTGTAAGAGTTACAATATCTCCATGTTTTTCTGAAGTTGTCAATTTCGCATTTGAACTAGCAACATTTAACTTAAGATCATATCATTAAGCCCAAACTGGTAATGTAAACAAAACACATGTGGGTGCAGAACAGAATTTAACTTTGAAACAACTTTTTTTTGGTGGTAGAAACAGGTCATACAAACTCATAATTATTTTCCCAAAGCTCATGTTTTTTTGTTTTTTTTTGTTGTTGTAACCTTTGATAGCAAATACCGGTGAAACCACACCCACTTTTTGTGTAACCTCTATAGCTTACACATCATCAGAGCATAATGACTGTGTATAGGTATTAAATGATTACACTTGAACAGGTACCTATGGTCAGCCGGAGCCTTGGGACTTATATGATCCCTCCTCTTTCCAACATCCCATGGTGCCATATGATGTACTTATTGACCCCTTGAGTCTACCGGATCACCCTATTTTCGACAAGGTATCAGAGACACCAGACATCTCTCAGGATGAAACAAAGTCAGAGGAGGTAAGGATTGTTTTTTATTTTAGCATTAATTCTGACGTATATACTCTCTCCATGAAATGACTGAGGCCATTAAGTCATCGCCCAGTACGTCGATTTGTCAAGGACATTTTTGGTTGATCTGCCATAAGATTCAATAAAGAGTTTGTTTTTAATTTTAATTTTGTTTTAGCAGCAATATTATGTTAATGTTACCCAGTAAAGGATATTACAGTGACATTTTTAATTGTATAGTTTAAATAATGTTGGAGAATTCAAACTGTTATCGCACAAGGTCTTTCTCATATTCCATCAGGTGCCGATGAGAACCCCAACCCCACAAGTGTCACATGGTAAAAATCAGTTCTTTGTGGATGATGACACGATTGCTCGGCAATTGAAAGACCTTTCTGGAACTCTGAAGGATGAACACCTTACTGAAGAGGAGATTCAGAAATTCAGGGGAAAGTGGTAAGTATCGGGACTAGAAACATGTCCCTTCTCTAATTGTTCTTTAACAGAGTTCATCTCTTTGTTATTAGGTTGTCAGTGTTATTGTCCAGCCCGCAGCTGAGCACAAGTCTGAAAATTAAGAACCGAATTTGTTAAAATGTAACTTGTTTGGTGGAATAAAGATGTTTAGTGGTGTGATATTTCCTTGTCTGTGAGTTGGGACATGGGTATTCCCCTTTCATATCTATAATGTCATGTCAACAATGCATTGCAATGAGACAACAAAAAAAACATCCCTAGGGAGGCCAGCAGGGTTAGAGAAAGGTAATTATATACTCCCATGTTGGTGAGAAAGAGTTCTCAACCCTTTAGGTAAGATTATTATGTTACAAAGCCTGAGGCCTCTTTTGAATCTGTGATCCTCCAAGAAAGTGAAAGATTTGATTAAACTTACCATCATAAGGGAAAATATTGTATCAATCATCAAACATAGTTCTATTTGTAAGCTTTTTACTTGCTTAATCTCACTTAAGAAAGAACAAAAAAAGGAGATAAAGAGCTTGTCTTGGAATTAGCTGTTGCTGTAAACGGATTGAACAATTGTGACTTGTTGTTGCAGGCTTCGCCACGAGAAGACAAAGATTAAGCCAACAGATCGTGGAGGTCCCAGTGAATACCATATGCTGAAGTGGTCTCCCCTGAAGGACACCCCCATGCCCCCTCCCCCAAAACATCGCTTCAATAAGGACAATCCTCTTGATTTTACCATATCATAGCATACACACCCACTGGAGATCAACTTTACCATAGTCTAGCATACAAGTATGGATAATACCCAGGATACCCAGAACCATCAGCCATTGTGTGCCAACTGCAGGAGTGATTATACATTCTAGATCAGCTTCGGAATGTGGAGAACAAGTTGGATTATGCAGCATTTTCACTTTCTATTCTATTTGTAAAAAGCAAGCTTTTATACTACAAGGGTCAAGCATTCAGCTGACCTGGATGAAGCACTGGACACAATTTTAGTGGGTGGATTGCTGTTAACACCACTATATTTTCCACGGAGATGTGTTTGTATGTTAGATGTTTAGTGTAAATAAACATTCATTTTTTTTCTTGAGCTGCCTGTGATAATTATAGGTGATCAGAGTCCAAAAAATGTTTCAGGAGTTATGTAAAAATATATAGTTCTTGCTTAGGAGTTGTTAACTGTGGTTGTCTGTGCTGAAAAGCTGGAATGGTGTAAACAACCGGTTGGTATTCAACAAATTGTAATTGTGATATATCTGTGATCAATATTTTATTAAAATTTTGCATGTGTGGCATATACTTTACATTATCAAAGTCAAAAGTTTTGATCTCTTGTGGTAAAATCTCCTATTGCTTGTATCGTCAGAATAAAAATGAGAATTAAGTTAATTAAAAAGTAATTACGATTTCCTCAATGCACGTTATTAGGTGTTTGAGGTGTTCAGATTGTACCAAGATGCAGAATCGGGCCAAACAACAATATCAAAAGATTCACGTAATAAAATTGGTTAATCGTGGCTGTTTTAACATTTGCCAAAAAGTCTATTACTTAAGCAAATCTTTATCAATAGTGTTTTACATTGGTCTGCAATTTTTGTATTTTTATAGCAATGAAATTTGAGAACTATACTTTGAACTTTTTTGCTAAACCAAGTTGATATTTGCTGATGTAGGTTTTTCAGGGTCTCTGGAAAATTTATTTAGATTTTTCTATTTATATTTGACTTTTACAAAAGAGTTTTGTTTTTGTCAGTTTTGACCTGACACTATCAACAAGGAGAGGACTATATCTGGTTTGAAGCAATGCGATTAACATTATGGATTATGTTAATACTTACTTACTTCAGTATTTAATTTTACATCATATATCAAAATGGAAAAAAAATCATTCTGTTTCATCATTTTTTTTGTATTTTATATATCAAAATTTTGTAACTTTTGTCATGCGTTTTACTATAATTATTTGTATAATATTTGAAGAGTGCCAAGATTTTTGCAATACTAGTGTTTAGAGATTAGAAGTATACCTGTGTATATAATGTGTACAAACTATACATAGCATTAGTTTTTATTGTAATTTGTATGTACTAATTAAAAGTATTATTATTTCAACAACATCAGTATATTGCCTTGTTCAAATGTGTTGTTACAGTACTACTTAGAAGGAAATATTAATAGTGAAATGCTATACACAAGTATAAACTCTATAAACATATTTCATTACGGCTGTGTTGTACAGTTTTAATATTCATGTTTTAGGGATAATTTATCACTCTTTTTAAGAATATATTTTTATTTTTCAGAGGTGTGGCTATTTTGTGACCTACTTTTTGTACAGTTTATTATTTTTATTTATTTAAAATTTCATATTTGCAAAATCTGATGAAGTTCACTGCCTAATTCTACTTGCTTTCTATATGACACTAATTATTTTCAATGCTTAATTATGGGTAGAAAGTTGAATATTTTGTAATATATTGGTTATTCCAGATAACACTAATTTGTTGATAAGCAGTGATAGAATAAGATCCAAGTTAAATCTTGCTAACACAGTACCGATTCCCCTCTTCTGTTTATATATATATATACACACATCTGGAGGAAAAAGGTTGTGTCAGTGACCCCCACTCCCCTACAGTACAATATAACAGAAACAGGTCTGGAGTGAGGCTCCCACCCCTACAGTACTATAAAAGGTAAAGGGATAGAAACAGGTCTGGAGTGAGGCTCCCACCCCTACAGTACTATAAAACATAAAGGGCTAGAAACAGGTCTGGAGTGAGGCTCCCACCCCTACAGTACTATAAAAGGTAAAGGGATAGAAACAGGTCTGGAGTGAGGCTCCCACCCCTACAGTACTATAAAACATAAAGGGATAGAAACAGGTCTGGAGTGAGGCTCCCACCCCTACAGTACTATAAAAGGTAAAGGGATAGAAACAGGTCTGGAGTGAGGCTCCCATCCCTACAGTACTATAAAACATAAAGGGCTAGAAACAGGTCTGGAGTGAGGCTCCCACCCCTACAGTATTATAAAAGGTAAAGGGATAGAAACAGGTCTGGTGGGAGGCTGGCTTCCCTTACAATAACATACATGCAAATTACAGGGGACCTTGGTAATCAACCAGTGTTAATGAAGTTTACCTTAAGTTTGTTAAAACTTTTCAACTCTCATGTCCAGATCAAATCAAATTAAAGTTTTACATAATATTTTAAATGATAGAAAATATTACAATAGGGTACCAACCATGACCTAGATATAGGTTTATGTTTATGTAGAAGGTTATTTTTGGATTTTACACTTTATTATCCCCCTCATACAATTAAAGACATATAAGGATGTAATATGAAGCATGTTGAAAACCCAATGGTAATGACATCCAAGATCGTTGACTGGCATGTCTGATTTAAGAAATCTCTTTGAGTACATGTTAAGTATTGTATACACTAACTCCGTCCACAATATACATTGTACATATTCATTATCCTGATATAGACATCCGAAAATCATCAGCTGATTGACTGTTTCAAGCCTTTTTGTCTCTTAGGAAATTGATTATTTGATATACAGTTTCCACTAAAAGATGATAAGGAAATAATGTTATGACCTTTCATTTTCACCTCCGAAACATTTTCTTTGATTAGGAAAATTAATGAAATTGGTGAATATCTATTAAATGTATAATGAATATTTCATTAGTCTAATCAACATATTATTCTGTGAAACATTTGCTGTGAAGTATGATTATCTTCACACATGTGTGCTATTTTCTTCTACTTAAATTCATTCCACCATTTTGTTGAATTCTCTTACACTTCATGAATACAGGCTTACTTTGAGCAGTTGTGTTTTTTCAAAACATGTTAGGGAAGTTTGAAAAACATCAAAACAGTTTCATTGTGTCTGAATAATTGTTCTCAAAGTTAAAAATTCCTGATTATACAGTATAGAGGAAGGAAGAGATGACAAACTGTTTATCCTTGTTAAGTATCACTGTATTCATGCATGGGTTTTAAAAGTATAGTGTACAATACTTAGGCTTCTTGTATAAATATTGAAATATACAAATATCTGTGATAAAGTTTCTTTGATAGAATCTGATTGTTACGTAGTTTGATATTCATATATTAATGGAAATGTGATGCAGCAGTTCTTTGTAAGAAAAAGTTGTTATAAAACAATATTTTCTGCCCATGAATTATCTAGGTATTATACCTGGTATGAACTTGGGTTATAAAGTATTAGGGACCCAGTCCCAAGGGTAGAATTTTGGGACATAGCAGTTTTAACTGCAAAATGTGATAACTCGGAATTTGTCAAAATTAAATGTGTACTTTCAATTATAAAGGTTTCTGTGTTTGTTTTTAATTGATTTGCCATTTGTCTTTAAAATAAATGATCTTATATATTGAGAGAATCTAACATGGAACAGCGGCCTAATTGTAGAATGCATATACATGGATTATCAAAACACAGTCATACTAGAGTACATAACAAGCTTATTTATAAATTAAAAGTATATATTTTCACACTGACCTAATTTTTTTAAATAAAATGGCAAAAACAGAAAATAAGAGATAACGATGTACAACTTTGAGTTCAACAAGACTCCATGCTAGGACTTTTGATAATTATAATATTTGTTAACAATTTGCTGGAGCCAGTCTACTTGGGCATGTACCAAGTACTTGTTTGCGACGAAACTTTGAAAATATTTATGATGTTAAATATGAAGATGACGGTACTGAACTTCAGGGGCATTTAATGTGCAAGTGGAGCGACACATGCCTCTCCAAAATGCATCATAAATGTAAGCGCATGCGCATTGTTAGGGAATCGTCTCGCGGTATTACAGAAACAGCATATACCTCCTAAACAGAAAGTATCTGCACAATACAGAAGAAAAAAGAGTCGTAATCATAAAATCTAAGCTAGCATTTGATGATCACATATCAGAAAAAGTTGAAAAAAACCTATATAGTAATTTTATGTTTGCTATATATGGATTTACAGACCTTTGTTCGCTCGCAACTGGACAATACCAGTCTAGTATGGGTACCATGTATGTAGACACGTACTGCCAAAACCTTTGGAGTCCGAATAAGAACCTTTCAATCACACAATAATCATAATAAAGAAGTAGGCACGAGGGACTGCTGATTCCAACACTAGCTTTCATAAGAGTACGCGAAAACGTGATAGAACTGTTCAAACTGATAAAAAGACTTTACGATAATGAAAGATGATGGTGAACGTCACGAGAGAAGATTTGAAGAAAGCATATCCGATTAAATGTTAAGGAAATACTATTTTTTCAATTAAAAGCTTCATTAGTAGCTCCGATACTTCCGGTCACAGTGTTTAAACAAGAACGAACTAAACGTGACATTTTTGATGTAGAGTCCTGAATTAGAAACACACTGAACTAGTTTATAGTGTTTGGCCTTTCTAAAGTACCTTTTAGTGTGTAACTTTCCAACTGGTGTAATTTTCCCGAACTCTGACCTTTCCTGGAATGCAGTTAACACAATTGTCTTGCGAATGGTAATCATATAACTTAAAGCATGTTGAACCGTTCAATCAAAGTCTTTTTTCTGCCTGTTTTTATAAGATGTAAATTTCCGACCTAAATGAGCGTGTTGATGCATCAGACATTCCAGGAACCAAAGCGATCTTTCTGTACATGTCAACTCTTTGTTTCCCTCTTATAATAAGTTCAGTATCAAGCCAATCCCTGTTGACTCTCTTTAAACATGACTGCTCTACCCTTCCAAAGGACTTTCTATAAAATATACTGTTTGTCATCATCTGTAGCCTGTGGAGGCATTTGGGTATAAGCTATCAACCTGTTCTTGAATCAAAATGCCAGGCGCTGTGCATGATGGTGACATACATGTATTAGGCACCAGAATCATACATCCCCTTCATATAGACCATACACTAATATTTTTTTTAATGTTAACTAATAGATAAATTTAAAAGTAATAAAATCATAACTAATTGATGATCTAGAAAATCTAGAAAAAAATAATAATAAATACATTTTAGCGTAAAACACATGTGAAACGATCACGTACGTTAAAACAACGTTATTCTAACGTTGATCAACATTGAAAGAAATGAATTTTATATTAACGTTGAAATGACGTTTAAGTGATGTTATTTCTTAGCGTTGAAATAACGTTATGTAATATTAACTGTGTAGGTCCTATATCGGTAAATCTCTTCTCGTCATGTGAAATCTTTACAAACTTGGAGGAAGCGTATTGAATTCTGAGTTATAAATGATGTTGACATTTGATAAAAAAAAAGTCTTTATTCCGATCACAATGAGGATTTCTTTCCACTGTAGAATGTTATCCTATCATTTTGGGGGTAAAACATCAATGACTCCTTCAGATTGTATCTAATATCACTTTACCGTTTGGTTTTTTGGGTGGACATATCAATGTTACATTATTAGAGTATATCAAGATAATAGAACTATTATCGTAGATATAAGAAAATACAAGACAGTCTGGTGGTACTTTAAAACATCCTCGACGTTATAATCCAGTTAGCCACTTCCTCCAGTATTAAGTAAATAGGTTACCGTGTTGTAGGCGAAATTCTTGTTGTCATACTAAAGAGATGTTGTAAAAGTCAACAATCTGATTGTATTGTTTAATATTAAGACTACTTTAACTTTTGTGAATGTAGATGACGAACTGACAGTCTTCCTCTTGTCCTCCTTTTTTTTCGGTTTTTGTGTATTGTCGGCTCTTGTTTCCATGGTAACATGCCACATTGTCCATCCATTTGAAAAAAAGGCTTATGAAAACCATCTGTCCATTTTGACACCCTTATTTAAAACGACTGTGATGTACCTACTAAATGAAGGCAAACCTAAAGAAAACAGATCTGGCCCCACTTGTATAAAACATCTCAACTTGAGATCAGTCCTCAAGTCGAGATTTTTCTCAGGAGGAAGGCATCGGCTAGGATGTCCTGAAATTCCTTGAGGAATTTTCATACAAGATATTTTCAAGGAGATATTAGCTGAGGAAAATCTGGGCTTGAGGAAATCTCAAGTTGAGATGTTTTATACAAGTGGGGCCAGTACATTGTTCAGGACCTAATCCTAATACGTTGTAGGTTTGATTCTCCTTGATTTCACATTTTAACACCTATTGGCATCACCGACAAGCCCTAAAAGAATTAAACATCGATGTGATGCAGTTTAACTCACTATTTAGATATATCGTATCTCATTCTAGACCTCTAGAGGCACTGTTCACCCATTTTATACAATCTGAAGAGAATGTGTCTCGCTTGTCCAACCATACGGACTTCAATCACTCATGTGGTTAATATTTCACATTGTGATAACAATACTGAGTCCAGAGAAAAATACTGACTCCATTTATAAAGTACAATAAACAATATATCATAACCCACACTTAATTAGATAGTTATTTAATTACTCAATATTCCTGCTAAAACATATCAGTTCAATTGAGTTTGTTTACCTTGTTTATCATAGTTGTTTATTTGTCTATTATGGCGTCATTTTAGAGGTGACTTGTCATCGGCTGTGTTGATAATGCATCATGAATGTCTAGTGTCATGTTTTAAAACAATTGACTGCTTAATAAGCAGTGCTTATCTGTCAAAATAAATTGTTATGTATCAGCCCTTAAATTTGTTTAAAAAAAACGGATTTAAAAGCTGATTTATTTGAGTAGGACTGTCGGTCTGGTCCCTCACTCTGGTCTAATGAATCATACTCTTTATTACCTCGTCTCTGTTGTCTTTACTTGTGATACAATGACATGTTTAAATCCAGTCATGTGAAACACAATAACTCACGAGACATGGTTACTTTGATAAATGACCATCACGTAAACAACACTGGTTATGTATAATTGTCATTTATGCACTGTGGTCGAACCGGACACCGTCTACACATCAAAAGTTATATAAACGACCGATAGAGATACATCTAGACCTGTTTTCTCAGATGGTTTCAAAAGGCATGTGTTCATGATGGACTGAAGATATATATAAACAAAATGGTCATGAGAAAACATTCTATACAAATTATGAAATTGTCTTAAGTCGAAATTGTTCATACATTTTATTCTGAATTTAAAACAAATCATTTATAATTTCATTTTAGAAGCATGAAAGAATTCTCGGTATTGGTTTTGGTGACCCTAGCTTCCTCAGCAGTCGGTAAGTAATTCTTCGTTTCATTTAATTATCAGGAATTATATGATCAAAACCTAATGTACACTTTTTTTTCTTAATTGTTGCATATCTCGGAAAATGATCATTGCTAAACGTATAATTAATTTAGACAGAAAATTTCAAAATAGATCAACTTTGAATAGTGGTACAAGGTTTTCTGTTTCATTAGCCATCGAGCTCGCCGCTGGTTCCATTTTCCAAATTTGATATCAATTCGTTCACAGAACTGAAGAAAAAAAGCATTACTCTTTCGAAGGGATTGTCACATTTGAACGGTTTTACTAATGCATACTGAGTTGTAGTCATTGCAAGAGACATCCTTCTGCAAAAACCTAAAAAAAGGATGAATTCTTTCAGATTAATAGAATTTCATTTTCTACAGGTGATGAGTCAAATGGACAAAGTGTTTGATCTTTAGGGTCAATTTGTAGAAAATACAACGACACTCAGTCTGCACATCCGTGTCTATATACTGTCTATATTCTCGATACTCCATGGGTTACGCCCACTGTCGCTCTCTGCACCTCTGAAACATGTCATGCGAAGTAATTTGATTGGTTGAGAGTGGGTTCCAGGAGGAAAAAAACTTGACCAATCACAGGATGATACGCTATTTTTGGAAATTACAAAGGAGCGCCACTCAACATCAAAGCCATTACGATGCGCCATTAAGCGACCTTTAGATTTGTTTGATGTACACCAAAGGATCGAACTAGTGATATGGAAACTCAGTCAATTTATCATGAAATGTTCCAGAATGGAGAGAGCCAGAGTGAATGCCACTCAGTGCTACTAAGATGTATAATCCTTCACATTTTATCCAATTTTTCCATGCACATAGCAAATATTGAAGTCCCACTGTACTACATTTAAAACTATGGAGGTAGATTTATACTCAAATATCCAGATATTTTTTCGACAGATATGTCTTATTCAGACTAAATCCAATGAAACGTTTGTTTAATAGATATAAACCATAACAAAAGAACTATATTTTGATTATATCTCTGTAGCATCATGCGTGCTTGACAGTCGTTTTCGTGGTCAGTGGTGGATTGTTGATGTCACAGGAGCTCGTATCCAGGACGAAGCTATCACAGTATCAGCAACTGATGTAGAGATAGTGAGGAACGGTGAAACCAAGAAGTACTCCTGTTCTAATACTTATGGCTACCGCGTCCAGTTAGCGTAAGTACAATATTTAAAAAAAAAAACATCAGCTATAAGTTGGGAATGATAAACTTTATTAATTTATTATTTTTCTTGTAAAGCACGAAGACGAGGCTGTCATCTTTTATTAGCATCGTTTGGCTCAGGTACGAAACATTCGGTACATGATACCTAATTAAAATTTTTTTCACCATTTTCTTCCTTCCAGACCGATCAACAGTGAAGGTTTCATATGCTTGGAATTTGTACCTTCGGACAAAGGAACCTATATGTATTCCATTATACGGAGAGGTAGGATTGATTTCCTGTTTCTGCATGCGACCCTCTACAACCACTTGTCGGTGATCAAGTTATTGCAGACTTAGTTATGGTTATATGACCAGATATTTTCCTTTATAATGCGCATGCGTGATGGACCATTAGGTCTATGTTTCACCTTTGTGACGTTTTCTGTTTTGGCGGAGGGTAGGTCTAGCGTAACAGTATAACCCAGTGATCCATGACAATGACTATAACTTTTTCCGTTTTCACGGACCGTTAAGTCTATTTATGACCTTTTTGGCGTTTTCCGTTGTGGCGGAGGTTGTGTCTAGCTTAACAGCGATAATCCTTTGAACATCATAGTGTTATGCTGATTGGCCGTTAAGACGGTTGTGTGACACGATACAATATATAACATTAAAGTTTTCCTTGGTAGTTAAGACATCCACGTGCTATCGCGCAATCTTGTACAACCTCGTCCTGTTGAAGGTCATTATGAACACCAGGAGAAAAATATCAACCCTGTATATCTTATCGTGGTGATGGGTGATAATCTTGTATATTTTATCGTGGTGATGGTGATAATCCTGTATATCTTATCGTGGTGATGGGTGATAATCCTGTATACCTTATCGTGGTGATGGGTGATAATGCTGTTTACCTTATCGTGGTGATGGGTGATAATCCTGTATACCTTATCGTGGTGATGGGTGATAATCCTGTATACCTTATCGTGGTGAAAGGTGATAATCCTGTATACGTTATCGTGGTGATGGGTGATAATCCTGTATACCTTATCGTGGTGATGGGTGATAATCCTGTAATCCTGTGTATCTTATCGTGTTGATGGGTGATAATCCTGTATACATTATCATGGTGAGGGTGATAATCCTGTATATCTTATCGTGTTGATGGGTGATAATCCTGTATACCTTATCGTAGTGATGGGTGATAATCCTGTATACCTTATCGTGGTGAAAGGTGATAATCCTGTATACCTTATCGTGGTGAGGGTGATAATCCTGTATACCTTATCGTGTTGATGGGTGATAATCCTGTATATTTTATCGTGGTGATGGGTGATAATCCTGTATACCTTATCGTGTTGATGGGTGATAATTCTGTATACCTTATCGTGGTGATGGGTGATAATCCTGTATACCTTATCGTGTTGATGGGTGATAATCCTGTATACCTTATCGTGGTGATGGGTGATAATCCTGTATACCTTATCGTGGTGATGGGTGATAATCCTGTATACCTTATCGTGGTGATGGGTGATAATCCTGTATACCTTATCGTGGTGATGGGTGATAATCCTGTATATCTTATCGTGGTGATGGGTGATAATGCTGTTTACCTTATCGTGGTGATGGGTGATAATCCTGTTTACCTTATCGTGGTGATGGGTGATAATCCTGTATACCTTATCGTGTTGATGGGTGATAATCCTGTATATAATCCTGTATACCTTATCGTGTGATGGGTGTAATCCTGTATACCTTATCGTGGTGATGGGTGATACCTTATCGTGGTGATGGGTGATAATCCTGTATACCTTATCGTCATGATGGGTGATAATCCTGTACACCTTATCGTGTTGATGGGTGATAATCCTGTATATCTTATCGTGGTGATGGGTGATAATTCTGTATACCTTATCGTGGTGATGGGTCAAATATTAGTGACTTCAATATTAGATACTCTCTTATAAGTGAAATTATCGGTTAACCCTGATAACAGTTTTCATAAGTCCTGACATGATTTGATAAATGACCAAGTTTTTAATCCTGAAGATATCTTTATTTGTTACTCAAGGTAAGTAAACGATAAGAAATTTTTGTTGTAGCTCAATCGACGGGGTGGACGTTTGTTACACAGCCGATAGACTTGAGTCAGTGCTCTAGGACAAGAAAGTTGGGTACTGTACACGTGACACGTCCAGGTAACTATTTATACAGTCAATAGACTTGAATCAGTGTTCTAGGACAGGGGATCTGGGTACTGTACACCTCCAGGTAACTATTTATACAGCCGATAGACTTGAATCAGTGTTCTAGGACAGGGGATCTGGGTACTGTACACCTCCAGGTAACTATTTATACAGCCGATAGACTTGAATCAGTGTTCTAGGACAAGAGATCTGGGTACTGTACACCTCCAGGTAACTATTTATGCAGCCGATAGACTTGAATCAGTGTTCTAGGACAAGAGATCTGGGTACTGTACACCTCCAGGTAACTATTTATGCAGCCGATAGACTTGAATCAGTGTTCTAGGACAAGAGATCTGGGTACTGTACACCTCCAGGTAACTATTTGTACAGCCGATAGACTTGAATCAGTGTTCTAGGACAGGAGATCTGGGTACTGTACACCTCCAGGTAACTATTTATACAGCCGATAGACTTGAATCAGTGTTCTAGGACAGGAGATATGGGTACTGTACACCTCCAGGTAACTATTTATACAGCCGATAGACTTGAATCAGTGTTCTAGGACAAGAGATCTGGGTACTGTACACCTCCAGGTAACTATTTATACAGCCGATAGACTTGAATCAGTGTTCTAGGACAGGAGATCTGGGTACTGTACACCTCCAGGTAACTATTTATACAGCCGATAGACTTGAATCAGTGTTCTAGGACAGGAGATATGGGTACTGTACACCTCCAGGTAACTATTTATACAGCCGATAGACTTGAATCAGTGTTCTAGGACAGGAGATCCGGGTACTGTACACCTCCAGGTAACTATTTATACAGCCGATAGACTTGAATCAGTGTTCTAGGACAGGAGATCTGGGTACTGTACACCTCCAGGTAACTATTTATACAGCCGATAAACTTGAATCAGTGTTCTAGGACAGGAGAAATGGGTACTGTACACCTCCAGGTAACTATTTGTACAGCCGATAGACTTGAATCAGTGTTCTAGGACAAGAGATCTCGGTACACGTTAGACCACCAGGTAACTATTTAAATATATTTCATGTTTCTTTTAGATGGTTGAAAGCATAAATATTCATAGTTCTACCTTTGATATTGTCAATATAATATGTATAATTACTGATAATATGTCGGAATAATTCCTGATAATATGGCGGTTATATATATATATATATGATATGAATAATTCCTGATAATATGTCGGTTATATATATATATATATATGATATGTATAATTCCTGATAATATGTCGGCCATATATATATATATATGATATGTATAATTCCTGGTACTATGTCGGTTATATATATATATATATATGATATGTATAATTCCTGATAATATGTCGGATATGTATAATTCCTGATAATATGTCGGTTATTATATATATATATATATATATGATATGTATAATTCCTGATAATATGTCGGTTATATATATATATATATGATATGTATAATTCCTGGTACTATGGCGGTTATATATATATATATGATATGTATAATTCCTGGTACTATGGCGGTTATATATATATGATATGTATAATTCCTGATAATATGTCGGTTATATATATATATATGATATGTATAATTCCTGGTACTATGGCGGTTATATATATGTGTGTGTGTGTGTGTGTATAATTCCTGAGTACTAAGGCAGTTATAAATACATTATTTTTGTTAAATGTTTTTTCCGTTTAGATCCAGGTTGTACGTTTCCGTCCGAGATTCAAGGAAACTGGTCATTCTCTGGAGACTTTTTGAAGGACATTTTTATAGAAAAGAACAAGTTAACTTTAAAGACCTATGATGATAATGCCATGGAATTCAGATGTGAACGATACCGGTTGGACGGTTTCTACCTGTTTGCCTTAAGGTATTTCCCAACAGGCGTTCTTTTCTTGTACACCCTAAAATCCCCGGTTTTGTTTTTTTGACATGATCAATTGTGTATTTTCAAGAGTTGGACTGCTTTCAGTTGGCTTTTACTAGCGTTCATGATGATCACGAGTGCCACCTATGACCAATGCTTACATTTTTTGTATTTTTTCAAGTTTCATCTTATAACTGGAGATAACCTAAACACCGATACTTACATAAGTTGACATCCCAAAATACAAATAATTGATATTGAAAAACTGTCAGATAAAAATATTGCAAACAAAATCAATACATTTGAATAATACGTGAAGTATTCGACGAACAATGTGTTTTTTGAAAAGGTTTTCGTGTATTTTACAATTTTTTCGAAAGTGCAAAATGCTCATAATTTATTTTCCCAAATAATATGATATTTCATATTGGAGATTTCTATGAACCTTTGACATATATGTTCTTGTATTACTATAGTGCTCCTCCGAATGATCTATTTATAATACGCTGACACAAGTTCTCTACTGACTGAAATATTTCTATTAGGCTGTTTTTCCATACTTAGTTTTATGATAAATTACCAGCTGCCCTTTTGATGGGTGTTATGTTTCATTGAGATATTACAACAATAATGAAAGATGCAGCATAAAATGCTTATTGTTCTTTTTGTCCAAACAACAAGTATTGAGAAATACAAAGCAAGATATAGAGAACATTCACCGCACTGACCTCCCTCCAGCACTGTGTTTTTAACCAATATTGTGAATATTATAACTATTACACAAGGTTCATTTTTACAAGAAACTTACACAGTTATGACTGGAACGGTATGCTCTTCATTCTGATAGCAAAAATTCATTCGAACAGTAGCATTCTTTTGAAGTTACCAGACACTAAGTAATTACCCAATTAGTTTTATTGAATTATGGGGCTAATGCATCTCCTCATTTAGATTATGAAAATTCCTTTTTTCAGTTTCTTCAGTGGCCTCATAGGTTTCAGAGTTTAGTCGTTTAGCATCCCTGACAAGTCCTAGAAGGATGAAACAGCTGTCTGATGCTGTATATATATTCCCTGATTATATATATATATCTATTGTGATAAAGTATGAAACATGTTTTATCTAATGCCTTTTACAGATTATGCTTCACTTTGAAATAGGATGTGAAAACTTGAGGAGTGTGTTCCTCAAAGCAGTATCGCCCAGTAATTGTTGTTAGATGTTGAGGACTACGTGTATTGAGTTTTAGAAATTGAAGAATGAAACTTGTTTTCCATATATTATTATCAGCAGTACCAGTCTTAGAAATGCATGTCATTGTTTCTGTAATCCCATGTCTGGTTATGTAATATACGCTAGAGATAATATCGATAGTGTTTAACTTGACTACTGATAATTTCTAATAGTTAAAGTATTGTATGCAGTTTGTACTTATGGCATTTGTTTACTGTATAAAATCCCAAAGTTCTTAAAAAAACGATAATGATGAAAATAAATACTATTTTAGGTAAGGAAATAATGATATATGTATATATAAATAAATAATTGGTGCTTTTTATGCATCATGCACAAATTCAATTTACAGAAAGGAGAATGTCAGTGAAAACAAAGATGGCTGTCTATGCTTACGGTTTCAATTCGTTAAGAAAAGTGATCCAAATGTCCACGTCCTGGCCGGGCAGAGATTCAGTGGTAAATATTTCATTCTAGAATTGAGGGATATAAAACGAAAATACACAAACCTTTCATTATCCTGTTAAATATCGTTTCAGTGGATTTTTGTTATATGTAATTAAGATAATTGTTTCCTATGACAACCTAGACTGAAGTAATTGAGGAAAAAACAGCTTCAAAGTTCAAATCTAAATTACTGATTGGTCAAAATTTTAAAAGCGTCTGTGAACAAGATATAACAATAGAAGTGTATATGCTATTACAATGGAAGTGTATAGGATATTACAATGGAAGTGTAAAGAGTATTATAATGGAGTGTACAGGATATTATAATGGAAGTGTATAGTATATTATAATGGAAGTGTACAGGATATTACAATGGAGGTGTATATGATATTATAATGGAAGTGTATAGTATATTATAATGGAGGTGTACAGGATATTACAATGGAGGTGTATATGATATTATAATGGAAGTGTATAGTATATTATAATGGAAGTGTATAGGATATTACAATGGAGGTGTATATGATATTACAATGGAAGTGTATAGGATATCACAATTGAAGTGTATAGGATATTGCAATTGAAGTGTATAGGATATTACAATGGAAGTGTATATGATATTACAATGGAAGTGTAAAGAGTATTATAATGGAGGTGTATAGGATATTACAATGGAGGTGTATATAATATTACAATGGAGGTTATATGATATCACAATGGAGGTGTATATGATATTACAATGGAGGTGTATATGCTATTACAATGGAGGTGTATATGATATTACAATGGAGGTGTATATAATATTACAATGGAGGTGTATATGCTATTACAATGGAAGTGTATAGGATGTTACAATTTAATTTAAACACTATGTTATATAATCTGTGGTTTCGCCAGTATTTATTTTATAGTATTGTTTTTGTTTGATTTTTTTAAATTTGTATTTACTTCGCAAAAGTGTATATAATATTGTTGAAATGGACTGTAGACGATAACAATTAACTACGTTTTATTTACAGCTGGAACTCCGATCAAGCTGATAGATCATGGCTCACCTATCTATTTTCATCAAACATGTGATTACACGGATGTTATTGGTCCATACAAGTGGCAAATAGCCCATCGGTCACTGAAACCCTTTGTCACTTTGTGATATCATAAATGACCATACATTATTTTTGTTCAAATACATTGTATATAATGATGAATAAAACAATAGAAAAAGAAACACCGGTCGGTACTTTATAAGTTAATGATGAGTTATTAAAATGACTTTATAAACTATACCAGCAACTGTTGAGATGCTTATATGAGGAGTTACTGAGATGTCACACAGAATTTATTGCTGTACTTCCGATTACTTACAATTACAAAAACATGAACAACAACAGTAGTATTAGTAAATATGCTGAGATTAAACGAAGAAATAATTTCATGAAACAAAAAACTTTTTTTTCATTATTATTCAATGAAACAGAAACAAAAGGGATTCAAGTATCTTTTTTCAGACATTATATTTTGGCATTGATGGTTTCTAAATTAGATTTATTTACAAATTAGTATAATCATATGTAGGGAAATCGCAGTATATAGACGAATTGAGGTATTTAAGAGGCCTACATACAGAACGTTGGCGGATGGCGAGTAAATCTCCTGATTATTTATTCTCAATGATCATTGTTATTACTTTCAGATTATTTAAATGCATCGGCTATTTAATGTATGTAATGTGAAAGTTTTATGAAACATTAAGAAATATTTAGTGCACTTAATTAGCGTGTTGTTATAGTCTTCATTTCATTTTTATCACTCATGTATAGAGAATGTGTTTTTAACTGACCTCTTCTGATATACTTTGTATGTCGGAGGGTTATAAAAATCTGGTTAATCTTCTTAGAGGAAAAAGAATTTTATGTCAAAATGATCTGAACTAAAATAAATTAATGTAACGCAAAAAAATACAACGTAAAAGAGAGGTGCATAATTTTCGATTAGGTTGAAACATTTGAGAGTAATGCTCATTAAAAGAGACTAAAATCACTTGAAAAGTAATACAAATGGCATTTAAGACGGAAAACACTTAATGTTTTTGGAACCGTCTAAATATCGAGTTGTAAATAAATATGACCATCCTTCAGCTTTGGTTACATTTCCATTGGTGTGACTCAAACGCTCTCAGCAGCTGCATCTATCCAGCTGTGACCACTACACCACCATGCCCTCGGTTACATTTAGTTGGCAGGTTCGTGATAAGCAATCTGTATGAATTGATGCCTGTAAGGTGCACACCTGTTTATAATAAAGTTGTTCTGTAAATAATCGTTCATATATCATTTTTTATAGTATCAAAGAAGTTCTGAAACATTTTAAGAAACAATATATGAAAGAAGCTATAGATACCTTAAACATTATGTAGCAGGCTGTATTGAGACAGATACATCCAGTGGTTTACTGTTAAATAATATCTATACGTCTTCGAGTTGTTTACAATTAGTTATAATACATATAATAAACAAAATTACAAATAACAATGCTAGAAAAAAATTATACAGCCTTAAAAAACAATGAGATTGTCTTCATTGTAATTTATAGCTATGTGTGTGCGGAGACGTGTGTGAGTGTGTGGGGGGGGTGTTAAATCCTCGTTAAAACGTTGAAACAAAATAAGCCACTGCGTGTCATGCATACTTTTTTTTCTAATTAGTGATCGCATAATTTTACACAGCAAAAAAGTAAAACAATCTTATTAAATACAATAATATAAAGGTGTTTTGAAATATTTAGCTCTCAGCACCAGGTACACAGAATCCGCAATGTTTCAATGTCACAGGCGCTATGGTGGGTTTGACATGCAACATGCATACATATATCATATATACAATACGCAATACACATGGCGTTAGTACAGTAATTCATTATTAATGATGAAACGGTCGCAATACCGTTCCAACACCTACTTATAAATAGACATGGTGACCACACATGGACACTAGATTTTATCAAGGAATCAAGCAACATGCACACGGTGAGTTGAAGAAATGGGCTTACTGACGGAATTAGTATTATGTTCACTTCCGAGAAAATTGTCACTTTTTTGTGAAATACATATTGTCATTTTCACGATACATATAAGATAAGTAACGAAATGACCTGTTTTCTTTTTCTTTGTTACATGTTATATAATCTCAGAATTTCACAATCACATCATGATATCTGGTATACTTCAAACTAAGTATAATATACAAAGGCCCGAATTTATAGTTCATATATTACGATACGGTACCGGGGGTATATTAAAATGTCAGATGATTATATCATAAGTTCTTTATTTAATATGTATTGCCACATGAGAATTCCTCTGATAATGACAATTAATATCTGGTTTGAATATATATGCAGAAAAGAAAACAAACATATATATAAGGAATAGTTTGGAAATGTATCTTTTTATCCGTTAGATGAATTCGGGTATTCAACATGCACTATTTACCGTTGTAGTTCCGTATCACTTAACTATTATCGACCTTTTTTATATATTAAGGTGTTTGTTGTCTTCGTTGTGATTCTGCTGGCCTCTACAGTATCTTGTGAGTATTACATTTGTATTTTCTAACATGTATACCTTGGTAACATCACATTGAAAAATGGAATGACACAAATTTGTTAGGAATCAACACCAACATGCATATCAAGTTAATATCACAATGAACGATGGAATGACATAAATTTGTTAGGAATCAACACCAACATGCATATCAAGTTAATATCACAATGAACGATGGAATGACATAAATTTGTTAGGAATCAACACCAACATGCATATCAAGTTAATATCACAATGAACGATGGAATGACACAAATTTGTTAGGAATCAACACTAACATACATATCAAGTTAATATCACAATGAACAATAGAACGAGACACATTTTTGAAACAAAATACAAACGATTTTATAAGAGTTTCGTGTTAATGAAAATGCAAGTGAGTAAGTGACCGTCAAACGAACTATCCTTCGATTATATATAAAGACAATACAAAAGGAAATATGTAAAAAAAAAGTAGTTCAAGTTGAATGGAAGGAAGTTTTTGTATACAATAAAACTACACAAGACTCACTCAAAATGGAAGCAATAATGCTATGTGAGGGATGTCGATGGATTACAAACACATATCACATCTGATGTTTTCAGAGGAGATATTAACGAGACTAAATAGTAGTTACATATTTTCATACCATTTCCAATTAGTGTTCAGGGTAATAATGGAGAATGACGAACGTTATTCCAGTGAAAATTATTTCATACCGTAATTCTAAATGATATAACGAAAAATGTTATGTTTGTAAGAGAAAGGATGATTACAGCCACTCTTTTATCGAATGTAGATGCATTAAAATGCTCCGAAATCATATTAGAGAATCGCCTAATAGCTAAAGTTGCATTCTCACTTAATAACTTACACTGCCCATGACTTATAAATAGTCTCTCATCACTGACTGGTTTTTGTTGTATACAAATGGTATCACCATGGTAAATTAATAACTAAATATGTAGATACACCAGAAATAATTGAGTATGAATCTAAGAGAAAATATATTTTAAACCTGACCTCAAAACGTCATAATTACAAGTATTACAAGTATTTTGTAAGGCAAATACTGCTAAATGAACTTATCCATAAGATAGAATTGATGAAATATTGAAGTCTCAGTGTGATAAGGTTGATTCTGCTATCGGTAACTGGTATTCATGACAATGAAGATAGAAGGAAAATAAACTCAACCCAAGTACTGTGATGAGAACAAACACGTCAGTGAAAGTATGAAATAAAGAAAAATAGAAGAAAAGCTATGCTTTGTATGTATGTATGTATGTATGTATGTATGTATGTATGTATGTATGTATGTAACATTATGTAGCGCACGTATATAGAAAGAAAATGTTTTGTCTATGTGAGATTATTTCTCTTAAAAATAGTCAATAGCTGTTGGCCGGTGTTATACAGAATGTATCAGTTCATCTTATAATCTGATATGTGCATTCAAACGATTGTTTCACTCATTCATTTGGGGTTTGCATGAAAACCAAAGACGCCAATATCCTATGTGCATGTGATGTTGTTTACAGGGTGTAATGAGTTTGAGTTCATCAATGTCTATATTAATTTATGTAAGTTGTGTCTTCTTTTCCTGCTGAAAAAAATCTTGTCTCTTAAAGCAGACCTATGTACACTATGCCTATATGGTGTCTGGATTGATCAGATAAATATTTGTGTGTATTTCATTTTAGCGGATCAGGAAGACAACGAATATGACAGTAAGGACACTAACGGTCGGTTCCCCTATAGTTTACCTTCACACTTTAAATAATACAATGACGTAAATAATCGAGATTTATTATAGAACATAATTATACTGTATAATACAATAAAGTTGACATCTTTCGATATCAATTTAGTAAATGATATGTCGTATAACAATGTTTCACAGCTGTTCCCTCCTAAAACTTTTCAATGACGACAAAAATATAACAATGCCGATATCCAAAGGAAGGAAGGTGAGAAATTTAAAAATGTCTGACAACAACGTTAAACCTTAAGAGTGATGTCGCATTTACAACTTTGGTTAATTGTTTAATTAGTTAATTAAAATGGAACAAGTATCGATTCTCTTAACAAGTTTTTCATTCACTTGCGGTTTTACTCGATACCAACTGTTTAAAACTCAAATATTGCATTATTCATTTTAACTGTGGCAAACCATTAATGATCCTTATATGTACAAACATATCCATAACAATATCCATTTTCGTGTCTCTAAAGGATCTTGTTGGCTCGAGAAATATTACGAGGGAAAATGGAACAGGGTAATTGATGACATGGTCTCAAAAGATTACGTGGTAATAGAGGATAACGAGATGGAAGTTACCATAGACGGTATAACCCAAACGTTCGACTGTATAGATGGTGATACAGAGGGCTACAACAACCTCATGTTGTAAGTACTTAAACTTTCATTTATATCAGAGGGCTATAACGACCTCATGTTGTCAGTAGTTAAACGTTGATTTACATCAGCGGGTTGCAACGACCTGATGTTGTAAATACTTTAAGTTGCATCTGAAGGCTACAACAACCTCATATTGTAAAAAGTGAAACCTACATCATGAAGATTTACATCAGCGGGCTACAACAAACTCATGTTGCCAGAAGTTAAACCTTGATTTACATCAGAGGACTACAACAACCTCATGCTGTTAATAGTGAAGCTTAGATTCACGTCAGAGGACTACAAAAACCTTTAGATAGTGAAACATCGTATTTTCAACCAACTTGTTACATGATATCGATACAAAATCAATATGATTCATTCTTTACGAAAAAGTGAATTTGTGGTATCTGTATGTTTGTTACAGCAAAATAAAGCAATTTTACCATGAGTACCGTTTTAAAACTATGCGTTACTTTAACAATGAAACAAAATGAAGTTTTGTCTGCAAATTGTATCTATATATGCAATTTAATTATCGAATGAAAATAATGATGTTTAAGGTACGTTTTTTATGATCTTAAAGCGTTTTCGTGTACCAGTTCCATAGGTGTGTCGTATTTGTAACAGTAAGTTATTATACAGTACAAGACAATAAGTTATTGCAATTATCTATTACCTTGATATTAATAGCGAGCGAGGATGATAATTAATTTCATGTCAACACTTTATATATATAAACCGCTCGCTGTTATATAAGCAACAAACAAAACACAGACATGTAAACGGAATCTTAATTAAAACTTAAATTCAATTAAACTATTGTGACATATTAACAAAAGTAAGATTTACATGAAGAATCACGAACAAAGTTCAAGTCCATGTAAATCTTGGCCAACCCAAGTACGTAACGTCACAGTGTGAACAATGTGCTCAACAAAGGGCTCAACAGACAAACTAACGAACATCCAACACTTTCAACTTCATATCGTACACGGTGATAGAAAAATTACTAATGAGATCAAATTGATGAGCGCAAAACTTCCTCACTTTCTTTACCAAACTTCTTTGTGAGTTTTTATTTCCTATTCCATCTTCTACTCCGATTCCATCAGGTCTTCAAATGGCACCTCTTACCTTTGTCTGGTCTTCCGATACAGAGACGATTCTCCTAGGATTGATTATTCTGTCCTAACAAACAATGGTAAGTAAACAATGCTCGTAGTAATGTGATTCAGAATTGTGTACAGTGCATTAATCGAATGTGTAGATATTTGTATATATGTAGATATATGTAGAATTGCAATATGATACTCGAGAAATCGAGAAAATCACAAACGTAATTTTGAGACTTTGGATAATTAAAGTCCTATACGCCTAAGACTCATATAAAGCCGATTGATATGTTGTAGGTTGCTACAGTACTGTTTATACAGAGTTTGGATTAAAAACTCTGGCAGAATAGAACTTTTCCCGAAACACAGACTACACTAGTAACAAAGATTTTACTCATTAACGGTCATTTAAAAACAGACACTGAACTAAAGGTCAATCTGTTCCAATTCCTTGTGCTCAGTTTTATATCTGGAATAATAGGATCATTTGACGAATACTTATGCGTAAGAAAGACAGGGAATACTGACTGACCGTTCTTCAGATGATATCGATGGACCCATAAAAAAAAGTGCTCTTTAAGAAGTTTCCAAATGGTTCTTTGCGGTTTTCTCCGTACCCACTTCAAATCTTGTTATTGTATACCACTTTAGTGTTTTTCTTTAAAGCTGAATTTTAATGTCCTGTTTGCAGGTACTTTTGAAAGTTTAAGTCCCTTACCAGCAATGCTCACTTTTGAAGCCGCTTGTGGGAACTTTACAGATGGATTGGTAGCGTTGGACTTACAGAGAGACTACACAGATACAGCTTTGTTACAAGACTTCTTTGGATAAAATCTGTTATGAAAATATAAATAGCCATTCCACTTTTAGTGTATTAATATTTAAAATAAAACCTTTACATTAAAGGTTTAAGATAATTGGTTCCTTGTGTCATTTAACATGAATACCATAATACACATATTTATAACGAATAAATTATATTTCGTGTCTTTGTAAACGAAGTCATAGCAAAGAGAAGACAGATCAGTATAGCAATTTCTAGTAAAAAAATTCAAAGTTGCAGATGCACTGTTATCGATAGAGACTGAAATGAAGAATGGAGTATTTGATTTGAACATAATTGCTGTTTTGTCCTTTTTGTCCATGGCGCTGCCTTCATATTTTGGCGTTAACTGTTCATTGCATTGCCAGGATTGTGAATATGTTAATAATGTGCAGATTTGTTCTTCAAAGACTCTTCAATGATTCTAGTGGTAAAGACAGAAGTCTACCTAATGGAGATAATATTTGTTACTGGCAATAACTTTTCGTTCGAAGATTAAAAAGATAAGTAGGTGTCAGGTATCGCTCAAAGCATTAGTGATAATTTAATAAAGAACATGAAAATTACTCACAATTTTATCATTTATATTCTTTAAACAAACACTTTTCTAAGCGCAGACATTACTCCTGTTTCTATTTGATTAAAGTCAGACAGGATTAACAAGGCGATGTACCGTCAGCAAAAAGCCTGGATATCATTTATGTACCCAAAGAAAATTAGAGACCCGAGTTCTGGACCTTGAGATACATCAGGGTTTACAGACTTAAATGAAGAAAGTGCATCTTTATACCACACACAACCGAACTGTAAAACTACTCCTATTTACAAATACAATTATTTCTAACTTAATAATAATTGTACATGTGCCTTTAAACAACGTGCTCCAACAACCTACACAGATTTTCACCTTATACTTGACATTACGTCAACAAATTCCAACGCATTATCTGGCACGTGTTGAATGTCTATTTAACGCACACTGGTAAAGAATGTTAATGGCGGTTGTAGTTGGTTTTTGTACATGTACAAATACTTGTCACATTGTTGATGTTGTTTGTACATTTACTGTATTTCAAACATGTAGTTGTATTGAGAAATAGTGATTTTCTATGGAATGCTTGTATTATTCTTTTACTGTTGGTATTATTTGTGAAACAATACATTAATACATATAATATTCATTAATTCTATTTGAAGAAATTTAATCGGTGTTAAAGTAACAACACAAGTTTTAAACGTCAACCATTTATTTAAATGTAGCTTCACATAAACTCTTTGGATCATGCGTATGGTTTCTCCGTGTACGTAAAACATTGTAACCTCCGATCAACTGTAAATAACAGCATCTATTGTTAAACATTGTTTAACAATAAAGCGATATTATCGGTAACATTCCAGCAGAAAAGAAAATGGTCATGTTTAGCCTATAGATTAATTACCGACGTCTAGAATGCATATGTGTACACTTTTAAGCTGCGATTTATCGTTCATATACATAATTACATTCAAATTAATGAAATCCCACGGAACCTGTCATTTAAAATTACGTTCTGTTTCTTACATAATTAATCATTAACTATCAGATTTAAATTTTATGAGATTCTGCTGGAAGGAGGATGACAATCTCGGTGTCCATATTAATACAATACCAATAATTAAGAAAAAGAAAAAGAGAGATAGAGATAAAGAGAAAACACCCTAGCATATTCTTAATAACAACAATCCGATGTCGACATCCGGTACATGACATATCAACAGTGAAACTACAACAGCATTGTGCCCTGCGTAACTGTGCTAATTCTGACTCGATTGTGGGTCACATAACGTGAACTTATATACAAAAACAGGATGCATGCACATTGTCATTGCATCCTAAAGAAATCGTGTTAACTTAAAAACACCTTAGCAGCCATGTTATTAATTAACATGTTCACTACACAACACTCTGACTTAAGTAGAGACAGGAGATTGGTAATATATTGGCGATGCATAGTAATATGATAAAAACCGTTTGGCCAATTCAATCAAATTCAATATAAGTTTTAAAAATCGTAGAATACTGGCTATGTTTACTTAAAAATAATCTGGTTTAAAACATTTGCAGATGACAGGTTTGATTACAAATATAGAAGCCAGAGGCTTTTATCAATTCCTCTCGACATATTGCCTTTGTAATAGTTTTTTACCCCGGAGATTGTGTTATTTGATGTAATTTGTCATATCATTGGCTTTTCTAGGTCGATTTCAATCACTGGTAATTTGTAAAACTATGTTTTATCGAAACTCAAATTTGCCCCAGGAAATATACTGTTCAAGAAAATCGACCTGCTTCTTGAAATAAGGAATACATTATCTTCCCTTTAATGTATATTTAGAATATCTGTCATATGCATCGACTTGTTAATTGATGCGTTGCAAGCATTTACTCATTAATGAATAATTGTTTCTTAAAGATGACAGCGTTGTTTTGTTCCCTTGACGTACGTATGTGTGGCCTATACAGCCGCAATATGTTACCTATCTTCCCCTATATATATATATTAGATGTTTACATCAACCATACCTGCCTTTTTATACATATCATTATATGATACAAGACATACTTGTTTTAATCAACACGTCGCCATGCGTAACAAGGTGAGTTATTCTGTGATTTCTGAAATTGATCGCCAAAAGCTTCAACGAAATACAACTGATTTTGTGATCCTGAATTTGCCACGAGGGACTCTTCCCTATGTTGTTTATGAGACCGTTTCTTTCATTTTCCTTGTAGCAGTCTTTCCTTCTCGTTTTGGTATTATGTTGTCTTTAGCAATTCCATAGATACTGTTCTGTCTTTTGTAGCTACATGTCGTTGTGATTGTTCATTGCTTTTGTGACCTGCTTATATTGCTGTTTTAGTATACTTTAAACACTTGTCGATGTCATGGTAAACATATATCACAGGTGGACTCTGTGGTAAACATACATCGTAGATTGACGCTGTGGTAAACATATATCACAGGTAGACTTTGTGGTAAACATACATTATAGATCGACGCTGTGGTAAACATACATCATAGCTTAAAGCTGTATTAAAGTTACTTTATAGGTTGTGTTCTAGTAAATTTAACATCACAGACTGACACTGTGATAAATTGTATCAAAGGTCGGTGATGTTGTAAACATATATCATAGGTCGACGCTGTGGTAAATATACGACATAGGTCGGCGCTGTGGTAAACATACATCATAGGTCGACGCTGTGGTAAATATACATCATAGGTCGACGCGGTGGTAAACTTCAGACATAGTGCGATGTTGCTTTAAGCTTACAACATATGATGCACTGCGATAAACAACACTATGGGGTGATGCACGTGCTAAAACTTACATTATCGCTTAACACTGTTGGAAACGTACATCATCTGTTGACAATATCATAAACTTGTATCAAAGCTTGATGTTGTGGTATCTTGACTGGAAAGATTGACTCTGTGCTAAACACACATGATAGATCTGTCAATGTGGTAAACTTACGTCATAGGTCGACGCTACGGTAGACGTATCTTAATCATATTTGACCCAGTAGTTTACTTGTTTTATTTGTGTGTTGTCGATGTGGTGTACATATTTTAATTGTATGTTGTCGATGCGGTATACATATTTTGATTGTGTGTTGTCGATGTGGTATACATATTTTGATTGTGTGTTGTCGATGAGGTGTACATATTTTGATTGTGTGTTGTCGATGTGGTATACATATTTTAATTGTGTGTTGTCGATGTGGTATACATATTTTGATTGTGTGTTGTCGATGTGGTATACATATTTTAATTGTGTGTTGTCGATGTGGTATACATATTTTGATTGTGTGTTGTCGATGCGGTGTACATATTTTGATTGTGTGTTGTCGATGTGGTATACATATTTTGATTGTGTGTTGTCGATGTGGTATACATATTTTAATTGTGTGTTGTCGATGTGGTATACATATTTTGATTGTGTGTTGTCGATGCGGTGTACATATTTTGATCGTGTGTTGTCGATGTGGTATACATATTTTGATTGTGTGTTGTCGATGCGGTGTACATATTTTGATTGTGTGTTGTCGATGTGGTATACATATTTTGATTGTGTGTTGTCGATGTGGTATACATATTTTAATTGTATGTTGTCGATGTGGTATACATATTTTAATTGTATGTTGTCGATGCGGTATACATATTTTAATTGTGTGTTGTCGATGTGGTATACATATTTTAATTGTGTGTTGTCGATGTGGTATACATATTTTAATTGTATGTTGTCGATGCGGTGTACATATTTTAATTGTGTGTTGTCGATGCGGTATACATATTTTAATTGTGTGTTGTCGATGCGGTATACATATTTTAATTGTGTGTTGTCGATGCGGTATACATATTTTAATTGTGTGTTGTCGATGTGGTATACATATTTTAATTGTGTGTTGTCGATGCGGTATACATATTTTAATTGTATGTTGTCGATGCGGTATACATATTTTAATTGTGTGTTGTCGATGTGGTATACATATTTTAATTGTATGTTGTCGATGCGGTGTACATATTTTAATTGTGTGTTGTCGATGTGGTATACATATTTTAATTGTATGTTGTCGATGCGGTATACATATTTTAATTGTATGTTGTCGATGTGGTATACATATTTTAATTGTATGTTGTCGATGTGGTATACATATTTTAATTGTATGTTGTCGATGCGGTGTACATATTTTAATTGTATGTTGTCGATGTGGTATACATATTTTACTTGTGTGTTGTCGATGCGGTATACATATTTTAATTGTATGTTGTCGATGTGGTATACATATTTTAATTGTATGTTGTCGATGTGGTATACATATTTTAATTGTATGTTGTCGATGTGGTATACATATTTTGATTGTATGTTGTCGATGTGGTATACATATTTTACTTGTGTGTTGTCGATGCGGTATACATATTTTACTTGTGTGTTGTCGATGCGGTATACATATTTTACTTGTATGTTGTCGATGCGGTGTACATATTTTGATTGTATGTTGTCGATGTGGTATACATATTTTGATTGTGTGTTGTCGATGCGGTGTACATATTTTGATTGTGTGTTGTCGATGTGGTATACATATTTTGATTGTGTGTTGTCGATGTGGTATACATATTTTAATTGTGTGTTGTCGATGTGGTATACATATTTTAATTGTATGTTGTCGATGCGGTGTACATATTTTGATTGTATGTTGTCGATGCGGTATACATATTTTGATTGTGTGTTGTCGATGTGGTATACATATTTTAATTGTGTGTTGTCGATGTGGTATACATATTTTAATTGTGTGTTGTCGATGTGGTATACATATTTTAATTGTATGTTGTCGATGCGGTGTACATATTTTGATTGTGTGTTGTCGATGTGGTATACATATTTTGATTGTGTGTTGTCGATGCGGTGTACATATTTTGATTGTGTGTTGTCGATGTGGTATACATATTTTGATTGTGTGTTGTCGATGTGGTATACATATTTTAATTGTGTGTTGTCGATGTGGTATACATATTTTAATTGTATGTTGTCGATGCGGTGTACATATTTTGATTGTATGTTGTCGATGCGGTATACATATTTTGATTGTGTGTTGTCGATGTGGTATACATATTTTGATTGTGTGTTGTCGATGTGGTATACATATTTTGATTGTGTGTTGTCGATGTGGTATACATATTTTAATTGTGTGTTGTCGATGTGGTATACATATTTTGATTGTGTGTTGTCGATGTGGTATACATATTTTAATTGTGTGTTGTCGATGTGGTATACATATTTTAATTGTATGTTGTCGATGCGGTGTACATATTTTGATTGTATGTTGTCGATGCGGTATACATATTTTGATTGTGTGTTGTCGATGCGGTATACATATTTTAATTGTGTGTTGTCGATGCGGTATACATATGTTAATTGTATGTTGTCGATGCGGTATACATATTTTAATTGTGTGTTGTCGATGCGGTATACATATTTTAATTGTATGTTGTCGATGCGGTATACATATTTTAATTGTGTGTTGTCGATGCGGTATACATATTTTAATTGTGTGTTGTCGATGCGGTATACATATTTTAATTGTGTGTTGTCGATGCGGTATACATATTTTGATTGTATGTTGTCGATGCGGTATACATATTTTAATTGTATGTTGTCGATGCGGTATACATATTTTGATTGTATGTTGTCGATGCGGTATACATATTTTGATTGTATGTTGTCGATGCGGTATACATATTTTAATTGTGTGTTGTCGATGCGGTATACATATTTTATTTGTATGTTGTCGATGTGGTATACATATTTTATTTGTATGTTGTCGATGCGGTATACATATTTTAATTGTATGTTGTCGATGCGGTATACATTGTATGTTGACAATGATATGTTCTTTTTTCCCCTTACCCTTTGATGTTGTGGTAAATTTAATCTCCTTGTGGTGGACAATGTGTTTTACATACTTTCCCGGTGTCAACGAAATGTTAAACCTAATTTCCACGGTGTTTGCAGCTCTCGTTTACCTACTTTCCAGTATTGACGTAGTGGTATTCTTACGTTCCATCTGCGCTGACAATTGAGTAAACTAACTTCTTGGCGCCGTAGTATTTCACTTTCCAATGTTGATGCTGTAGTATTTCTAAAGCAAATGAACATTTTAGCCTCTATTGTTGTATCTTGGTTTCTCTTGGTACATTGGTGATATGGTAAAGCATTTCTTTATGTGCTGTTTGTGTGGAATGTTTATTTTTTTTCTATTTAAATGTTTCAGGAAAATCATAAGGAAGGCCTGTGTTGAGGAGCTCTGGTATTCTCCCTTAACTATATATAATTACCGTAACTTAAATCCTACACGCAATCACATTTTCTTTCTTTTGTTCATGTGTTTCAATAACATACTATACAGGCGCTTTTCTTTCTTGTATATGAATTCTGATATAAAACTGCTCATTTCAATTTCAATTTTGTTCAAATGACATCAACATTGTCTTTGATTATTGTCTGTGAATTCTAATGAAAGTATGTTCTTTGTAACTTCAAATTTAATTTTATTACAGTAAAAAATCATACCCTTCTATCTCACATCTGTAGAAGCTTACATTTTTTTTCACACAGCACACTGTTCTAATGTAAAATTAATCCTATAGCACCATTATCTTAAAGCTGTATTACAACACCGTAATATATCATTTTTAAATGCCAATATTTTTTTCAATAAAGCTCATACATAGAAAAACTTCAGTATTGAAATGTTCATTTTGATGGGCTACATGATGTTTTTCTATACATTGTTTACTTTCAACTTATTTTCAAACTTAATTTTATTTCTCGATTTCAAAATATGCCGTGTTGTTATTAGATTGGCAACTAAAATAAACTATAAATTAAATGGTGACAACATAATATTACTTTTCAGAAAGCTTATATTAATTATTAAGTGTCATGTTGTCGATAAATATAATGTATTGCTTTATTTACAAGTGGTTATAAACACTTAACATTTTCAAACTTCTTTTGTAAATATACAGCTGTAAAATAACTGTTGCGATTCAACGTTAACCTTGCAGAAGTTGCATTTTCTATCCGACAGTCCCATTTTCATCAATTTATAATGTGTAGATGCTATGTTATGTACACATTTCCTCTGAAGTTCTTTAAATTTTCTATTTGCAATTAATGTTTTTATTGGTTTTCATATGTCCTTAATCATTGTTATACCTGATGGAAAAGTTTATATTCTTGTTTGTTGATATAATTGAAGATTATGTCGTTACATGTAAATGTTCCAATATAGTTTGCCCTTGTTTAATAAACCGTGGTAAGGTAACTGTTTTTATCCGACACTGTCGTAATAACTGCTGCAACATTTGATTAGTTCTGTTGGATCTTTAGTATAATTTATCTTTGTGTAATAAACCGTGGTATACATATTTGTTATGTTTTGATGCCGGGGTGATGATTAGGTTCCAGGGATCAGTGGATCTACAAGTTATTCTTTGTAGTTGACAGCTGTAAGGTCTCAGTAGATGAGACAGACATGGCTTTAAGTGTGAGGTAGTCATGGAAGTTTTCATGGCTGTGACTCACTGAGTTGTCGGTAAATCATCCAATAAAAGGAAATTCAGATAAGATGTTACTATTTTGAATGAATCATCACGATGTTAGAATCGAAAGTAACACGAATAAACTGACACTTCAACAAAATCTACATTCAGTCTCAAAATCGATAAAATCTGGTAACGCCATTTTTCCTTCTTTCCAGGCTTTTAGCATTCTACTCCTCACAGGTTTATGTGTGGCTACAAAATCAGGTAAGTGTCGACAGATGTGATTACATGTGATTAGATTATAAAACACGTTTGCATGATTCATGCATCAACATCACATAAGTTAAATAAGTCATAAAGCTGCTTCATGTTTTCTTGTACACACTTAGACAGTCACTGGCAGCAAGACAGGTTAATATTGTCCATTTACAGTCACTGACAGCAAGACATGTTAATATTCTACATTTACAGTCACTGGCAGCAAGATAGGTTAATATTGTCCATTTACAGTCACTGGCAGCGAGATATGTTAATATTGTCCATTTACAGTCACTGGCAGCAAGATAGGTTAACATTGTCCATTTACAGTCACTGACAGCAAGACATGTTAATATTGTCCATTTACAGTCACTGGCAGCGAGACATGTTAATATTCTACATATACAGTCACTGGCAGCGAGATATGTTAATATTGTCCATTTACAGTCACTGACAGCAAGATAGGTTAATATTCTACATTTACAGTCACTGGCAGCAAGATATATTAATATTGTCCATTTACAGTCACTGACAGCGAGATATGTTAATATTGTCCATTTACAGTCACTGACAGCAAGATAGGTTAATATTCTACATTTACAGTCACTGGCAGCAAGATATGTTAATATTCTACATTTACAGTCACTGACAGCAAGACAGGTTAATATTGTCCATTTACAGTCACTGACAGCGAGATAGGTTAACATTGTCCATTTACAGTCACTGACAGCAAGACAGGTTAATATTCTACATTTACAGTCACTGGCAGCAAGATAGGTTAATATTCTACATTTACAGTCACTGGCAGCAAGATAGGTTAACATTGTCCATTTACAGTCACTGACAGCAAGACATGTTAATATTCTACATTTACAGTCACTGGCAGCAAAATAGGTTAAAATTGTCCATTTACAGTCACTGACAGCGAGACATGTTAATATTGTCCATTTACAGTCACTGACAGCGAGATAGGTTAACATTGTCCATTTACAGTCACTGACAGCAAGACAGGTTAATATTCTACATTTACAGTCACTGATAGCGAGACATGTTAATATTGTCCATTTACAGTCACTGACAGCGAGATATGTTAATATTCTACATTTACAGTCACTGACAGCAAGACATGTTAATATTGTCCATATACAGTCACTGACAGCAAGATAGGTTAATATTCTACATTTACAGTCACTGGCAGCAAGATAGGTTAATATTGTCCATTTACAGTCACTGACAGCAAGACAGGTTAATATTCTACATTTACAGTCACTGGCAGCAAGATAGGTTAATATTGTCCATATACAGTCACTGACAGCAAGACAGGTTAATATTGTCCATATACAGTCACTGACAGCAAGACAGGTTAATATTGTCCATATACAGTCACTGACAGCGAGATAGATTAATATTGTCCATTTACAGTCACTGACAGCAAGATAGGTTAACATTGTCCATTTACAGTCACTGACAGCAAGACATGTTAATATTGTCCATTTACAGTCACTGACAACAAGATAGATTAATATTGCAATATTGATAATCAATAACAAGGTATGCTATCATTGTCATTTTGACAGTCACTGGCAGTAAGACATAAAAGTATTTTCATTTTGACAGTCACTGGCAGTAAGACATAAAAATATTGTCATTTTGACTTGTGTCACATAATGACGATAACGCGTGTTTTGGCATTAAGAAATGTTATCTATTTCTGACATAACGAAATTAAGATATGTCTCCTATTTATAAAAACACGTGTTGTATTTATTATGATAAACTGACAGTTATGCTTGTTATATTTGTATGTCATTTGTCGACGTTATTTTTAAATATTGATTTCAACAGGTCATTTATGTATGGTGTAATATTTCATATCATATAATGACAATCAACTTTTATTGTCTTAATCATTGCTACACTTTGACATAAAAACTAACAATATATCTCTTATAATTAAAAGTTTACACAGATTCAGATCTGGAAATCCAGTCGTCAGTATGTGGGCTCGACGAAAGCATGAACGGAACCTGGGTCGTTCTCTCCGCTGATCTAAAACTGACTAATAACCAAGTTGTTGTATATGGTGACGATATTTCTATAACTATGAACGGCATCACAAGGAACTTCCTGTGTATCGATAGAGGAGTCTACTACGGGGAATACCTATGGAAGTAAGTATGACGTCATTGCAGTGTGTAATACAGTTTTGTAATGTATTGGATTACATGTAATACATCTCAAGTTCAGGTAAGTGAACATGAAATAATTCACCTAAGGAAATAGCATATTTCCCAGTGAGGCCATTAGGACCACCTAAAATCCTAATATCACATATTTACTCCTGGGTACTTGGCCGCTGTGATATTAGTTAATATAAACGCAAACAACAAATGTAAATAGAAAATAAACAAACATGTCAAAAGAATCGTTTTTTTTCAAAATCAAATTCGATGAAAAATATTAACGTATTAATCATTATTTGAAAAAAAGCAAGCAATTACTATTTAGTTTGTTGGGTATATTGCCCCGTGAACGGCAAGAACCGTTTTGAGGAGGGCTGTACTTGTGATAGATGCTAGAGACCTCAGTGAACAACATGCGGGATGCTTGCTGAATATATCCAGAGTGAATGGAGGGTGCGTCATACCACGCACCTCGGATCTTCGGATGTGGTTGCCTTCGCCCTAACGACTGAGTTGTAGAGGCCACTGCAAAGTTGTACAAGACACCTGAGTGAATAAGTCTTTTCAATACAATGACTGTTTGATACAGTAGAGCCAAACAATGGATTTAACTTATTCATACAGCTCTCTCGTCTTTCTGAAACCGGTCAGTGATACTAAGGGCCTTAATTTTGAAGTGTAGGAGGAGAAAAAAAAAACTTTATATAGGAAGGTGCACTAGCCCCCATAATTCTATAAATTTTGTAACTTTCATCTGTCTGACAATTTAAGAACAACATCAAATACATTGGTATATTATTAATTTTGTCAGCATTTGAATGAAAGCTACTGTGAAACATCAATAGTCACGAACTATGCACAATTAGATTACAGCGATGACGTAAGCAAACAATGGAACTGGTTCAATAATGTTTGATACTGATTAAAAATTGGTGATTTAATGAAATCAAAATAAACCTTTAAGTAACCTGAACTAATCCAATTCTTCAGTTGTAGTTTCGTGTAAAGTAATGTTCCGTTTTCCTTGCGGAAAACGAAGCATAAGGGAAACTCTCGCTGCCTACTTGTACGTCTTTTAACTGACATTTAAAAGTGACTGAGAACAGGTAGATGACAGTTTGTACTGTATCAAAAATGAAATACTGTTTAGATTTGTAATTTATGTATGCTAGGGTAGTGTTGGTTCGTGAATTGTTTAACGAGGGGTAATTGTTATAAAGACATATTGAGTTGCCGGATGGTTCAGTGGTAACGAACTCCCACTTCGGCATCCGAGGTTCGATTCCTCGAACGGACGTGATAAGGTATCTACCCTACCTCGTAGGTTTTCAATATATACCACAGTGAGATCCCTCACGCGCTACCAACCGGGTCAACAAAAGTAATTAATATAAGTTGAATTAAATGAAGTTTCGTTTATTTATATATGGTTATATGCATGTTACTTTCTTAATGGTCGGGATGGGCATTGTTAACGTACTCACCTTTCATAAAGGTAACTTGGGTTCGATTTCCCTCCACGTTAACAAGTATTTTGATGTAGGTAATATCATTTCTCACAGTTGTTGAATAGAAAAAAATATCAATCTTGCGATGAATGTCATAATTCAAAATTATTTCTTTTTTCAATTAAACTGTTACTTCAGAAGCAAGGATGTTGAAGATGGCTATGTTTGCGTGCTTAAGACCGACATTGGCGCTAGTATAATACAAAGGAAGATTGCAACACCTTCAGGTAAGTAGTGATATAGTTTCTTAGAAGTCTAATATAAAAAGAAAATTACTCTCGAAGAAGTTGTGAAAAGCCATCTTATATACCTATCAAGTATATATTACGCTATTATCTGTGCGATTTATTAGAAAACACTAATCACCAGTAATTCAACTGGTCACATACAACCTAACTCCCATACCCACCCACCCTAACCACCCCTCACACACTCCCTCACATACAACCACCCACCCCTCACACACTCCCTCACATACAACCACCCACCCCTCACCACCCCTCACACACTCCCTCACATACAACAACCCACCCCTCACCACCCCTCACATACTCCCTCACATACAACAACCCACCCACCTACCCCCCCACCCCCCTACACACAAACACAACCATTCCCGCCCCCCTCCCACTTATTGAATAGTTTTTTCTTATAGCACTTTTGTGTGGCGGGGTGAGAGTGCATTGGTGAGTTATTTGTTTATTTTATTTAATAAATAATCGCACGGTGCGTTGCGGAAACTCTGTGTTTGTTGTTCATTGCCACCTGGACGGTGGCCGGCGGGAGAATGGATTTTTAATTAGTAAGCGTACATTGCACCCGGTCGATATGTGGTATGGTCTAGGGACACTAAATATGGATGTCATTCACATTAGTATATGCAGACATATGTAATATGACCTTGAAAAATTGATGATATCACGACAGTATTTGTTCTCCTTATACTGAGAACATTGTGTTTATGTATTTGTGTACATCGATAAAAATCGAATATTTCCATAATATCAGACCCTGTAACCCACGCCCAACCCCCTACCCCACACCCCCTATATATATATATATATATAAACTACAATACGTCACCTCGACGAAAAAATCGACGAAAAGTTTTATATCATGTTTATTTTTTATTTAATTTTTTGCCATAAATGGGAAAGACATCATCTGTTAATTTCGAAGCTAACTTGAATTTTTTCAGGAAACCTTGACCCAGTTCCTCTCCCAGATATGACGGACATGGAATATTTGATCCTATGCGCGGATCAAGTTTGTGAAGACGTGCTAAATCTACGAAAACAAGAATAAAACAAAGAAAAAAATAATACATTGTATATTATAACATTAAATAATAAATATGTTCCTGTAGAAATAAATCATCTTCCCATTTAAAACTACAGGTGTAAAAGGAATATGCATGTCCATTGTTAAAATAAAATATTAACCATAAAGGACCACGGAGTTACTATTGTATCTAACTTGACGATGACGTCCTCGTAACAAAAAATAGGGAAGGGAAAAACGAATTGTAATATCAATAGTTAGTATATCTGGTATATATAGTAAAAACAATAACAACAAGAAATGATAAAAGTTGCTATCAGCCATTTAGAATGTATTAGTGGTACCAAATGTCTAGAACTATGTTACCTGTAACACTTCATAACCTTGAGAGAAAATCGATCGTTCTGACATGTCATCCATGTACGCAATGAAGGAATAGATAGCTGAAGTTTTACGGCATACTTTTAGGAATAAGAGAATAAGAATTGCCACCATTATGTTTTATAGTTTGACTCTATTGAACAAGACAACACGTTTTTTTTATTAGTAGTAACTGAAAACATCGATACAGGTTTTTACTTATAAATATTGAGTAGAAATAAGATATTTTAAAATGAGTCATTGACTCCCATCTGTGTCTGTGCTGGTGGTCTTAAGTTTTTAATGTAAACCTGCATGCCCTGTTTTATTTATTCATTTAGAGGCAAACTCATTAAAATTAATGCACGTGACGTGATTTTGAAATCGTCCAATCATGAAAAGTTTGAGTAATATTGAGTTGATATTTTTGGATTACTGTATAATAAAACAATGATAATGATATAATATCACAACACTAACTCTAAATACCTACTAAATACCTATGATAAGAAGACAAAAACCAACAAGAAAAGACGTACCAACTTAATAATATCCTAGACTCAAATGCAATAAAACTTGGGCAAAATGTTAACAAAGAAAGATTTACACAGACACCAGAAAAAAAGTACAAGGAGAAAAAAACCCAGGTGTTCTTAAACAGAAAGCGTCTTCTGCTTCATCACGTCCTCAAATGAGAACAAGCTTAACTAACAAGCATCAAACAGGCACAGCTTCATATCGCGCAAAGAAATAGTATATTTTTCAATGAGATCACTGACGATTCCTAGAAGGACAAAACAGCTGCACGGCGCAGTTTAATTATCTAAATAGTTAAAGGTGCTCTTCACTTGTGTGTTTTTGTACAATCTTTCACAACAATAGAATTTCTTATCATCGCCGTCAACTCATATGCGTGGTCGCTGTGGAGACACATTGTATCAATCATATTTAAAAATGAACCCTGAAACGTTGTATGCCTTAAAATACACGACAAACATATCTTATTTAACCCATGGCGTGTAGTACCATGTGTTAATGTGTCGGAACTATATGGTGTATTTATCTTATTCACCAACAGCTTGTATCGATGTTTGTAACTGCCTGGTTTTACCCTCAGGGAAACGTGACCGGCTTTTCACACAGTATATACACCATAAAATCGGGCTACCAAAATATGACGAGTAATAAATTACGTAAGTTTATCTCAAATTATACCAAAATAAGTGTGGTGTTGACCTTCAACAGAGGAAATTTCCAAAACTTTTTCATTAAACCGATCACTTCTCGATTTTGCTGAATTGCAACCTCCTCTTGAATTCAAATAACACCTGCGCATTTGCCGACGCATATTTCGATGACCTTTAATTGACTTTCGCTACGCGTCGACCATAAGGATAGTAGATGGTGTTGCTGACTGCTATATAAAAGCAGGATAGGAGGCATATACATTGGAAGAAGACACAACTGGTTCTCTATTACACGTCACCATGGTAAGTGTATCTTCAGTGTACATATCTAAAAGAAAAAATCTGCATCTACCCTTTATTTATTAATATCTGAATACCGATGTTTTCTCAAATTATCACTTAACATTCAACGTGTTTAAAAATACCGGTGACCTATGATAACAATAACAGGGTCGAATTACAGGGTAGAGCAGGTCAGCCATATGGTAACGTTTTGTATTCTTAATTGCTGATAATTTCTGGTTAAACGAAATCATTCAACTGGTGTTATTCAATGAAATACTGTATTTTGATTGAGCGGTGTGCAAAATGATAAACAAACCAATACTTGACCAATGGCAGTAGAATCGAATGATGCTCTACATTTGTATTAACAATATTATGTAAAAGATGGCCAGTCTGTTGTCCATTTTCGTGATTGCCTCTGCGTGATATTGAAAAAAAAATCGTCTTTCAGGGCAAATATTATGTCTGCATTTTCGTCATTATAAATTACATCAACCACCTTACATTTCACTTTCAGTTTCAATCTGCTTTGTTAACGTTGTTTTGTTTGGCGGGAATATCGACGACGATTTCAGGTGAGTAATGTTAACAGCAGGTGCAAAGGTAGAGAACTTGGGATCCAGCTTGATAAGTTTCTCGATGAAGAATTATCCCTCTTTTTTATCGGAAAGCATAGTCTTAAGTACTATACTGTGTTAGCGACATGTTCATGTCTGAAACAGCCAAGTTGATTGCCTTTGTTTCCTTCAAAGGGTATCGAAAGCATCTTTCAAAATGGCACCAAAACGTAAGAATGTTACTCCATGGGAAGAATATATAACACTTGTAAAAAACTGGTATCAACTAGGATTAATATGAAAGCGTCTCATAGTATCATATCCATTTCGAATATGTTCCTCGTCTCCAAATTATTTCTAAATTGTTAAACATTTAAGAAGAGTGTATAAGTGGATTTCATGGAAGCACAAACCATTTTGTGGATAAAACATTCAACAGTAACTAGTGATTCCTCAACACAATAAATTTGTAATGTACACAAGTCATGTTGATATTTTTGTACGAAGGTTCGTGTAGTATTGGTGATAGGTACGGAGGAGAATGGGATGGTGTGCAGGAACATAGATACAGAACGGACGACAGCCTGGATATTGAGGGGAATGACGTTATAGGAACTGTAAATGATGTCACAAATGTGTACACGTGCAAGGAATCAGACGAATACGAAACGGTTTTCCTTTTATTGTGAGTTTGATATATGTCAATGTTGAATCACGTGTGATATGCTTGATGTAGTGTTAAGTATCGATAGAGGTTTTGTCTGTAAACTCTTCTATTCCATAAACAATTTACTATCATTTTCAAAACTTCAAACTCGTTCCTGATATTTGCTGTCTTCGTGACAAAAAGTGAATGTTAAAAATGAAACATATTCTTCGAAGTTATCATTGATTGCAGAATGTACAGTGTTAGGATTTAATGCTACATTTCTATCTATGTAAGGTATGTTCACTTTGACTTAATTTAATCGGTATATAGTGTAAGAGAACTATATGGATGTACATTTTGATATCAAAGCGATCAATCTGTTACAGAACGACTGATAAATCTGGCTATAACTGTCTAAGCTTCTACCGAATGGCTGACTCGATGGTCCAATATGGTGTTGCCACAAAGAATGGTAAGTTAGTAATCAGTTATATCACACGAATAATAAAATCTTGATAACATTCGGAGATTTGGTTATATGAATGTTAACCATGTACTGGTATTAATTCTTAGAATTACTGAAGTTCGATTTTTCAAAAAAAAAAAAAAAAAAAAAGTTGTGACCAATAACAATTATTATGAATTTGTTTTGTTTCATTATTATGACATTATAAAACCGCCCTGTTAGTAACACATTGTTATATGAAGTCTAGAGGAAGTTTTCATATCGAGTCGGTGTGGATACCTTGGAAAGATGGTCACTTTTATAAAAGTCTCTATTACTGATAATAACCTTATCATGCTCTATATCATACTGATGTCATTACAGGTTCGTTTGACCCTATTGAAGTCCCTGAGGGTTACGACGTCACCCTAGAATATCTATGTGATAATGGAAACATATTAATGAGGCGTGTCATTGATATCGCTAGAAAGCTTGACTGATCGCAACTAAATCCTTACCAAAATCAAGTTCAATCCGAGTAAATGAAGGTGTTGGAAAATATAATTTGATTAAGATAATAAACAATCACATCTTCCATATTTGTTTGTTTAAATCTTGTCTTTTATATAACAATTTGTAGTTAAAGGGATAAACCTGGATGCGTACATGACTTTGAGGGTCAACATTTTTTCATCAATCTACAGTAACTTTTAGCTCTTAATTACGAAATATAACACATTTCAGTTACTGCTCATATGAACTGAATTGGACATGAAGGTCTCGTCTGAATTCAGATATATACACAATCCTCGATAAATAACCACAGTTACATGAGTTCATATAGACAATAACAACAAATTAGAAAAAAAAAACACATAAAGACATGAACTTGCACCAACATATATATATTTTATGTCAGAAGACATACTTTTATTTATATATGACACTGAACATACACGTAAACCGTCATCCATGTATATATATATATAAATCTGCAAATGCATAACCACTTATATGCATTCCAACACTAATGTACACAACAGAAATAATTTAAAACTGAATAAAGTATATGGCATGACATAATTAATATTTCACAACAGAATTCCTATCAAATCTATGAGACAAAATATTGCTTTCCCGCTCATATTGAGAGGCAATCAATTAAAAATTACATTGGGAAAACCACCGATGGGCTACGGTATTTCTACATAAATTTTACAAGATTTGTGTAAGACATATTAACATGTTCATGTTTATATGGCATAATTTGAGTAAATGCATTAATTTATCTTCAGTGTATATTTTAAATTTTTTTTAAAAAGGTACAAAAATACATGTAGAATAGACGAAGTCGTTTGTATAACATAGTAACACCATGCTGGGTCGTGACTTGTTAATAGCCACCAAACAACCAAAGCAGAATTTATATCATCGACCATTTTACAAATATCTTCATGCTAGTTATCAAATCTCCTTCTGAGGTATGTCAGTTTGATAAACTAGATTTTTACGTATAAATAGTATAATTCAAAAAGGAAAGTGTTGACCTCGGTAACAAAAAATACTATTTTGCAAACATCGGAAATTGCTAAAAATTAACGTTTGTCTGAAACTTTGATTGTCGGAGGGGACACGTCGATGTATTTAGTTTTTTAATTGCTGAAAAGAAATCATTATTTACAACAAGTTATCAACAGAAGCTTTTGAGGCCCTAAATTGTAAACCTATCAACGTTATTTGTTGTATTGAATGTGATCTGTGTGGTTATATATATCTTGGTGAAAAAGGATATTCAAGACAACGTGTAAATGGTCATCGTTCAGCTGTGAACCGTGGAATCTCCTGAATACTGTTTATATCAACATTTCAGCTTCCCTGACCATTCTATGTCGACAAGTGTCCGTATTTTGGAAAAGGATTCACCATCGTACAAATCATCCCCCATAATGAGCCTTACAATAGACAATGTGAGGAACACTACATAAGACACCATTGAACTACTGCGCCATATGGATGCAGTGACCGAGTAGAAATTTGTCCAGTGCTGGATGCTGTAACCACTCATCTTAGGGCTTTATTCACTCCTGAAATTAGATGTAATCGTAGCCATGGACAGTGGCAATACAATGAACCCAGCGGACATACCGTCTCGTTTGAAACATGATGGATATTTTACAGAAACCATTAAGTGTCCATTGTGTTCGAACTATGCTATATTTGCTTCCACTCTTGGAGCTACGAAGACTTTATGTGAATTAAGCTAATACTACTTCTGGTGACCTGTGGGAAGCTTGAATACTTCCTCAATTTATTGATGATGTGGTACAAATCAGACTTTTCGAACCTGTCTACCTAAAGGTAGCCGCGATCTTCCTACAATTCGACAATTCATGAAAGTTGAGTTTGCATATAAGGACGTAAATGTCCTTATCAGTTGCAACATTTGACACCAGAAGTCTGTTCAAGCTTACAGTCCAACATACTTCCAAAACAGAAATGTCCCTGCCATTTGCATCCAAAGTTTCCAACTACAAACAAACGCTACAACAAATGATTGTAGATAACCTAAGAACAACTCATCCGTCAGCTTGTTCTTCTATCTCTACTTGTAGTTATGGTCCAGCTGGGCACATAGTTACTGTTGATTTTTGCAAAATTTAAAAACTTGTTTAGTTACGAGAATTTTTCATAAAGGGTCATAAACAAAGAAAAACCACGTCCGTAAATTGGAATACGAATTTCAAGATATGTATGGATTCCTTTGAAAACTATGTCAGAGAATAGGTGAAACGAGAACATATTGCATTGAATTCACTTTCTGAGTGGGTTAAATGCATTCGGTCCATCATTCTTAAAAGAGGTTGTAGTTTGAAATCTTAAATGAAAGCAAAACACAGGTCAGCGCAAAAACCCTCACTGCAAGATTTGCATGACAAGTATGTTATTGTACCTGCAGATAAGACGTCCAATAACTTGATTCTTGTCTGAAGACATTATTACCATTCCTGTATACAAAGCGCTAGGCTCGCTTGATTATAAAGGAAACCCCACATAAACATTTATGCACACATTTTAAAGAAGAAATACTGGCTAAGCATGCTTCGGTATAACAATTATTAAGATTGCCTATTAATGATATGTATACTGATATTCCCTGTTTATAATGGAATCCTAAACTTCACAAGAATTCATATGTTTTACTATTGGCTCGTCTAGCTTTTTGGTTTTTGTCAAATCTACTAACTACCATTCATACCTAGCACTTTTGAATCTGGGTTACAGTGTTATTGTGATACTGGTTATCAAAAAGGTGGGATTAATATAATGTGGTTCTTAAAGTACCCCAGAGAATATTCAACACCCTCTTCTTAAAAACATTTCTTTTATCTGAACATTTGATTTTCCTACCATCTTAGCATATTCTAAACCGCAAAGACGTATTCGTTCTCTCGTTTTAGAGCTTTCAAAGGAAGATGACTGGCGGTACAAATATATGATTGTGAACTATACTGAAGCGTACCTCGTCAAAAATAGATTAAAATTTAAGAAAAAAAATAAGGGGGGCGAAATCACAAAATTGATCGAGTTTCTGATCGACAACATCTTCGTCGAGTTCGTTGGTAAAATCTTCTAACAGACCATTGACATACCTATGGGTCCTAACTGTGCCCCTCTGTCGGCTGTCTTGTTTTTGTTTCCGTGCAAGAAGTCGTAAACTGAGGGACAAAATCGTAACACAGGTTTTAAAAGATACAGGTTATTGAAAATTTTGGGAAGTTTTATGGTCGTCATAATGTTCACATTGACAAATACTCTATTTCTTCGTGCAATATGAAGCTGGACGTGTTTGATGATCATTAGATTGCCTGGTGGTTCCGTAGTGATATACCTCGTTCTCAGTTAAGAACGTGACATTACTTAATTGGATTGACCAAGATTTACATGGAGGATGTCGTCGATGAAGCAAAGACACTTACTCTTCCGGAACACCTGGTCTTCTTCTCCTTCTACGTTTTCAGGAGTGTACGTGTAAATAATTCTTTTGGTTATTTTTCTCCCTAGTTTTAATGAGTATGAGTGTGAATTGAGATTCTGTGGACAAGTCGATATTTTCTTGCTTTTTTAGTTAATCTTCAAAAACCATTATAAACATGGCAATTAAAATCTTGTTCCATCAATGACTTATCATTTTCACACTGCCGACACTAGTTAAAATCAACACCTGTGTTTTAAAGCCTATCATAAAATCTGACTTGGAAATTATTTCGAGAGATATACATTATTATGAAATTTTGTCTTCGAAAATATTTCAGATTGCTGTACACATGACACTGACAACAGATTTCTACTTTTTTCTTTTGACCGCTTGTACTACGCCACGAACTAAAATCGCCCCGTCCTGATGCAGCAGCATTGCAGGCCACACTAGATACTCAACAGTTTCTCCTGATCGATCGTAAAGTCTGAAGTACTGAGTATCTACCTTCTCTCCACCCTTGACATTATATGTAAATTCTATTGGTGGGTCTTGAATGGCACAGAGCCAGCAGAGGTCTACACATTTTTCTGCGTATCGGGTCACACCTTCATTTAAGGTACGATACGTAGGATGTTTATCCCGGAAATGCTGAAAATTAAAAAAGCTTTATTTCAGAAAATCACAGCATAATATTTTACTTACAATACGTCAAACGAATAGCACAATCACTGTAAGACTTATTTCGTCGTAACTCGTGCAAAATATCATGCAAATCATATAATGAATATTGTATAAAAGACACACAAGTGAATCAGATAGACTGGAGACAAACAATTAATTAAACTGCATCATACAGTTGTTTCACCTTTCTATAACTCGTCATGGATGCCAAGAGCCTAAATTGTGAAACCTATGCGACGACATAAGAAAACCAACTAGACTGTGAGGTACAGTGTCCCATTTATCTGGTGATTTTAAATGAACGCCAAGTACATTTGTATTTTCTAAACCTTGCCACTATTGAAATTAATCGACAAGTCATGTTGACTTTAATCTTACACCTGGCTTGGCTGTGTGATATATTAATGTGACATCTGTAAAATCATAAAGAATAAGACATATTTATAGTCTATAAAACTCAAGATTTACCTCAAATAACCCTTTTCTTGTTTCTTTTGAAGCTAACTTTCGACTATCTTTAAGGCTTTTCATTGTCTCTGTATGGTACTGATCTGCATTTGGTTTTGATTGTATCTAGAATAGCATGATCATCATTTTACATAATATACTGTCAGATCAATATACATTCGGGAAAATGTACTGTCAATTAACTGTCAGAACAACAGTCAGAATAATATACTGTCAGATTAATATACTGTCAGAATAATATGCTGTCAGAATAATATACTGTCAGATTAATATATTGTCAGAATAATATGCTGTCAGATTAATATATTGTCAGAATAATATGCTGTCAGATTAATATATTGTCAGAATAATATACTGTCAGATTAATATATTGTCAGAATAATATACTGTCAGATTAATATATTGTCAGAATAATATGCTGTCAGATTAATATATTGTCAGAATAATATGCTGTCAGATTAATATATTGTCAGAATAATATGCTGTCAGATTAATATATTGTCAGAATAATATGCTGTCAGATTAATATATTGTCAGAATAATATACTGTCAGATTAATATATTGTCAGAATAATGTACTGTCAGATTAATATATTGTCAGAATAATATACTGTCAGATCTTTATAAGTAAATTCAAAACAATATACTGACTGAACAATATATTCTCACAACAATATACTATGAATATACTATCAGAACTACTATCACAACAATATATTGTCCGAATGATATACTTATAAAACAATTTACTGTCAGAATAATATACTGTCAGAACAGAATCTGTCGGATCAATACATGTAATTTCAGAACAATATATCGACAGAACTATATACTGGCATAGCAATATACTGTGAATAAACTGTCGGAGCTACTATCAAAACAATATTCTGCTAGAACAATATGATGTCAGATCAACATACTCTCAAAACAATATACTTTCACATCGACATACTGTCAGAATGATATACTGTCAGACCGGTATTATAAAAGAAACTATGTGAGATCAAAATCATCTCATATTAACGATGCTCATGAACTACTTTATAGAACCACGTGTTCAATGTTTGTTTTCCAGTGATGTTCAATTTACAAAAGGTGATCAACTATTTATTAGAATGCATCTTAGTGTAAATGAAGTACTGTGCAAAACCGACTTGGCCGGAATGCTGCTTTAACATAAGTAAAAGAAATGGGTAATTTTGACTTTAGATTAAGAACTGATTTATGCTAGCATACGTCGTCACTTGAAGACAGAATAATGAAAAAAAAATAAAATAAAAGCTTATGTCGATGATATTCTCCCTTAAAGTGCGTGTGGTGAAAAGCGAAGAAATTATTTGACGATTTCAACAAAGTAACTGTACCGTGTGCGTCGTCAACCATGGATGAAGCATCAGGTTCTCTAATGATACAAGATGGTGATGTCCCAGATCCCTACAGAACTTCCAGATTTCCTGGTTTCAAACATTTCAAATGAAAAAAAGTCTTTTTAAGGGAAATTATAAAGATATTCAACAAATATATAGCTGCTGAATGGCATGATGATATCCTTCCCTTACAGTGAGCTTAATTAATCAAATTCCATGAATGTTTCTTGTACCTGAATGTTGAATTATTTTGCATATAACCATCGGTAAAAGATCACGTCATACACAAACTGGCATATAAAATCATCAAAGATCAGTAGATGTGGAAAACAATTTTGTTCTTGTGTACCTAGATATTTTAAGTCAAGGTTCATTTACTGATTTTTACTTTTATACAATTACCATAAATATATCCAAAAGAACTTGAATATTTCCTTTGTCATGTGATCCGGACATTGATTCGAAAGCCTCCGTCCACTGGTTATCATACAGTTCGTTGAACATCTGTGCCAGTTTCTGTGGACGGTTAGGATCACTGAGGTCGGTAATATCAGGGTTATTGTCGGATAACTTAGCTCCAGCCAGCTTACTTAACCTGAAACGTTGTGAACGTAACCAGGTCTCAGTGACACGAAGTATAAGTATATATATATATAAGAGTGTGTGTGTGTGTGTGTGTGTGAGGGTGTTTGTGTGTGTGTGTGTGTGTGTGTGTGTGTGTGTGTGTGTGTGTGTGTGTGTGTGTGTGTGTGTGTGGTGGTGTGTGTGTGTGTGAGTGTGTGTGTGGTGTGTATGTGTGTATGTGTGTGTATGTGTGTGTGTTATTTGGATCATCATGTTTCACTACGTGGACACATTAACAGTAGATTTACTCTCCAAACCATTTGAATTATCCTTATGATATGTGGCCCCTAATCTTTGATTGGTAATTTATTAAAAGAAAACAGTTTCAAACACCAGATCGGTATCCGAATTCCTAACAGTGTTTTTATGTACGTATATCTTTGCCTGAAAATCTAGGTTTTTTCTACCTTAGTAATCAAAATTTATACGATAAAAATGTGTTTTTTCCGCTGAAGAAATTACGAATCTCGTCTGGTGGGCCTAAAAAACCGCAGCATAACAACATAGGATCAGAAGGTAGTCATGGTTCTTATTAGGGCTACTTAAAATAACAATTAGATTAGGTTAGGTATAATTACATTATTTACCTATGTAGAAGGTCTTTCTTTTCAGTTTTAAGTGACTGCAGCTGTTTTTGCATACTGTCGTTTTCGTGCATTAACCGATCCATCACTTTCTCATATTTACTATCTTTTCCACTTTCCCTGCCACTCCGCACTACAGTTGACTGTCTCTGTAACCTCTGTATATGTTCATTCAGCTGTGCAATTTCTTTGAGAAGCTCATGCTCTTTGGTCTTCCAGCTGATAAAAATATATTACTTATATGTAGTATATTTGTTAACAAAAAAAAAAAAAAAAAAGAGAGAATGTGGTGGACATCAAAGTCAAGAATATACTTACTCGCTACTTTGAACAATATCTGCTTGAGAATGCACATTCAATTTCTTGGCCTTTAACGGAAAAGCAAGTACAATTATATTAATACAAACATTTAACATCCTAACTTTTAACGCTCGACAAGAAATAAAAATAGAACGTTGTTATAAGAATTACAAACCAAACATCAATGTTTCAGAATTCTCTTTCGTAGAACACCGACTTCAGTCTCAAGTAATGTATAACAAATATGATTTACTATTAGTGAATATGTATAATAAAAAACAGTCTCCCTCTAACACGTGAATCTTCATGTTGCATCAATTGAAATTTTTGTCATACTATGTTTTTCATATTTGGCTAAAAATAGAATACAGTAAGTATTTGTCGAAAAGACTATTAAATGAGATATCTAAATGGTCTTTGTATGAATCGTGATTTTTTTTAAAGAAATAAATTGCGGTGATATTCTGTATCACTGACGGCCATTTCAAACAAGTTTAAATCATAAAGATTCTTCTTAAGAAATGTCAATAACAATTCTAAAGTTCAAACATCGAAATGACTACATGTGGCCACAACAATAATTTCAAAACTGAAACGAAATAAAATCTTTGATGATGACGATGATGATGATGATGACGATAATGATGATGATAATGATGATGATGATGATAATGATGATGATGATAATGATGATGATGATGATGGTGATGATGATGATGATGATAATGATGATGATGATTATGATAATGATGATGATAATGATGTGATGATGCTGCTGCTGCTGCTGCTGCTGCTGCTGCTGCTGCTGCTGCTGATGATGATGATGATGATGATGATGATGATGATGATGATGATGATGATGATGATGATGATGATGATGACGATGATGATGATGATGTATTATCTAGTGTATTTCGTGAGTACATGTACCTTATATCAATTAATCCAAACGCCAATTAAATAAAATTGATGAAATAAGTAATTTTCTTCAAACGTCTATGAAGCAAAATGAGATTTGTTTCCAGTGTTTTTACCTCCAATAGTTTCATGTTCACGTGTTCTAATGCGTCTTTGAAACCACTTTTCATGTATGCTCTTTCGACATCAGGAATTTCCTTGATCAGTTTGAGCAAACTGTCCTCGAATTGGGGTTTATGATGCGATGGTGCCTCTGGCGCGGGTCGCATTGGACTTCTATGCCCCGCTTGTCTTGTTTGAACATGCTTGGAAACAAATACACCATGGGAACCGTATCTGCAAAAAAAGAAATAAGATTTTTTCTTAGCAAAAGTTAAATTCCGTGACTTGATTGTGGCCAATATATTGTTTTAAAGCACCATGTCTTATGTCTGTTTAAAAATGAAAAAGTATGTATCATACAGACAGGAATTCAGATATTAAATCTGTGATATTGACTCACTGACAGTTCAGAGAAGCATTAAACACTTGTATTTGTCAGTAGCTAAATCAAGCATTTTGGATTTCGTAATTCGGTCTTAGTCTTTTCATTTATATTCAAGAAACTGACCATTTACGAGGGGTATTTCGGAAAACTCATTCTGTCTATGATTTGAAATCTTGAATCACTTCGACATACATCACTACACAACAGTTGATTTATATAAAAACTAAACTGACATCTTGTTCAAAACAATACAACTAACCTTTAATTTGGTAAAACCTAGAAGGTTGAGGGTGAGGATGATAACACGTCTTATGGAATATTCATCAAAAAGTTCCAATAAAATGCAATTTTAATGCCGATTTTATTTCTAATTAAAGTTTACACTCCACATACAGGGAATTCACAAAGCATCGACAATATGTAACATTAAATTCGTTACCAAGTCAACTAAGCATTGAACTGCATTCAACTGGCGTTCACAGACATATGAACACCACCAGAAAAAGGGTAGATTCAGTAAAGCATGCTAGCTATGGACTACTGACAAAAAGCACTTCAATACTTTCAATACTTTCATCGTTATAATGAGATACCGTGTGCTCTCTGGTAAGCATGATATTTTATCAAGATTTACAAACGAACATGTCATCAGTTACTAAAGCATTGTAAGGCTTATGATAGAGTTTTCATGCGAGCCATGTCCGGAAGGTGTGTCAAAGTCACCAAAGGCGTACCTGTCCAAGATGTTTTTCGTTGTTGCAATACCCGAGGCCATTTAAAAATCGTGCCTAAAGAGAGGTAGACATTCAAGGACAATTTTATAGTGTCTTCATACTGAACTGTCATAACTGGGACACGATGTCATTCGTTTATATAATAATGACAACAGACATGCTAATTCTTAATGCTCATTTTTAGCTAACACTTATCAAAAAGAAGTAAGTATATAAGTTAATTTGCTATTAATGCTATTAATCCTTTGGCCTCCAGCATCAAGGTATCGTCCAGAAACAGCAAACAAATCAACCTATGTTAAAGTTAGCGTCCGAAAACAGCAAACAAATCAACCTATGTTAAAGTTAGCGTCCGAAAACAGCAAACAAATCAACCTATGTTAAAGGAATCGTCCGGAAACAGCAAATAAATCAACCTATGTTTGCATATCGCAGTAAATCCTATGTTTATGGGTTTGTTCTCAATATCACGATCTCGAAAACTGACGGACAAGCTCACAACAGTGTTTCAAGAGATGCATGCTGAAAAAGATGGGGACGTTTCCCGGTGTCATAATGATGTTAGACGTGTTGGGTTTCGTTAGTGTACCAGTCGGTTACGTTACTGTTTACTTCGTCCTCATTTGGAATTGTGACATTGCTTAATTGGAATGATCAAGATTGGGATAGTGAGCGTGGTCGATAAAGCAGAAGAGGCTTAATCTTTAGGATCACCTGGTCTTATTCTTCTAGCGTATTTTTGTAAATCTTTCTGATTCGGTTAGCATGTTGGTATTTTTCTGTTGTTTTCATTCACGTTTTCATATGTTGTGTCTATTACATATCTATTTACCTTGTATACGTCTTTGAACTTCCCCTAAATTACCTTAACATGCAGGACACATGAAGGTTTTTTTTTAAATAGCATTACTTAACGTTATTTTATTCCGTTCTTCATCAAATATAACAAAGGTGAAATAATAAAATAAGATTAAATTATATTGTTTTTGTTAACCTTTTAATTGTCTTACATACACATACTGTATATTCATTGCACCTATTTCTATAAATCGTAATGATTTCACCGATCAGTTCCAGCAGAGCGTATTTGAAAGAGCATTATTATCGAGAGTTATTCAATATCATTAACCAAGAACTTGTGATAGGCAGACGTTGGCATTATCTGTTCTAATTCGCTTCGAAATTCTTAATCAATTACCGCAATTTCCGGAGTCAGCCTTCGACTATTGCATTCACCAAATTGGGCAAAAATGGTAAAATGTTAAAACAGTTTCTGTATATGTCCAGTAGTATTATTTTGATGAAATTTACGCTAGAATTTCTTTGTAGTTGGACAAATGTTCGCATATGCCTTATATTCAAGTGGTTCCTACATGTCTTCGCCTTACAACAAGATATCAGCCGACGTTAAAGGTATAATGACTGATCAAGCTTTACTGCATCGTTAAAATAATCAAACATTGTCAGATAATAAGTTATAGCAACTTACCCATATGTTTTCTTGCTCATTCTGAAAAGAAAAAAAGTTTTCTACTTAGCGTTGAGGATTTATAAAGGTCTGGCGGCTAGAATTTCTAAAGTGTACTTTTTGTTTCATTATTTTTATTCTTGTTTCTTTTCTTTTGAGAGATTTGACAAAAGAACAAAACCAAAGATGTCAAAACAATATCTTGCTGCACCATGAAGGTTTTTACATATTTAGTATCCAATCAAACCAGTATAGTATTGGAAAACAGTACTTGGAATGGAAGTGATAACTATATTTGGAATAAATAAAATAATTCCTAATTCCAGAGTTAAATGTGCATTTTACGAAAGTGTATTTTCTCAATCCGAAACATTTTTCATGTAGTCGCTCTCACGCTTTAAAGGTATGCGATCCAAGAGGTAAGCACTCGGTGTCTCTACGACGCTTAGCATGTACTTTCGGTTTACACATGGTTGTCATGTAAAATTTATTTTACGATATTGACAGCAAATATATCGTCATAAAATAATGCTGTTAAACTATGCTGAAACGGTATCATAATCATTGATATCTTGAATCATTCACTTAACCTTTTTAGGCAGAAATCGAAAGTGGTGCACCTGTTACACTTGACTGATACCTCATTTTTACGTGTAGTTATGTACGGCTGTTGTGACAGTTACCTGCAGACCACTAGAAGACTGATAACATATACTTACGTTGATCAGAATATCTAGGCTAGATGAACCTTGATTCACCGACAATCGAGAGATGAGTCACTCCCTACAGATCGTGTATTGGTAGTTTTTAGGACAAACTAGTGTGTTATTTTGTTGATGTATCGCGTCGCCATTTTGTACGAGTGAGTGACGTACCTGTATTTACGATATGGGGCCCAGAGAGGGGGGTTACAGATCTGTGGTGCCATTTACCTTTTTAATTCACGAAGTAATATCGCTAGAACGGTTAGATGTTATCACATAGTCACCATGGTGAACATTTTGAATATAAATGTAGGTGGGTGATACCATTGACTTCGTTGCCACAAAATTCATTTTTGGTGTTTCCAAATGGGCGGGCGTTTGTATTGTAACGTGAAAGAGTCTTCACAAATCATTTTTGTGGAAAGTGCCTTCTACAGAGTCAGGAAAATAAAGAAAATCACATAAGTAATAATATTTAAAACGTGATTTGTACCTCTTGTGTTACAATTGATACTGAAAAGTATAGTAAGACAAATTAAAAGAGTACATATTTGCAAAAATAATTCAAATCTAGCATTATTTCTAGATATCTTGACAAGACGTCTTGTCTGTTAATAAAAAATTTTGTAATGAAAGTTGCGTTAGTTGGTATATCCTTCCTTTTCAAGTTTAAGATAGCTTCGAACCAGACTATAAAATTTTAAAGTGTGAAATAAAATAGCTGATGAGAAACTCGATGGACAAACCTTTTTTCAATGTTTTTATTCTTAGATAGTATTGATACGTCCCTGGTATTGATAAATACTCTGATTCATGTAATTCTTTGGTTTAAATACAACAAAAACTAGTTACGTTAGACACGACTATTTTTTAACGATTTCCATGGTGCCATATTTTTTTAACACGTCTTACCGATGTTTTGGCTAATCTATGTTGAATATTGATTGGTCATTCAGTACAAATAATTTCCTATGCCCAGTTTTACAGATTGGGTTGATATTATACTTTAATGTTGATCCAGTAAACAATTCTCCTTGTTTTAGCAATCACAGTTTGAGCGACTCATGATTTTGGATTTTTTTATTACAAAATAATAATTACCAATCATTATGAAAAACAAGATAAGAAAATGAATAAATTCTGTTGCAATTAGTTTCACATTAAATCTTCAATTAAAAGGCAGTGTCTTTGCTCCCTATTAAATATTCAATTAATTTAGCCTCATTTGAAAACAAATTCAAATTACCATATATATAGGCGGACAGTTACAATTCTTTCCCTTGTCAATAGAATATTGAAGATCTCCACCAGTTAAACTCTCTCAAGAAAAAATATTTTAATCTCAAAGGTCTTTCTCTTAATTTCTCCACGGTGTTTCATGAAAAAGCAAATATGGAAATGGTAAACATGAGTGAAAAAATTAAGAGGAAAAAGAATTGCTCCATGTTTCAATGATGTACCAAGTTTTAAAGAGATTTGGAGAAATCTTTGGACAAGAAAGAAAAAAGGGCAATAACTTCTTGTTCAAAATTAGAATAATTTGTGGTATTCAAAGTTAGAATAATTCCCAATATTCAAAATTTGAATAATTCCCGATATTCAAAATTATGATAACCACACATTACACCTGATATATTGTCACATCATTGATAATGCAAAATGGTACATACAGTAATGGACGTGAGTATCTATTGAGTGAAATGTTTGTTTTGGGCACTTCATACACTAACAATAATTAACAGATACATTATTAGTGTTAATTAATATTAATTTAATTAAGAACTTCTATTCTAAGTGTAAGAATCAAGTTTTCAGTTATAAGCTCATAAGGAAATATATCCATTTAGAAATTGATCCATTTAGTATGAAGCTTGATGGCTCAGATAGCCGCCATCTTTGCATGATGGCTTCAATAGGAATACCCTGGTTTTAAATTTTTCGGGGAACGTAGCATTACAAGTATTTACCTGGATGTCGATGTATAGTCAGTGAAAGGCAGTAGACTTGTGCACTTTCTACTATATATTGCATTGTTATGATTTTTTGGTTACTTAAACCACCAATTACAATTCATACTTCCCAGCTTGTTTAGGTTATCCATCTCAATCTGAAATATCATCCGCTTGCCACGAGAACATGTAAGTTGTTATCGTAAGCCACCCATGCACACCCTGCTCCAGGGTGGATTGCGTATTCTCCATATAATCATCACATGTGTGATTTATCACTGATATCTATAATTGCAAAGAAAATATTGAAGCCTTCTCAAGACATCTCTGCAACTGAAAGCAAATCACAACACTGCTAAAACAGGATTCAAAACTAGGACTTCAAAACAAATACTAATCGGAAGATATAATAACGCATTTCCATGTAGTTAAATGTTGTTTATTATTTAAAAGCAACAAAAGTCGATAAATAGCGTAATTTATATCGTGATATTTACAGCGCATTGAGGTGCACCGGTGAAATACATGGACCAAAGCCGCTATAAATGAAAGCCAGGCTTAAGTGAATAACCCTCTCGACTATGCCTCCTCCTACAACTAGACAAAATAGATTACATAGTTATGTGGGTTCATATCTAGCACATGTGGGTACACAGTATGTGCAAACCATAATGAAATAATGTTCTATTGTTAAAATATAGTACTATAAGACAGTCCCAGTTGTTCAAAAACTAGTTAGAGACAACCAGTGTTCGTGAAAATTTCTGAAGTAGAACCAAATAAAATTTAGATAATTCTTTATCCTAAAACAGTTGTAGATTTATTGCGAGGAAACAGATTTTTTAAAAATTTAAATACAATGATACAAACAATTCTAATTCCCAAGTTCAGTTTAGACCCTACTTTAGAAAGTAATTCATGCACCTAAATTACCTATGACAAGTTTAAAAGCTCTCCTTTGATTTTTTTTTCCGTATGAAAGCAATACAAAACGCAATGTCTCCAGGAAAAGTTTTCTGCTTAATATAACAACAATCATCTCTCTGTCAAAATGTTAAGAAATGTTTGTGGCACTGGGGTGTAGTGTGTTTAAAGCCATATCAATTACTGTACACGTGTTTATAAACTAATATTGTACATATTTACAACAGTTTGCACTTTGGTCAAGGAAGATGAGTTTCAGTAAACACTCCTACATTACCTAACACAAAATACTAAGTGTATTACCATAGTTTGTCGGGGATTCTCTAACAATTTAATGTGTCATGACAAAACCAAAGGCTAGCCGTAAACCATTTGATTGGTTGAGGAGATAACAAAGGCCAGCAGTAAAACATTTGATTGGTTGAGGAGATAACAAAGGCTAGCAGTAAACCATTTGATTGGTTGAGGAGATAACAAAGGCTAGCAGTAAACCATTTGATTGGTTTAGGAGATAACAAAGGCTAGCAGTAAACCATTTGATTGGTTGAGGAGATAATAAAGGCACTTTGTGTATAAATATTGAATTTCTTACATATCATTCCAAAATAAATGTGAAGTAATACCTTACTTACCTTGTAGATACTGTACAGAAAAGATCCCGCTGAATATAGTGGGTACATAGAATATATAGTACTTATCAAGCTGCTATTTAAAGGTAGTGATGTAATTATTAATATGTCAACCTTTTTTTCTTTGTAAAAACAAACTGCTATTTAAAGGCAGTAATGTAATTATTAACATGTCAACCTATTTTTCTTTGTAAAAACAAGTAACAGTATTCATGGCTGTCCAGCCATAATGTAACATTTGATTTAGAGACAATTTAATTTTTTTAATTAACAAATGAGAAAAATATGTTCATTGACGTATGAATGGCAAATGACATGTGAATGCCTTGCCATGCAATAACACCAACAGTTCCATTTTTGCTTTCATTTTTTAAATCAAAACATGTGTATCTGAACATAAACAAAACGAAACAAAACAAAAATATGGGATAATACAACAATCACACCAATTTTTTATTATTCAGCGTTGCCAGTATTGACCATATCATGAAAAATGCAAGAATCACCTGGTATTTCTTTACTAATGAAATTATTTAAAAGTTTTAAATTTAGTTTTTGTATGTAATAAAGTCAATATAATGCTCAAACATAACACAGAACATCATCTCAATGCTGAAAAATGCGATACATTGTAGCTAAACCACAGAACTGATGAATAAGTTAATTTTACCTGACGACTCTTTAAAACATCCTGTCACCCTTGATTTTGAAGGCCATTATCAGACATTATTTAACAAGAGATTGACGACAATTTTTAAAGGAACTGTGTCCTACATGCCTACTTTAGATTGCTTTAACTGTGTATAAATATCTACATGCTAAATACATAATAATCACCAAATGAAAAAAGTGTCTGAAAAAACCTTGAAATAAATATTAAAAAGCCAACAAACAACTGCTAGACAGATTACAGGTACATTAACAAAACAATCACTATGCAAGCTCACTGAAGGAAGCTACGGTACTATAATCATCATAGTAACTTAGAATGGCCAATATATTTATTTTGGCAACCTAGCTGATCAGTATTTGGTTTGTTATAAGTAAAATTTGTATATCAATTAACAACAAGTATACAGAAACAAGTGAAGAGGAACATCTCCAAATCTGACTGGACATCAGATTTATGTCGATTAGTTAATAATCGTCAGCTGGTCAGTTGGCTGAGGACTCAAATTAACTAAGAGTTTCATAGCCTTTAAAAAATTCAGTTGTTATTTACAAACAACTCCATTTTCTCCAATACTAGGCCCCCTCCAGTTTTATCAGGCCATGAAGAATACATAATACACATCTTTGATGATATATTTTTGTAATTGTTGTAGAATAATTACGCTTAAGTTCTATCACATACCCAACATCAATTACATATTCACGTGGCATACCTGTAAAACCTTAATAATATAAAACATATATCTTTATAGGGCTCAATTTTCCTGGGTTTTCCTTTTAAATCGCTGTTCAGGGGACACTTGATTTCGTGGGTACAAATCGCTGTTCATGGGACACTTGATTTCGTGGGTACATATCGCTGTTCAGGGGACACTTGATTTCGTGGGTACATTTAGTTCAATAAATCTATTTATACTCAATTTAACAGTTTGTGGATGTAAATTCACTGATAACAGCACCCACAAAATCCATGAAAATATATCCTCCTCAAAAATTGCCGACTTTACAGAAAATCACATTCAACTGAACTACCAAATCAAAACTTCTGGTAAATATTGCCATATTTTAACACTCAGTTTATTATGTTATACAAAATTTCTCTAGATATATACATGACATTATTTCCCATCACTGTATAATACTGGTGTAAAAATACGCTGAAGTTTCATTATACAAGGTGGAGATAAGGAATTGGTCATATTAATAATCTGCAGTAATTCTCTATCAACAAGTAACTACAAAATTGTCCTGTAATTTTACAGTCAATAAAAATACACATAAAGATCAAACCACAAAATATTTCCTGTTTAATGAGTATTTTTCACATAATTGCCTTGTTTTCCAGTTTGAATACCATAAATTTGTGGGTATAGTGCACAGTTACGTTTTTGGGGTCAGATTAAATATACATATATATCACACGAATATTTATTATCGGTAACCGCGGTGCACCAGTTGGTGTTTTGATCGATCGATAATTAGGAAACCACAACAAGCGTGACCCTAACACGTTTAATTATCTTATGTAAACAAATTCACGCAGGTGCCTGACTTAACAAGCATTGAAGGCCAGGCTAATAGGATAATTAATGGCTATTAACAGGTAACACGTTGAGTATAAGGAGACTGATGACACCCAGCTATATACTCATGTCATATTTGTTAGTATTACACATGTAATATACATTGTTGTCACAATACTATTGATATTAAAATGTCATATATTCACAGATAGCACTATGATGTAACCATGGAGACCATAGATATATGGTGCATACATGACTTTAAGTTTCACATTTTGCTACCATTTTTGACAGAAAACAAAAAAAAAATGTTTCCATTTGAAATGTGATTTATGAAATTTGTCATGAAATATTCATTTAGCTCAGCAAAGGTTCATTAAAATAGAAAATTCAAAAACCTTGTAAGATCCCATACACATTGATATACTGTTATCTTTTGTGATAAAAGACACATGCTTTTCCCGACTGAATATTGTGTAGCAAGCAAAGAAATCATCTTGTTCACCATACTCTGATGAGTACATTCACGCCAGATTTCAATATGTAAAACATTCATCACGCCATTAATACATTCAATCTAATGCTGTGTAATTCTTCATTAACCAAGAATTTCTGCATAGTGGGTCATTTTTGTGGGGGAGTTCATTTCGCTATATATGCAGTCAATAAAGATACATGAAGCACGAAAATAAAATACCGGTGTAAATCTCAGAAAATATCTGCGATGCCAATATACCTGAATAACAATCCATCGACTTGCCCGAAATTCAATGTTTGTTAACTAGCCCAAACCTGCACTACATTGAAATAAAAGCCCACGAAATAGTACAACTATACAGTTTAACAAGTCTACTCATTTTTTAATCAAAGAGTGGTAGACAAACTTTAACCTTTGGCTATGAATGATGACTGTGTAATAATCAGTCTAAATATTAATGTCTTATGAAAACAATTATTGAAACATTCATTTATATCACAATAACACTGACCCTGAAAATACATATTTGATGATAAAATCTGACAATCATAAAGTTATGAATACATTAATTCTGACGATCATTATGCAATGAATACATTCACTGTAAGTCTACATATTGTTATCGTAAGTAGAGTCACTATGCCGTTGCATTTGTTGGTGATGTGGAGGCTGGGCATTACCGGGACTTTGACGTACACTGCACCACAGCCTTTGACAAAAGCGCACCGTCATTGCTAAGCAACAAGGCGGGCCAAATGACATACTCTACATACTCTCCACTCTTGGTGTATATACGTGCAATGTTCAAATCTACTTTTGAGTAAAGAGGAAAGTCAGAGAAGATTTCCAGAGGAGGGTCCTGAATACAGGCCAACCAGGACACTTCCAGGCACTTATCCACGTATAAAGACATATCCTGTGTCGTTGAATGGACTTCATCTCTGAGCCTGTCAGTCTGATAGGACTGGATAATTTAAGTCATAATTAGAAAGATATGAGTACAATTTTACTGCAATGATGCTGCATTTGTTCTATGCAAAGACACTTATAACTATATCATGAGATTTGAATGAAATGATGGTGATATAATTTACATTTAGTTATTTGTTATTACTGGCTAGTGTCTTTAGTGTTTTTATTGTTTTAGTAAATACATCCTTAAATTTTCGGAAAATCTAAAACCTGATCCTTAATGCAAGCAGTCTTTAATACAAGTTCTTACCTTTTTTTGTATTGAGTCGATGCAATGTATTACATGTTTGTGGGTTTTTTTTCAAATAGATCAATTGATGTGTGATTGAATCTAAATCATTGTAGTTTAATTTATTACATTTGTTTTAAAAACGAAATGAAAAAGATGATCATGTGTTTAAACAAATATTAGGATATTCAATTATTTTATACAATGAATTTGGAATATGGTAGTATTACACTATAATACAAATGATGCTCTCAGTTTGCATGTATGATAAAAAAAACAAGAAATGATGCATATCTTAATCAATCATAATGAAGCATCAGGAAATCTTCTATATGGATTTATTTTATGATTGGTTAAATCAGGATTACCTTGAGAGAATAACAGTGATTAAATCAGGATTACCTTGAGAGAATAACAGTGATTAAATCAGGATTACCTTGAGAGAATAACAGTGATTTAATCAGGATTACCTTGAGAGAATAACAGTGATTTAATCAGGATTATATTTAGAAAGTAACAGTGATTTAATCAGGATTATATTGAGAAAGTAACAGTGATTTAATCAGGATTACATTGAGAAAGTCACAGTGACTGAATCAGGATTATATTTAGAAAGTAACAGTGATTAAATAAGGATTATATTTAGAAAGTAACAGTGATTTAATCAGGAATACATTGAGAAAGTAACAGTGATTAAATCAGGATTATATTTAGAAAGTAACAGTGATTTAATCAGGAATACATTGAGAAAGTAACAGTGATTTAATCATGATTATATTGAGAAAGTAACAGTGATTTAAGCAGTATTATGATAAGAAAGTAACAGTGATTTAATCAGGATTACGTTGAGAAAGTAACAGTGATTTAATCAGGATAATATTGAGAAAGTAACAGTGATTTAATCAGGATTATATTGAGAAAGTAACAGTGATTTAATCAGGATTACATTGAGAAAGTAACAGTGATTTAATCAGGATTACATTGAGAAAGTAACAGTGATTTAATCAGGATAATATTGAGAAAGTAACTGTGATTAAATCATGGTTATATTTAGAAAGTAACTGTGATTTAATCATGATTATATTGAGAAAGTAACAGTGATTTAAGCAGGATTATGATAAGAAAGTAACAGTGTTTTAATCAGTATTACTTTGAGAATGTAAATTACTACACAACTAATGGAGTAATTAAAAAAACCATATGCAGGATTATGATATGGTACCTACCTGTCGGATGGTGTTAAGTGAGTGTTGGAATGCAGTTTTCCGCAGTTCTATCACTTTCTGACTAATTACCTGTCTCTCAGTCTGTACAGGCACTATACCAATGCCAGCTCCTGCATCCTGATATCAAAATATCACTTTAGATAGCTCCAAAGGTATGTCAAAGACAAATATACCACTACAATACATACATACACAATATATTGATGTGAATTGGCCAATACAAACAAATAACCTTGACCCTCTATTAAGTTTTATTCTTCCTGCAACTCCATACACTGACAAAAGTGCTTTCCATCAATATTTTATTGAAGCACGGTCATGCTATAAATTGTAATGTTGACCTTGGTGAAGGACATATTCAGAAGAGTTCAGATGTAAATTCAATGTCGGTCCATACCTGGAAATAACTGTTCTGTTTTTCAATATTGATATGAATGTAAGTAATGAGCTGACATGGCGTGGTAAATTGGCAATTTGCCATGAAGGTGATAAGTGACAAAATGTCACATGACTCACCCTGATGTACGGTGGTCAACTTGCAGATACGGACATGTTTTCATTCTGTTGTAACCTAATAGTACATTAGTACAATACTGTAGTACATTACGTGTGTTGTTCACAGCATATCTTAGACTTACTATATATTTGTTAATTATCACAATCATATCATTCTGATGTTGATAATGAAGTAATAACTAAGTATATAAACTATAAACTTTATTTATTTTACAACAATTGCAAAACAAGTTACTTCAACTTATACTAATCACTCTTGTTGGCCCGGAGGTAAGCGTGCGAGGGGTCTTATTGTGGGAGGAAACCGGAGTACCTGAGGAAAACCCACCTGGTCGGGCTTGTTGACCCTTACCTTCTTATGACCATTAGGAGTCAAACCCTGGATGGTTAGGTGAAACATGAGTGCGTTACCACTGCGCCACCCAACCACCCAACAAAGCATATATGGCATTTAGATACTGCATGGACTTGAGATGTAAATTACCTTTATGTTATTGACAACATTGATCACAAGGTACTGAAAAAAACTTTAATTTATTCATTCAGATGTATTCACAAAATTTTTATATTAAGTCATGTTTGCTGGCATTCAAGAATCTTTGAGTGAATTTATGTAATGATACAGGAATACCTGTAAGATCTCTTTGTCTCACCTTTTGGTTTTGAGATGGAGAACAAGCCATATTCAAAAGGACTTCATACTGTTGTTTGCCCACAGTCTTACAAAACTGGAAACAGTTCTGAAAATAAGATATTGTTCTGAAAACTTAAACCATCAGTAGTAAATAAACATTGCTTTAAAAATGAGGTTTGATGACTCTAAGATCTTGAGTTTAGGTAATGAGTTTATATAATGAGAAGGAGGCCTGATTTCTAACTCTGAAGTATGGAGTTTAGTGGCCTGATTTCTAACTCTGAAGTATGGCGTTTAGTGGCCTGATTTCTAACTCTGAAATGTGGAGTTTAGTGGCCTGATTTCTAACTCTGAAGTATGGAGGTTAGTGGCCTGATTTCTAACTCTGAAGTATGGCGTTTAGTGGCCTGATTTCTAACTCTGAAATAAGGAGTTTAGTGGCCTAATTTCTAACTCTGAAGTATGGAGTTTAGTGGCCTGATTTCTAACTCTGAAGTATGGAGTTTAGTGGCCTGATTTCTAACTCTGAAGTATGGAGTTTAGTGGCCTGATTTCTAACTCTGAAGTATGGAGTTTAGTGGCCTGATTTCTAACTCTGAAGTATGGAGGTTAGTGGCCTGATTTCTAACTCTGAAGTATGGAGTTTAGTGGCCTGATTTCTAACTCTGAAGTATGGAGGTTAGTGGCCTGATTTCTAACTCTGAAGTATGGAGTTTAGTGGCCTGATTTCTAACTCCGAAGTATGGAGTTTAGTGGCCTGATTTCTAACTCTGAAGTATGGAGTTTAGTGGCCTGATTTCTAACTCTGAGTTGTTAAGTTTAGTTACCTAATTTCTACTTATGAGGTATTGGGTCTTGAGGCCTAATTTCTAATTATGAGGTATTGGGTTTGGTGTTCTAATTTATAACTATGAGGTATTGAGTTCAGTAGCCTAATTTCTAGCGCTTGAGGTACTGAGTTTAGTTGTCTATTTTCAAGTGCTTGAGGTATTGAGATTGGTGACAAGTTTCTAACTCTGAGTTATTGAGTTTAGTGGTCTAATTTATTGACTAGGAGGTAATGATTTTAGTGGCTTAATTTCTAGCACTTGAGTTATTGAGTTTCATGGCAAAATTTCTAGCATTTGAGTTATTGAGTTTAGTGGCCCAATTTCTAACTATGAAGTATTGGGTTCAGTGGCCTATTTTCTAATTTTGAGGTATTGAGTTTACTGGCCTAATTTCCAGTGCTTGAGTTACTGAGTTTGGTGGCCTTGTTTCTAATTATGAAGTATTGAGTTTAGTGGCCTAATTTCTAACCATGACGTATTGGGTTTGGCCTAATTGCTGTGTTTGAGGTATTGAGTAGTGCTTTGAGCAATAATTCTACCTCTAACACATGGAGAAGGATGGCCACTGCCTTCTTGTGATCCTTGCCATTTGTGGTGAGATACTCATATACATCTGTCCATTCATTGTCATACAGCTCTGAATACTTCTCTGCAATCTTCTGGGGTCTGTTCATGTCACTTAAGTCAGTGATTTCTGGATTGTTGTCAGATAACTTGGCGCTTGCCAACGTACTCAGTCTAAATAACAGCACATGAAAGATATCAGAATTTTATCTGCGAATGTGTGAAGATACAGTACACCTTAGTTTTATTAGACTCTAAAACAGATGTTCATAGTGCCATAATTATTGTGGCCATTTTACCACATTTTTAAGAGACCCACAACCACAGGGGATACCTCAGGTAAACAAAGTAACTAGTTCTGCTGGTTTTGAGTAATTCAATGTTTCATTTGTCATCAGCATTACCAAACATTACACAGGGCAGAACTGACTTAACATAAACCCAACATAAACTAACCTAATGTAAGTTTTTTCACCCAAAACTTTCCACATCATCACATACATTGCACATAAGTTCACACTATATATCTAAATACAGTAACATTTAAAAAATTGCCTCAAAATTTCTAAGGGTTTCATGAAAGTTGATGGCTCTCACAAGAGAAATTATTTAAAAATAGTCATTTAATTAAGCTATTTATACATTCAGGATTTATGTGTCTCATTCTAGGGGCTTGCAGTCTTAAGCTTTCTGCTGAACTGGACATGATGGAACAAGAAATATCAAAATAGAAACTTACCGTCGTAAGGCATCTGCCTTATCCTTTTCAAGGCGTTGGATTTGTTTGTTTTTACTATATACATCATTTTCTAATCTGTTGACCTGGTCACTCTTCTCTTCCAGCCTAAACAATATGTTATTATTGGTCAATTTACATCACAATAGTACAACGTATTCCAAATAACTCTGTAAAAATGAGAGAGAGCCATTTTTACACTCAAAAAAGAAAATTCTGATGGAATTTTTTCTGTCTTGAATAGAATGTTTCTCTGTATACAGTAAGTACCAAATGACCTACCACTAGGATCATTTCAAGTGTTTCAGAACTTTTTATCACTATGACTCTAAAACATCACATTTGTGGAGGGTTGTGTGTATATAGAATTTCCAAATCTCTTGGACAAATAAATACCAGAAATAGAAGGTTATCAGAATGTTTGACTCCTATGATGCTTTGATAAAATGGAGACATAGAGCATTATAGAAATGAAGCTGATGGACTAAGAAATGTACAGATGAACAGGATATTTGTTGAACCACTATCATAGGGTAAACATGGAGTTGTTGGTAAGAAATGGTCCTAATTACAGTGTTGTGCTTATATAGAGCTTCTGTTTTGATGAACCACTATCATAGGGTAAACATAGAGTTATTGGTAAGAAACGGTCCTAATTACAGTGTTGTGCTTATATAGAGCTTCTGTTTTGATGAACCACTATCATAGGGTAAACATTGAGTTATTGGGAAGAAATGGTCCTAATTACAGTGTTGTGCTATATAGGGCTTCTGTTGAAGCAATTTACATGTATATTTCATGTCTTCATCCTGTAAAAAACCTCAATCTTTCTAAATACATACACATACCTGTAAGACAATTGCATCACTGCTGATTTCAGTTCTCTAATTTCCTGGTCTCTGTTCACAATCTCATGATCAAGCTGTTCTAACTTCATGTGGTACCTCTCTAACTCTATCTGTAACTCCCTGTATTGAAACAAGAACAAAGAATTCAGTAAATAGCCATTATACATAATGACTTAATAACAAACTTCTGATCACACCTATAAGGAAATTCACAGAAGCATAAGGAAAAGTATTAAACTGGGAATACATCTGATCTTAACAAGAGATCCCAGGTGGACCTTGACACCTACTACGGTTTGGGCAGTATTGGTTCTTTAAATAATGATTCTTTTCCCTTTTTTATTCTTTCCTCTATATTTGTTCTTAATTATATAAAATTTGATCATTTCTCTAAAAAATACCAGAAAATAAAGAAATAAGTAGTTATGTAATGGGGTTACAACTGTGATAACAGGGTAGTTATGTGACAGGGGTTACAAATGTGATAACAGGGCAGTTATGTGATGGAGGTTTATAACTGTGATAACAGGGTAGTTAAGTGATGGAGGTTGATAACTGTGGTAACAGGGTAGTTATGTGATGGAGGTTTATAACTGTGGTAACAGGGTAGTTATGTGATGGAGGTTCATAACTGTGGTAACAGGGTAGTTATGTGATGGAGGTTGATAACTGTGGTAACAGGGTAGCTATGTGATGGAGGTTTATAACTGTGGTAACAGGGTAGTTATGTGATGGAGGTTTATAACTGTGGTAACAGGGTAGTTATGTGATGGGGGTTTATAACTGTGGTAACAGGGTAGTTATGTGACAGGGGTTACAACTGTGATAACAGGGTAGTTATGTGATGGAGGTTTATAACTGTGGTAACAGGGTAGTTATGTGATGGGGGTTGATAACTGTGATAACAGGGTAGTTATGTGATGGAGGTGTATAACTGTGATAACAGGGTAGTTATGTGACGGAGGTTTATAACTGTGGTAACAGGGAAGTTATGTGATGGAGGTTTATAACTGTGATAACAGGGTAGTTATGTGACAGGGGTTACAACTGTGGTAACAAGGTAGTTATGTGATGGAGGTTTATAACTGTGGTAACAGGGTAGTTATGTGATGGAAGTTGATAACTGTGGTAACAGGGTAGTTATGTGATGGAGGTTTATAACTGTGATAACAGTGTAGTTATGTGATGGAGGTTTAAAACTGTGGTAACAGGGTAGTTATGTGATGGAGGTTGATAACTGTGGTAACAGGGTAGTTATGTGATGGAGGTGTACAACTGTGGTAACAGGGTAGTTATGTGATGGAGGTTTATAACTGTGATAACAGGGTAGTTATGTGATGGAGGTTTATAACTGTGGTAACAGGGTAGTTATGTGACAGGGGTTACAACTGTGGTAACAGGGTAGTTATGTGATGGAGGTTTATAACTGTAGTAACAGGGTAGTTATGTGATGGAGGTTTATAACTGTGGTAACAGGGTAGTTATGTGACGGGGGTTACAACTGTGATAACAGTGTAGTTATGTGATGGAGGTTTATAACTGTGATAACAGGGTAGTTATGTGACTGGGGTTACAACTGTGATAACAGGGTAGTTATGTGATGGAGGTTTATAACTGTGATAACAGGGTAGTTATGTGACTGGGGTTACAACTGTGATAACAGGGTAGTTATGTGATGGAGGTTTATAACTGTGGTAACAGGGTAGTTATGTGATGGAGGTTTATAACTGTGGTAACAGGGTAGTTATGTGATGGAGGATTATAACTGTGGTAACAGGGTAGTTATGTGATGGAGGTTTATAACTGTGGTAACAGGGTAGTTATGTGATGGAGGTTTATAACTGTGATAACAGGGTAGTTATGTGACGGGGGTTACAACTGTGATAACAGGGTAGTTATGTGACGGAGGTTTATAACTGTGGTAACAGGGTAGTTATGTGATGGAGGTTTATAACTGTGGTAACAGGGTAGTTATGTGATGGAGGTTTATAACTGTGGTAACAGGGTAGTTATGTGATGGAGGTTTATAACTTTGGTAACAGGGTAGTTATGTGATGGAGGTTTATAACTGTGGTAACAGTGTAGTTATGTGATGGAGGTTTATAACTGTGGTAACAGGGTAGTTATGTGATGGAGGTTGATAACTGTGGTAACAGGGTAGTTATGTGATGGAGGTTGATAACTGTGGTAACAGGGTAGCTATGTGATGGAGGTTTATAACTGTGGTAACAGGGTAGCTATGTGATGGAGGTTCATAACTGTGGTAACAGGGTAGTTATGTGATGGAGGTTGATAACTGTGGTAACAGGGTAGTTATGTGATGGAGGTTTATAACTGTGGTAACAGGGTAGTTATGTGATGGAGGTTTATAACTGTGGTAACAGGGTAGTTATGTGATGGAGGTTTATAACTGTGGTAACAGGGTAGTTATGTGATGGAGGTTTATAACTGTGGTAACAGGGTAGTTATGTGATGGAGGTTTATAACTGTGGTAACAGTGTAGTTATGTGATGGAGGTTTATAACTGTGGTAACAGGGTAGTTATGTGATGGAGGTTGATAACTGTGGTAACAGGGTAGTTATGTGATGGAGGTTGATAACTGTGGTAACAGGGTAGTTATGTGATGGAGGTTTATAACTGTGGTAACAGGGTAGTTATGTGATGGAGGTTTATAACTGTGATAACAGGGTAGTTATGTGATGGAGGTTTATAACTGTGGTAACAGGGTAGTTATGTGACGTGGGTTACAACTGTGATAACAGGGTAGTTATGTGACGGCGGTTACAACTGTAATAACAGGGTAGTTATGTGATGGGGGTTACAATATTGATAAGAGTGTAGCTATGTGATGGGGGTTGTACCAAGGATTATCACATTGTAAGGTTGATAGGTGAAACTCAATGCAGCTATGGCTTTAGAATATTTCCTGCATCCTAACGGGCATCTTAACTTTTTTCTCCATTGACACAGAATTTCTAACTTTTAGTCAAGTGTTTGCCTCTTTAAGAAAGGCTTTGGTTTCTGTCTCCTGGCCAAGACACACCAGAGCCTTTAAAAAACAGTGGTAACATCTCCTTGCTCTACAGTCTGCATTTCAGTAGAGGAACAACTAGTTAGCCCATATTCAGTATAATGTAGCTGGGTGGTGCTAGGACCCTGCAGCAGTATTTCGGTGTGGTAGCACTATAAAGTCAGTTTCAGTTCCCGACTACCACAAAAACATACATCACAGTCTCCTAGAAATAAATGCACTCGACACATTCACTCATCTCACAAACACTAGAATACCACCCTTAAATGACCATCGCCGTTGACAATTCTAAAACAATGTTCATCAAACCAAATTGTTAAATACCTTTTTTGGGACATGAAACTGTCTGCATCTGCTTGTTCATCAGGTGCTATGTTTCTTGTTCTAGTTGTTGGAGATGTTCTTTGTCTACAACCATAAATTACAGTAAAACCACTGCAGCTATATTATCATTATGTAAAACAGAATTTAGATATTACATCAGTAAACACAATCTTATTTAATTAATTTGAGATTCAACATACTTGGTATACTTCTATCCATATCTAAAACAATCTATCCATTATCACCATCACATCAATAAAATATGAAATTCAAATTTTTTTTCTTATAAAGAAAATGTTGATTGACAATGATAATGTATAATTGATTGACAACATTATGTATTCCCATACTTGATATCATGTAAGGTTTGGTGTGTTAACAACTTGAAGTATGACAGAGATTGAAGTGAGGAACAGCCATCCTCACACTTCTGATCATGACTCGATAATCATCACTACATGATATCACAAAATAACATCAACCTTAACCAGATTATTGCACACGAAGGAAAACCATTTTTGTCCTTTTTACTGTGTATCACCTTGACAGCTCTAGGTTTTCTCTGCGAAGTGTTTCAACATTTTCCTCTAATGTTTCCACCTTCCTTTTCAAATGATCCAATTCACTTTCCCTGTCAATGTGACAAATTAGGTCTGGTTACAATCAGAATGTCATAGTAGTGGTAAGTAAATCTATACTATGTTAATTATACTTTTGTAAAAGCTTCGATGTTTTGGTTATAATTCCAGTTAGCTAGTAGCTTGACGGTATCATATTTCTTCCACATGTATGATGCAGTAGAAATATACAAACTATATCATGACAGTTATGAGATATTTTCTGAGAAAAGCACAAGCAGTCCCTCCAAGACTTTAGGTTCATTTTAAACCGTCCGTAACACTGGTAGTTCATTTCAAACCGTCCGTAACACTAGTGGTTCATTTCAAACCGTCCGTAACACTAGTGGTTCATTTCAAACCGTCCGTAACACTGGTAGTTCATTTCAAACCGTCCGTAACACTAGTGGTTCATTTCAAACCGTCCGTAACACTAGTGGTTCATTTCAAACCGTCCGTAACACTAGTGGTTCATTTCAAACCGTCCGTAACACTAGTGGTTCATTTCAAACCGTCCGTAACACTAGTGGTTCATTTCAAACCGTCCGTAACACTAGTGGTTCATTTCAAACCGTCCGTAACACTAGTGGTTCATTTCAAACCGTCCGTAACACTAGTGGTTCATTTCAAACCGTCCGTAACACTAGTGGTTCATTTCAAACCGTCCGTAACACTAGTGGTTCATTTCAAACCGTCCGTAACACTAGTGGTTCATTTCAAACCGTCCGTAACACTAGTGGTTCATTTCAAACCGTCCGTAACACTAGTGGTTCATTTCAAACCGTCCGTAACACTAGTGGTTCATTTCAAACCGTCCGTAACACTAGTGGTTCATTTCAAACCGTCCGTAACACTAGTGGTTCATTTCAAACCGTCCGTAACACTAGTGGTTCATTTCAAACCGTCCGTAACACTAGTGGTTCATTTCAAACCGTCCGTAACACTAGTGGTTCATTTCAAACCGTCTGTAACACTAGGGGTTCATTTCAAACCGTCCGTAACACTAGTGGTTCATTTCAAACCGTCTGTAACACTAGTGGTTCATTTCAAACCGTCTGTAACACTAGTGGTTCATTTCAAACCGTCCGTAACACTAGTGGTTCATTTCAAACCGTCCGTAACACTAGTGGTTTATTTCAAACCATCTGTAACACTAGTATAACACTAGTAGTTCAGACTAACATTTCAAACTTAAATTGCATTTAGTACTATAACACAATACTAAAGTTCATTTGAAAATGTATCTGTATTTGCCATTATTTTTTTTATGTAGATTTTACTACTATACGTAGGTCAACGCAGGTCAACGCAGGTCAACGCAGGTCCTACCATTTCAAAATTAAAATGCATTCAGCACTATAACACAATACTAAGGTTCATTCTTTTGAAAATGTCTCTGTATTTGCCATTATTTTTATTAAGATTTTTTATCTTTTATATGATTAACATACGTGTTCACTTGTTTCTGTTTGAGGCTATCCACTTCTCGTCTTGTCTGACTTTTTGGATCTTCTAACTTTGTCGGATATTCTGAGTCATGCGGTTGTTCAGAAAATTTTCTTCTGTAAATTCAGTAAAACCATCATGTAACATGACTTTCGACAGACACAGGAAATTGTTTATCATGAATAATCATATATTGAGCTACACAGAGAACAGTTATCACATTTACAAATACTTAAAATCAGCATAGCTATTCCATAACAAAGTACCGTTTTATGTTAACTAACCAGCAGGTATGATAATTCGAAATTCATTGGTGTAATATTCACAACTATTGAATCCTATCTTTGATGTCTGCACCTAGTAAATTTTACCGTTAATGTCCACACCTAATGAATCCTATCTTTGATGTCCACACCTAGTGAATCCTACCTTTGATGTCCACACCTAATGAATCCTACCTTTGATGTCCACACCTAATGAATCCTACCTTTGATGTCCACACCTAATGAATTCTACCTTACATGACCACAGCTAATGAATCCTACCTTTGATGTCCACACCTAGTAAATCCTACATTTGATGTCCACACCTAGTGAATCCTACCTTTGATGTCCACACCTAGTGAATCCTACATTTGATGTCCACACCTAATGAATCCTACCTTTGCTGTCCACACCTAATGAATCCTACCTTTGATGTCCACACCTAATGAATCCTACCTTTGATGTCCACACCTAATGAATCCTACCTTTGATGTCCACACCTAGTGAATTCTATCTTTGATGTCCACACCTAATGAATCCTACCTTTGATGTCCACACCTAATGAATTCTACCTTTGATGTCCACACCTAATGAATCCTACCTTTGATGTCCACACCTAATGAATCCTACCTTTGATGTCCACACCTAATGAATTCTACCTTTGATGTCCAAACCTAATGAATCCTACCTTTGATGTCCACACCTAATGAATTCTACCTTTGATGTCCAAACCTAATGAATCCTACCTTTGATGTCCACACCTAATGAATTCTACCTTTGATGTCCAAACCTAATGAATCCTACCTTTGATGTCCACACCCAATGAATCCTACCTTTGATGTCCACACCTAAAGAATCCTACCTTTGATGTCCACACCTAATGAATCCTACCTTTGTTCTGTTGTATCCATAGGAGTTTCTCCAACACCAAATTTATCTGCCCCCTATAAAGTAAAATTTCATTGTTCAGATTATATGTCTCTAAATGATCAAACATTATCTCCAGGTATGATGATTCCAATATTTATGTAAGGATGACTTTAAGTTACCATACAGTAAAAGACACACACATGTATTAAAATCCAATAAATCATCAATTAGAAAAATAAAATAAGAACTGTCAACTAGTGAATTGCAAACAATCTAGATTTCCAGCAGAAAAAGCTAAAAACATTTAAAAATCACAACGTATCAAACTACAGTCTAACCTTTCAAAACGGCCACCTTAGTTAGACGGCCACCTGCTTATAATGGCCATTTTCTTAATTTACATAAACATTTACATCACTGGTATACACAATACAGGCATATTATCACTATTGTGGCAAATCACTTCGAAATATGAGCAGCAAACGAACTCAGACCAAACCACAAACTGCCAAGTACAGGAAGACAGTGACAATCCTGATTATTAAACTGTATTCAAAAATCAATGTGCAAATTGCCGCAACTTGGGTTAAAAAATAAGGAACCTCAATTAAGAGGCCACCTCTCTATAAAGGCCACTTTCATAATTTCCCCACAGTGGCTGTTTAATACAGGTTAGACTGTATCATAAGTTACCTATTACTTATACACATACACTAAAAGGTATGTAAGTATGCTATATGATTCCCCATTATTTACCTATTTCACATTATCAACACTGTTAAACTCCATTCATGAAAGTAACACAATGCTGACAATCTTTAAATTCAAAATCAATGGAAAATATCCCACAATTAAAACTCTTGACAATGCATGTGCTTGTATGATTTTTTTTCTACAATTATATTCATATAGAAAAAAAATATTCACCATGTCTTTTACTGCCATTTCCCGAGAAGAATTTTGATGTCGTGCAGAGAACCATTCCTGAAGTAAAGAATAAAAAAAATATTACACAATTATTTTTCATACTTATCTTTTATCTCCTGGTGACCCAGGGCTAGAATTCCTAACCCTATGACATGTATATATACTGAACAAAATAAGTTAAGGATCATAAACTTGAAACAGTGCAGTTTTACATACAAATAATAATATGATTATATTTTAAATTTTAATGACAGAACATTCATTTTAGTCTTTAATTACACAAAACAAATTCATTTGTGGTAATTGCTACCAAGAGCAGATAACCCTGAGAAACAGCACCCTTGAAATCAAAGTGTAAGAGGAAGTAGAGCAAGTTAATCATGTAGACAAGGAAAACTCATCAAACTGCAATTGGCAGTTTAATAGGCAGTATGACCTCCGTTGACATCAATAACTGCCCTGCAACGTCTGCACATGCTCCTTATTAGTCGTCGGTGGCTGATCTGTGGGATGCGCTGCCATTCCTCTTGCAGAGCAATCATAAGCTGTTGGCGGTTCTGTGGCGGATTAAGTCGAGCTGAAACCCGGCGTTGCAAGGTGTCCCAAGCATGCTCGATAGGGTTCAGATCAGGAGAACGACTTGGCCAGTCCATGCGAACGATTGCTTCACGTTGAAGATAGTCGTTGACCACACGAGCACGGTGAGGACGAGCATTATCATCCATCAGAATAAAATCATGGCCAACAACTCCTGCAATGGGCCTTACTATAGGGTGTAGAATCTCGTCCCTGTATCGAACAGCTGCTAAAGATCCATTGTCTATGATGTAGAGGTCTGTATGGAAGTCAACACTGATCCCTGCCCAAACCATCACTGACCCACCACCAAAGCGATCATGCTGGACAACAGAGCAGTCTGCATAGCGCTCTCCTTGGGTTCTCCATACCCTCCTCCTACCGTCATGGAAGTCAACACAAAACCTATACTCATCTGTGAACATAACATTTCTCCAATGACGTAATTGCCAATTCAAATGATGAGTGGCCCATTGATGTCTGGATTGTCGATGACCTCTGGATAAAATTGGTCGGACTGCTGGTCTTCTAGCTCGTAAATTAGAGGCATGGAGTCTGTTTCTGATTGTCTGGGATGAAATCCTTAGATTTGTAGCACGCTGAAACTGAAGATTCAAGACAGGAGCACTCAAAAACCGCTGACGTCGTGCCGTGATGCAAATGAATCTGTCCTGTCGGGCTGTCGTACAGCATGGTCGTCCAGATCTGGGGCGTTGACGGACGTTATTTGTCTGTTGATAGCGATTCCATAGCCTACTAATCACGCTCTGAGAAACATGAAGCTGTGCCGCCACATTTCGTTGAGTTTGACCAGCTTGAAGGAGCCCTATAGCTCGCGCGGCTTCCATATCATTTAAATGTCTTCGCATGATTAGTTTTTCAAGTTTTCGTTACAAATTGATTAAATGTTTCCAAATTCAACTTTTTTTAGCTTAGAAGTAACAGAATCAAAACCTGCAAGATTCCTCTGTAGTAATAGACCAGTCAGTTTTTCACACCACCATAGTTAACTAGAGCGGAACGGCAAGACCTTCAGATGCACGTGCTTTCACCTTTGACATGACTTTCGGTACATATTGGAGAAACTACGAGTGCAATTACCGGCAATACATGATTTGAATTTTTAAAGATATTATGGTCACAATTTATGATCCTTAACTTATTTTGTCCAGTATATATATTACACTTCATACACAGATCCTGGAGTCAAGAACTTGTGCCAACGTCCTTACAAAGGAGTTACTGTAGCTCTGGTATTAATAAGAAATACACTGAAGCAGTCTTTCACATCAGTCTGATCAGGTTGACCTAAATACATAATCTTGTAAGAATTTGAGCAATTAAACAACAAAAATTACAACAAACAGAGAGATAGGACATTTGAGCTTTTCAATCTCATCACATCTTGAAATTTCCTGTTGGTATTGAGCTTTTCACAACAGCATGTCATACCTTTGCATTTTCCCACGTTTCGTCAGTAGGCAGTTTGCCATATATGTCTATCATCACCATTTTACATTGGGTATACACCTGGATTTCCTTTGGTGAAAAAGTGCTGGACAATTCCGGCCTTTGTTCGAACCACTCCTGTAACAAAGCTATTATCTGATTAATCTTGGTTTCATAATCAAAATTTCATCTTCAAGTCCTTGTATTATTACCCAACTGACCTGCACCTCATCTCACCTCATTTCTGTAAAAATTCATGTTGATCAAGCCATTAAGCCCAACAGATGCAGTATTATTAAAGAAACATTAGGCTAGATGAATTGCTAAGAGATACTTAAAACATTCACCATTGTTATATATCACTGAGAGTTTAGATATGACTTATTTCCATCATTTACATCAGCAGCAATACAGACAAAAGTTGTGCTTCATATGACCCCTAATTCCAACATATTTCTCCATGGCCATTCTGAATAACACAATGCCCACCAGGCCTTAATGGTCATCTGACTACAAAAACTTTCAGTAGGGAGAAGGATTATTTTTTCTACTTTGAATGAAATCTTACTAACAAGCTGTTTTCCATTATGCAGATGGTAGTTTTGGTGAGGAGAAGGTAACTGTAACAAGAGTTACCTATTTTTAACAGTAATGTTGGAGCTCAATCCAACTGGTGAAACTTAAGATGTTTGAAATAGGTTTTGCACAGGAAAACCATAATTGCACAATCATGTTACAAAATGGCATCCCTTACTGTCATATGAACGTTTTATCAAGGTTGAAAAATAACAACACTTTGTTGGCTACCTTTCCCTAACATTCCCACTAAGTTTTATCTCAATGTCACCAGTGGAACTGAAGAAGAATTTTAAAATATGTTTTTCACTATGGATTTGATGACCCTTCAAATCAGATGACCTAAATAGCTTTTAAGGGAAAAACTTAATGGTTTATCATAAGACAATTGATGTATGTAGATTAATCACAGGGCTCACGATCTGCCAGATTTAGGGCCGATATTCGGCCCCATTCCCAATGCAAAATAGTATCTTTTTTTCCCAATTTAGACCCAAAGTTTTCCCAATTCTAAGGAAAATGCCGCTATTTTTCCCAATTCTAAGGGCGCCAGGCCCCAGTCCCAAAATGGGGTGTGAGAGCCCTGAATCACCATAAATTTATCAGTATATATGACCAACAACCTTTTAATATGCTTACCTTAAACTGTTCCCAATCCCTCAGTGACAAAGGCTCATTATGTAACTCTCCAAGATGTTGGCAAAGTGTATCAAATGCAGCTGTTCTCTGTTTATTTTGAGAGCTAAATTCATGAAATTCTTGGTGACTTTGACCTGAAAAACTTCTTGCGCGACTGGCTTGGAATGATTCATCAAAGTTTCTCCCAGAATAACTTAAAGATCTAGGTATCCCTAGATTGGTCTCATTCCACCAATTCTTCCTGTCTGCATAATCCACTTCCTTTTCTGTATCCTTTAATAGAAAATAGCTTTACTCAACAGTTTAACTTCTCTCTACCACTGCATACTTTTGTTAAATTTCCATTGATTCTTGATCAAGATCTGACATTTGATTCTAAACCTGCAAAATTTCCTATCAATACCAATTTTTTTTTATAAGAAAATATACTAAAGTATATCTTAAGTTATTAGGACTAATGTAGCACAATTAATTTTCTTTTTTATTTTCAAAGGCAGACAAGGAAACATTGCAAGTCTTTAAAAACAGAACATAAAACAAACAGCCATTGTCGGAGCAAAATTATTACTGCTCAAAAGCGTGTGACCTGCACCACACCAACAATATAAACAAACTAGAAAAAGCACAGCGAAGTGCAGCTTGATACAAAAACAGCAAATACCACAACAAAAGTTATATTACAGACCTGTTACAAGAACTACAACATGTCTTATTTTCTCCTACAAAATTACAATAATTCACCTGCATATAGTTATAAACACAAATACATGTCTCCTCAATTCTGTAGACCACAGAACATTTATTGATACAACCTAGAATACAGACACATTCCATCATCAAAAGACCCTTACATTCACTTATTTTCCTAACACAATCACACAGTGCATCCCTTTCCCTGCCACAATCACTTAATGCAAAACACTAACAAAAGCAACATTAAATATCCTTACAAAACTATTGACGCCACAACTAATATTTTTCATCTTTATTTCCTAAATTTATCTTATAGCATCAAAAAATTAAAAAAAAAAAAATAATAAAAATCAATCAGCATGATTTTTATCACATTCACTATTTACACTCCTCATTCACCACAATCATCATTATTGATGGCAGTGATTTCCAATAAATAGAACGACCTCCTTTGCATCACTGTAGGTGAACTGATTGTCAGACATGGCTATATTGTTGAATATACACATGTACAGCAGTAAACACTATCTCAGGCAATCAAACAATACATTGAAGGCACTTTGGGTAAACAACTTTATTGTAAACATCAACAAGTTAACAAAAGGGAAACTTGAAGGAATTTAATTCATATCAGGATTTGGTTTATATTAACATACCTTGAAGTCAAATTGAAAATGTTTCAAAACAATGTTTTCTCACAACAAGTCACAAGGAAATTTGAATAAGAGGTCCAAAATATCAATATTTTATTAAAACTTTAACTCTGATTCAACAGCTGAACCTATTACAATCATAATGGGTTTTTATTTATGTTTTGAGGACAGCAGCTCTCGGGTGCCTGCAACTCTTCAGTGTATAGTCTCAGTAAAGTGTGGGATTCCTTTCCTTCCTATATGTGTCACCATTTAAAATGGTTACTCAGTATCAAACTGGAAACATCTCCTTAGCTTATTGGAAGTTTTGAAACCAAAGTGAAATGTAGTCTTGACACTGAAATAAAAGTCTTAACACAATGCCCTGAAATACTATCTTACCCTAGTTTTAATTCATTTCATTGTATTCAGAGTCTTCTCTGTGTTTATGTGAATTGAGCAAGCTATTCTTTATTTCCACATGTCTTAGATATGTCTATGTCCATTATTTCTACAAGTATTATAATGTCAACCAAAGAAACAGAAAAAGATAATCAAAATTTTATGGTAAAATATCAACTTCAAAACAATATTTTCTTTCAACAGTCCATTCAAAATGATTTTAATTCTGGTAAGTTGTTTTGATTTACAATCAGAAGTTGATATAACCATTAAAATATTGTGTGTAAAGAAAGCAGAGACAAACACTTTAAAACAGTTTGATATATCAATCCCATAATAACATTGCTAGATTTTTCAGGTATTACATCAAGAATGCCATTCTCGACAATCTACCCTAAAATCAGTCAAGCGTGATGATGTCATCGTCTGAAATTCTTTAGTCCAAATCACTCGGTGACCAAGCCATGCCAGATTTTTTCAAACGAATAATTTCAACGGATACTCTAAGTTCAGCCACATTAATTTTCCGCATTGGCATTTTGATTTCGCCATTGACCAAGATACCACACTTAGCACAAATTCAGAGCAGTAGTGCAATTGCGATGTTGTTGGATTGTCAAAGTCAAACTGCTATTGCAGGCATTTGGCATTGCCCCGTGTACAATTAACCATCTCTATACATGTGTCCATGCTACTGGGTTAGTTTCTGATCATCGTAGGAGCAGTCATCCGTGTGTAATGACCGCACAACAAGACAGGGCGATTTGATTGTCATACTTGCGCAACAAATTAAAAACTGCTGTAGAGACTGTGTCGAATACCTTCGGTACTCATGGCAGACCCATTAGTGCTCACACTGACAGGAACCGCTTGCATGCCGAGATAATCTTTGCATGCCAAGCTTATGATAGGCCATCCTCTGACATCACAGAGGCAGAAAGTGCATCTTGACTGGATGCGCAGACATGGCCTGAACAGATTTGGTATGCGTCGGTGGAGGCCTGTGATGTTTATCTACGAGTATAGTTTCTGTCTGTGATGTTTATCTACGAGTATAGATTCTGTCTGTATCGGTCAGATGGAAGAAAATGAGCATATTGCAGATGTGGTGAGCGTTATGCCAATGCATGTGTGGCTGAACTCAATTGATTCAGTGGAGCTTTTGTAATGGTTTGGGGAGGCATCACCCATGAAGTAAAATTCCCCTTAGTGGTCCTGGATCCAAACCTCAATGCCGTTCGATACAGCTAACAACCTTCATCCTCTTGAATGGCCCCCATATGGCCCTGACATGTCTCTCATTGATTATCTGTGGAATGAGCTGGACAGGAACATTAGGAAGCATCAAACCCTCCAACTAACCACGCCCAGTTGATCACAGCATTAATACAAGAATGGAACAACATTCCCCTAAGGTGAATTAATGTTCTCGTGAATTCTACACATAGGAGAATCCATGCTGGGATTCATGCAAGAGGTGCCCACACCAGGAAATGAAGTGTCATTTTGTTTGTCACAGGTATCCCACTTTGGGTAACACTGATAACACACGTGACATCACATAGACTTTTCATCTACAGTAAAGAGTACATTAGTCCGTTCACATTGTTATAAAATTTTGTACAAACTTCCAAAAATAGCATAGGCTGTAGGTTGTATAATTTAAATGTGCATTTCCTTTTTTTTTTTTTTTTTGTTGAATATATTTACATACACAATAGATAAGAAATATTATCTCATGTATTGACATTATACCTATATTATCATCTGTTATGAAGTCATCATTCGTAAGTAAGTGATTTAGTTTTGTTTTGTTTGTTTGTTTTTTTTTCACGCCTTAATCAATCTAAGCGTCTGCGCTTGTTAAATATATGGATAACGAAAGTGGAAAGAGAAAGAGAATGTAATACGCTTACTTTCGTAATCGTGTTAGAAATTGTATTTAAAGTGATATGTGTTATACATGAATATATAAATGTGCCATTTCATAACGATGGTTTTAGTAAAATAACTCACATTTCTTGCTGCCATACTTTTACAACCTGGTCTAGGTCTTCTGAAGTGCGAAGGGGGATAATCTCATCTTAGGAAGTAATATATATAGCCTGGATTACCTGACATAGTTTGCCTACTCTCCGCTAGACGTCACTTTCACAATGAGCTCGGCCTAGCGGAGTATTCGTAACAGTGTTGTAATCCAGCCTATTGAAATGTCGACCTCGAGTCCGTGGTTGAAATTATTTGTATTTTATAAACTATATGCAGTTTCCTGAATTTTTTATTCGCAAGAACCATCTGTAATTTAGGTCTGAATGTCGGCATGCTCATGTAGGGGTTGCTTGGTTCCAGATGGCCGCAATGTAGGCGGATCCCGGAACAGAGTCTGTCCGGCGTAGTTCGTGAACATCTGCACAATTTATTTTGGTCGATGTAAGTTAGCGATCCGAGCGTGGATCAGCATTTTACAGCAGAAGCTATGACAGACTTGTTTCATTTTTACATGTAATGTGTTTCAAAAAGTTATTATCGCAAAACTTATTGTCTCGAAATTCCGCACATTCTCTTCTAAAAAAGTATCTTCTATGAACGTATCATTTAATATATAACATACTGTATCCATATCCGTGTCAATTAAAATACATTGTCATTAAAGGTATGCATCATCTACAGCGGTGTGAAAGTAGCCAGTATAGCGAAGGGGTAGTTAGAAGCGATTTGTACATAAATAAATTTTAAAAAAAAAGGAGCTTGGGTTGACTTTCTTTCTAAATGCTGTTCAAAACTTCATGAAATTTGAAATAGATATCCTAAATTTTAACCCAATTACTCTAAATTTTTAGATTTATCTTTCCGTATTATTGTGCCGGAGAAAGCATTCAATACCACAGGTTAAAAGCCGACTTACAAATCGCGCACACCCATCCGCATGACCATCGGAGTGTTTCTGGCTTTTCCCTACCATACCGCTGAAAAGCCAAGCACGTAGGATCCAGAGGGCATATGAGAAGGGCATACAGAAAATCACCATGAATCGTATTCTACGAAGCTCTGTTCAAAGAGTCGGCTTATTGACGAGGAGCGTAGCACAACCTAATGCCAGTTTAAGTAAGAACATATTTTGAGATAGCTGTTCATTCGTCTTTTTGGCATTTTAGGGTAAAAAGGACAGACGGGCAGGGGAGATAAAAAAAAACATACAAATCCAAGGAGTATGACGTTTTGACAGAAAATTTCTCTTTCTTAAATAATAATTATGTTGATAGTAAAATTTAATGTCAATAATCACATTTGTTATGCTGTTAATGATATTTACAGTTTTATTGACTGCTCTTACATGTGCATCGTTCATAAAATGACAAATATCAATAACAGCATAATATTTTTTAGGGACCATCAGTGTAGTGATAGAATGTCCATTCCACTTGAAATTGATCAGGTTGGAAACCAGTCCTTTAATATATGCCAACGAAGGTTACGTAAATAACTTAGAAATAAGGGATACATGGTCAGTGTCTTGAAAGATATGCAGTATTATGACTCTGTCCCGAGCCAGCTTATATTGAAGGACACTGACCATGTATTCTGTTTATCTTGCAACATTGATTGTAAAATCAGACTTTCGAAACATCCAACAATTTTATTGCTCAGTCTTTGTTTACCGGACATTAACGTTGCATTGAATTTTGCAGAAATATAGTTTTTCACTTCAACAGATAAACATCAGTTTGATGAATTTTTGTAAATAAACTTGTTCAATATAAAAATAGTTTATTGAAACAATTGCTTACATTTATAAACATAATACTTAAGTAAATTCCGAATGTATTAATGTACATTATAATTGATACAGCTGTTTTCTGTCACTGTCGAATGCAGCAAAAATATCACACTAATAATCATTTTGACAATGACAGCACCGGTTGCAGGATAAATATCAAATATCTTATTATAATCTCATAATGAGCCTTCAAAGGCATATATATTAAAGGAGTGGATAGGAACATCCTTGGATTTGTGAGGATACACAGGACTCTCCACTGCATTTTCTCATTTACCATCTTCATTACAGTCTTCTGAACTCAGACACTGGTGCACAGACATATTTACTTAACATATTTTCAAATATGAAATCATCAACATCTCATTGTTTAATGGGATAAATACCTGCAAATCAGGTCTTCTCTTTATGTCAACTGGTATATAGTATTCAGTTGTAAAATGGCTCAAATACACATGGATATGGTGATATACATGCTCTGATCACTTAATATGGACAGGATTTTGTGTCATGTGTTCGGGTTGACAAAATATGTGTCCATGTTGGAAAACACATTTAAAATGTTAAGGCAAACATCATATTCTTTACATGCTAAGATCCTCTGGGCAAGGGCTCCAGTTATGTTACAGTGTCACCTGACCTCACAGCTAATCAAAATTTTGACTGAGTAGCAATTACTTTGAAGGCTTGCAAATATGTAACTTGAATAACCGGAATGCCTTCAAGCACTTGCATTACTTTCAAAACAACTTCACTAACATTTAGTTTGTATTTTAGAAAAAGTTAAAAACTATGTCCCATGTATTTTAACCATTTTCTTTCTTTTCAGGTGTCAGAAACCATGGTTCTTATATGAAACCATCAACAGATGTTGTGTACTATGGTGGAACAACTCTTTTTTTCACAGTCTATGCATATCGTGGGGTAAGAAATCTTATGTAACTTCAACAAATGTTGTACAAAGTCCATGAGATATAAAGTATCTAGTCATACTCTTTGAAGTTCAAGGGCAATTTCTACAATTATGTTAGTATTTTAAATATCAGTTTTGGACATTTTAGTTTCCATAGATAAACATTTGTTTTAAATTTCCGTGGCATCTTTTAACTTAATGGTTCAACCTCAATCTGTCTTGTCATGGGATAATAAAACATGGATCAGTGATCATGAAATCAGATGTCTGTCTGTGTAATAGAACTAGTAGTATTAGATATTACAATACATGTACTGATATATTTGTTCAAAGGTGGGAAATTTCTTTCAAAATTGAGCTCCGTTGACAAAACAAGTTTTTAGCAAATCTGTATCCCTGCAGGTCAAATACTAGCTGCAATAGACTGCTTGGCTAGAGAGAACTTTTCTTCATCTTGATTGCTTGTGTGCAAGACTACCGGTAGTAAGCCAGAGGTTTTGAATACCTTGCCGGGGATTGAAGTAATACCTCTGTTATATATATGTAGGGACTACTTGGCATTGTTCCACAGACGTTGTTGTAACTTCTGGAAACTTAAGGACTAGTAAATTCCTGCAGAGGAAGAATATATATGTAAACCTGATAAAATAATATAAAATAATACAAAACTCCCAAATCCTGTTGCCTCCTATGATCTTACATTGGAGGCAACAGGTACAATTCTAGCAGCCTGACCTCAGAGCAAATTGATTAATGAGGAGCCATTAAGAATGTGAGATCAAGGTTTTTGATTGTGAAGGGATGCAAGTGAGCAGTGAACAGATGTGGGAGGAAACTGTAACAAAGTGAAAAATTACAATGTCTATTTTGTTTCAAGTTCATCAAATGATACAGAGGCTTTCATATTTAGATTTGATAACCTGAATGATCAGTATGACCTACAGCCATCATTTTGATGTGCAATGTAAACTTTTAATATTTCAAAGTTCTTAAGTTTTGAAGTGGAATGAATTTGGTCAATTTACAAAAGTAAAAGCATGTGTAATGATAATGTCAGATGATCCCAACCAGTGGTTGATTATTCTTGGTCTGAAGTCCAAGTGGAGATGGCTGCTGTGGTCAAATTAGAACATATTCCACCTCTTTATCAAATTTTAACATCTGTAATTACCCACAACTTCATAGGAACGTTCAGTCTTCAGAATTCTGGTAATATGGCTATTGTTTATATGTCATTATTGTTCACTGCCAAGTTTTTAAGCTTGTCATCATCAGATCATACTTGACTGATCAGCTGAAATTTTACTAGAAAGTTTCCACTTGTTCCCTGCTTGTGCATTCTCCATTTTGAGACTGATGGAAAAAAACAAAATGCAGACATGTGGCCATCTTGGATTTTCACAGTACCTGAGTTAATAGTGTTTTTGTCACGATTTATTGAGGAGGGATCATTTTAAGATTTCATTTTTAGGTTCCTCTTGGTCTATTTTTGTGCTCATTTTTGGACTGATTTGTGGTTTTAAAAAGGCTGACTGCCATATCTTAGATGTTAAGAGTAATAGGTTGTCATCATGTATTTCAACAGATATGTGATTTGTTGTCAATATATTTTGAAGTACATATAAGTAGGTATCCATTTGTGCCTCATTGTCCATGTTCTGAGAGTTTTGAGAGCTAGTAAGAGGACAAAGGGGAAAGAATGGAAAATATTATGACACTATGAATGGGAACAAGGCTTTCTTTGTGGTTTGTCCTCAGGTTACCATATTACAAATGTGATTGTTTCCCATATGAAGAAAATTCCATTTTTTTAAACGAAGATATTGCTTCTAACTGTTGATTAATGATACTTAGTCTTTCTGGGATATTTTATGAAACTTGTTTTGACCAAGTCATTCAACATAAAGGTGTATAACCTACTAAATATATTAGTCACAGATGTTAATGTTCATTTTTTAAATTTTTTCTCTACAACAGATGAGCAGATACAGGAAGAAGGAAGAAAAGATTCTTAGTTATGCAGACAAATAAAGGTGTGAACAGGAAGATTTAAATCCATTTCGAACATGTGATGAATCTTGACTTCAGAAAGTGTGCAACTTCTCGGGGAATTTTGAGAAATAAAATTGTACTGATGTATTAGATTTTGATTTGTTGTTCTTATCAGTCCTGAGACTGTGCATATACATCTGTATATTTTGTGGTTATTGAAAAACACAAAAATAGCTATATTTAATTTTGTTTTAAGCTTTCATTTAAATGCCCTATCCTTATTTATAGATAGGAATTATGAAATTGTATATACTCTAGACATTTATAAATATAACTACAGCTAACTACTAACAATTTCCCAATACATCTACTAAACAAGGTTTTTGTTATAAGAAACAACATT